ATTTGGCAACATCATTAGAACACTACAAATTCATCGTTGATTACTGTGAAAAGCACCCCGAGGCTGCCCAGGAAATAGAAGTTGAGCTAGAACTTAGTAAAGAAATGGTTAATCTTCTCCCAACCAAAATGGAGCGATTCAGAAGCAAGATGACCCCAACTTAGCTCTCACATGTACACAGGAAATGTGCGGTATAGAGAATTCTTTCCCTGGTCAGACAGGCGCAGTTCCTTGTGGTCCTTACCTCTAGAGGCAGAAGAGTGACCTTTGAACTTGAGATGCAGCTCCATTAACGATCCACTAGGACCTTCATCAACATGAAGTTAGTAATTTATACCTAATTATGTAAATTGCCTTGTTAAGATTGGCATGTGGTTTATATTTTAGATTGCTGCTTTCCTACTTAGATACAAACATTTCCGCCCCCACTTACTAACTGTAGGTTCTTTGTTGACCTGGTACTCGCTAGATTCCTTACAGGGGAACCTACTGCCTAGTGGATGAGCCTGTTACTCTATTAAAGTTGAAAAATTAACTTCCTGTAATTATTCTTTCTAAAATAGTTTCTTTCCTAAATGCCAAGAGAAACTTATCCTTTTTGAAAATAGTAAAAATTAAGGTATGTTGTTTTAAAGTGGTGTAAAATGGTTTGTCCCAATTATTAAAAAAAAGGGGGGGAGCTTTTGGGAAATAAAATAAATTGGATGTTTCGCTAATAAAAACTTCTATTTCTCCTTTGTGTCCTTGAAAGAGCTGATTTTATTTGTTAGCACTTCAAAAGTATTAGCTTTTTGAAACCAGAGAATATTTCTTCAGCATTGCGTAGCTAGAAAACATTAAAATGATGTTCATAAAATATCATAAAATTACTAGCCTGTTATTATGTGCCAGAAAGCCTTAGTGGCAGCTGTTTCTCATCAGAGAATCTTTGTGTATGTGTAAGCCTTTCTACCCTGTTGCAAAAGGATATGTATGTGGTGGTTAGGCATTGTTGATATGTGTTTTCCATTTTAAGCAATGCACAATTAAAATGGAGTCCTCTTCCTGCAGATAGAACCCACTGTAAAATTCAGTATAGAGAATCGTTTGGCTGCCTATTCATTTGTTTCTGCAAGTTTAGTACTATATCAGCTATAAGATTCTTGTGTGCATAAATGTGTGAGTAAGATAATTACCTTGACCTTTCTTTGATGTACTTTTTTTTAAGGTTTTCCTAAGGAGTCTTTATTAACCCAGCTTGGTGATAATAGAGCATACTAGAAATAGCAAATCACAAGTTCATATGGCAATCCAACCAAACATAATCCGAAGGGGAACAAATGGTCATTATCCTTAAGTCCATTCATTAAGCTGAAGACCTATGTCCCAGCTTCCCCAACAATATAAGTTATCCTAAGAGACAAGCAACAGATAACCTGGACACGCTTACAGAGCTGCAGACGTTCACCTTTCCCTGGCTGCTCTGCCCACATTCCACTACTGCTAGGCCTCACCTCTCCTGGAACTCCTGACAGCACACAAACCAGAAACAACATTAGTATACCCATTGCTTCATCTAAGCAGTGCACAGGGACCATGCTCAGGGCATTACCTGTCCTGGGGCAGCCAAGAGTCAAGGTGCAAGAGCAACGGAGGCACCCGGGCAGAGAGAGAGAGATGTACATTTGAAAACAGTGGTCACCAATGTGTGATGCGCTCGATATGTGACTCACATTTATTACTGAGGTGTACTGTTTGTCAGGCACGGTTCTTACTTTTCTAAGCCCAGAGGATATAGTGACGAGCAAGATACACACGGCCCTGCTCCAAAGAGCAAATAAGCAAGATAATTTAGGGTCATAGTACTATTAAGAAGGAAAGGAAAGTGACATAGGTAACATTTATGGGAAGGGTGCTGTTCTAGTTGTGTTCATTTGCACGGGACTTTGGGAAAATGAGAAGTGACCAGTGATGAAGAAAAAACAGCAAAGTGACCCTTTGGTGGGGCAGACCAGGCCAGGCAGGGCTATAACACCTGTTGGCCTCTGTGTAACCTGGATCAGAGACAAGCCAGGCTGGGTGGACAGTACCTACTAGTACATGCATAAGCCAGAGGGGGTGAGGGTTGGTTGGGCTTTGCCACAGCATCAGCTGGCAGATGCTGGCATGGGGGGAAAAACTGTTGAGCTAAACTGCAGTACCACCTGGAGAGTCAGGATCCAGGAGTGGGAGTGGGCCCATTAGGGAAACTGGGCTACAACTGTGGTGAGCATGAGAACCAGGACTGGGGCAGGCATGGCTAGATACAGAGTGGTACTCACTGGCACATGTGTGGGCTGGATAGGGGGGCTAGTTGGTTTGAACGAGGCTTCAATGCTCATTGGCATGTGTGAGAGCTGAATGGGATGTGGGACAGACAGGACCAGTCTGCTGTACATACTGGCAAGCACAGAGGCAGGCCTAGTGGGAGTTATTGTAGGTCACTCCAACTAGGCTACGATTCCCACTGATTTGGGCAGTGGGCAGGATTGGACTGGATTGCCACACCCATTAGTTTGCCTAGAAGACAGGGCTGGAGACAACTGACTCAGCATTTGCAACTAACAGTATGCATGTAGGCCGATTTGGGCGACGGCCTGTACGGGACCCTGTATTGGCATGCACATGCAAGAATCGGGTCTGGGATGATCTCGGATGAAGTTTCTTTGGGAATCCCCCCAGCTGATCTGCTAGATTCAACCATGGAGAAGAATGCAGGTTCCATGGTCTGACCGTGGAGTGCATGTGTCAGAGCTGGGCCTCCTCAGTGGCTCAGACGGAGCAGTGGACAGCTTATCCAAATGCACATGGTGGATATGGCAGTACGTTGGAGACTGCAGAGGACACCTGGTACCATAATAGAGGATGGGACAGAACAAATCGATCAACTACCCCAGCCAAGAGTTGGTAATGAATAGCTGAGCAAACAGCGTCTCTAAGGTGAACCGTGTCAGCCAGTGGAGTCTGGAGAGATTTCATCATGATTGGAGTGGCAAGACTGGCAGCAATACAGAACTGTTGAACTCGCAAAACCACTTGAGCAGGACCCTCGGAGCCTGCCCCACATTAGGGGCCCTGGGATGGTTGGGAAGCTGGGTGTGACTTCTCTCCTTATCTCTCTCCTTAACCCCAGATACAGTAAGGAAAAAAAGAGATTGTCTCACCCACTTTCCTCTAGTCCTTGACCCTTTTCACCCTATTAGAATGTGTAAAAATGATCAAAATAAAATGTATACAATTAAAAATAAGTTCAGGGAAGGAACCAGTAGTGTGATGACACAGGAGAAGCTGCCCTCGATGCCAGCATCCCATGTCAGCACTCGTTAGAGTCCTGGCTGCTCCACTTCCTTTTTTTTTTTTTAAGATTTATTTATTTCCATTACAAAGTCAGATATACAGAGAGGAGGAGATATAGAGAGGAAGATCTTCCGTCAGATGTCAGATGATTCACTCCCCAAGTGACTGCAACGGCCGGTGCTGTGCCGATCCGAAGCCAGGAGCCAGGAACTTCCCCCAGATCTCCCAAGTGGGTGCAGGATCCCAAAGCATTGGGCCGTCCTCGACTGCTTTTCTGGGCCACAAACAGGGAGCTGGATGGGAAGTGGAGCTGCCGGGATTAGAACAGGTGCCCATGTGGGATCCCAGCACATTCAAGGCGAGGACTCTAGCTGCTAGGCCACACCGCTGGGCCCTGCTCCACTTCCTATCCAGCTCCCTGCTGGTGGGCTGGGAAAGCAGCAGAAGATATCCCAAGTCCTTGGACCACCCCCTGCATCTAGTTCCTGTCTCCTGGATTTGGCCTGTCCCACCTCCATCAACTGCTGCCACCTGGGAAGCAAACCAGCAGATGGAAGACACCTTTCTAACTGTAACTCAACCTTTCAAATGAATAAATATAAATATATAAATATATATAAAGGTTGGGCCCAACATGGTAGCCTAGTGGCTAAAGTCCTCACCTTGTATGTGTCAGGATCCAATATGGGTGCCAGTTCTCATCCCAGAGGCCCCACTTCCCATCAAGCTCCTTACTTATGGCCTGGGAAAACAGTCGAGGATGGCCTAAGACCTAGGGACCCTGCACCAGCGTGAGAGACCAGAAGAGGTTCTTGGCTCCTAGCTTCATATCTGTGCAACTTCAGCCCTTGCAGCTGCTTGGGGAATGAATCAGCAAATGAAAGATCTTCCTCTCTATCTTTCCTCCTCTCTGCATATCTGGACTTTCTAATTTTAAAAAGTTAACAGAAAATTGATATTAAAAAACTATGCAGAGATTTGGGCCCAGCACAATAGCATAGTGGTTAAAGTCCTCGCCTTACACATGCTGGATCCCATATGGTCGCCGGTTCTAATCCTGGCGGCCCTGCTTCCCATCCAGCTCCCTGCTTGTGGCCTGGGAAGGCAATCGAGGACGGCCCAAAGCCTTGGGACCCTGCACCCACGTGGGAGACCTGGAAGAGCTCCTGGCTCCTGGCTTCAGATTGGCTCAGCTCCGGCCATTGCAGTCACTTGGGGAGTGAACCATCAGACAGAAGATCTTCCTCTCTGTCTCTCCTCCTCTGTATATCCACCTTTCAATAAAAATAAATAAATCTTAAAAAAAAAAAAAACTGTGTAGAGATTTCAAAAATTTTTGCATCCTAATCAATATATAGATGAACTCCATTTTCTTTTTATCTTTTTTATTTATTTTTATTTCTATTGGACAGTCAGATATACAGAGAAGAGAAGAGAAGAGAAGAGAAGAGAAGAGAAGAGAAGAGAAGAGAAGAGGAGAGAAAAAGATCTCCTATTCACTGGTTCACTCTCCAGAGAGCTGCAAATGACAGGAGCTGAGCTTTAGCTGCTAGGCTACGCCGCTGGGCCCTGACTAGGTCGGCTCACCTCAAGCCGTGGTGGCCACTTGGGAAGTGAACCAGTGGACAGAAGAAGATCTTTCTCTTTGCCTGTTCTTCTCTCTGTAAGTCTGACTTTCTAATAAAAATAAGTAAATCTTAAAGAACAGGGAGAAGAAATTGAGTCCTTCTATCATTTAGTACATGTTGGTTTGGGTTGAGTTCGGAGTCACGGTGATGTCATGATTTGAGGTTTTTGGACTTCCTGGTAATACTGGAATGTTTCGTGCTGTGTCACCTCCTTGAAGTATGTAAAGCTGGTGTTTCATTATTGGTTTCATCCCTGTTACTGTGGCGATGCTGATGGGAAGGACGGGCTGGCTTGCTCCCTCCCGGTTAGCTGGTTCAGTAGTCGGTGCTAAGCTTGCAAAATCTGCTCTGAAGTGTATATATCCGCAACGCTTAGCGGCATTAGCTGCATGATAGAATTTGGGCCAAAGCCAGTGACCCATAGCAGCCACAGGCTCAGTTCAAGTAACCTTTTGTTCTTCTTTTCCTCACCTCTAAAAGCAACATCGGGGTGAAGACTGCATAATGGAGCTAATGACAAATGTCTGCTGGATCCCACTGTCCTTTGCAGGTTCCTTCTCGTGTGGGTGACTAACAGGCAGATAACACCATCCACGCATTCCTTCACTGATTCACTGGGAACTGTTGAATGCTTGTTACCAGGAGACCTCATAGCCCTCCATCCTGAGTAAGCCGTCTGAGAAAAATGTTGAAATTTGTATGTGAACATGAAGAGCTTCCTGATTCCATACGCTGTCCTCTGGGGAAAAGCCTAGTCTGGGACTTTTCACCGCCATCCCCCTGCCTTACGGTTCTTACTCTGGTATCTCTAGGAGGCTGCTCTGTGATGGAGAGAATTTTCCCACTCAGTTCCTGGGGATGGTTCTTGTACCTGCCCCTGTTTGCTGCGCTTGTCTGGGTGGTCTCTGTCTTGCCTGCCAGATCATGGGGTCTGAGCCCATGCTGCTGGTTCTTCCTGAATCCTGCGAGAGGGCAGGGCTTCATAGAGATATGGTTCATTTATTTATTTTTTGTTCTTATTTATTTATTTATTTATTTATTGTTATTTATTTTTATTTTCTAAGCTATATGTCTTTTAAATGTGTTTATTTATTTGAAAGGCATGGAGACAGAGAGGGAGATAAAGGGAGATCTTCCACTGTTGGTTTACTCTGCAAACGGCCACGATGGGTAGGGGCTGGAAATCGGCTAGCTCAGCCATCAGCTCGGCCTTGCAGGGTCTGTGTGAGCAGGAAGCTGCAGCTGGGAGCCAGAGCCAGGAACAAAACCCCTGTGAAACCAGGCATCTTAGCGGCCGGGCTGAAGGCAGATGCGAACAATAGTATTTTAAAATTTTTAAATGCATAGAGATACATTTATATTGTAAGAGGGCTTTAGGGGCCTCTTGCATTTCAGAGAATTGTCTCTTAAAAAAATTAACTACAGCCCATGATATTCATTTCTATTTTTAAATTATTTTTTTTTTATCCTTGTGGCTATTACACTTTGATGAGAAAGAGCTGTGTGCTGATGGGACATCCAGAGAGCCCAGCCGTCATAAAACCTCACCCATCGGTGAGCCCTGGGACCCAGCCAGACCCCACAGCTAGCAGCCTCTTTCGCAGAAGGTCGTGACCCAGAATTCGGTTTTTATCTACAGGAAGCAGCTAGAAGGCATTGTACGTGCTCTGTGTGTCGGTGGGATTTTAAAAATGTAGTTCAGGACAGCAAAGCTGCAAGCAACCTGGATGATAATGACTTGTTAAATCTGAGAAGCCACACACCTGGTCTGTGTCCCCTCTGACTCCTCCCATTGCTCAGCACCCCCTCCACCATCCCGATCTCAATCACTTTGCCTTTCACCTTACTGCTCGAAGTCAGATATTGTTATCAACGAATAATCAGCCTGCATTATCCCCTGTGACCTCCTGCGCACAACCTTTACCCTTTGCATTTGTGTCCCAAAAGCCACGGCTTAGACCCTAAGAACATGGTGCAGTCACGTAGGCAATGTTAACAATGGAAACAGTTCCCTTACCACGTGCACCGGCTGATTGTGTAAATCTGCCAGATGGGCATAAGCCCTGCTTCTGAGTAGTTAATCTTTTATTCTGTGCATGAAGCCCATAAAATATAATTACCTTCCATTTGTAACTAAGGGGCCCAGCGCGGTAACCTAATGGCTAAAGTCTTTGCTTTTATATCCACCGGGATCCCATATGGGCACCAGTTCTAATCCCAGCAGCTCCATTTCCCATCCAGCTCCCTGCTGGTGGCCTGGGAAAGCAGTTGAGGACAGGCCAAAGCCTTGGGACCCTGTGCCTGCATTGGAGACCTGGAAGAAGCTCCTGGCTTTAGATTGGCTCAGATCTGGCTGTTGCAGCAAGCTGGGGAATGAACCAGCTAATGAAAGATCTTCCTCTCTGTCTCTCCTCCTCTCTGTACATCTGCCTTTCCGATAAAAATAAATATTTTTTAAAAATTACATTCCATTTGTAACTAAGAAGTGTTTCCCAAGTTTGTCTGAAAAGTAAAGTTTCATTCTTTGAGGCTGTGTTAGCATGCCCTAAACTGTTAGACAATTCCATGGGTCTGCTTTGTACCATTTTAATGAAAAAGCGACACCTACCTTTTGATATATCTTAGACAGGACACGTAGGCCAAGTACAGAGGGGATGTTTGGAATGATCTAACTGGAAATGCAGTCATGTATTATAAGGGAAAGTCGCTTCGAGATCCCTTATGGCCCCCAGAAAACCAAGCAGTCAGCCTCTGGAAGCTGATTAGACACAAGGGGCCTGGGCATCCGCCTTGGGACGGCACCAAGCTGCCACAGGCAGAGAAGAAAAACAGGGTTCAACATGATCTGAATGTTCAACCACCAGGCTGCTGCTCACACAGGCGCCCTGGTCCTCCAGGACTGTGCAGGAGTTTGCTAATGCAACTGCTAGTTAACGATTCCTGAGTAATTGGGACAGTTAGCCTTAAGATCATGCTTTCAGCAATAGACTATATTAACATCAGCTGTAAGGTATCACGCTTCCTAAAACAAGTCCCAGCAATGTCTACATCAGACATTTATTGTTAAAATGTGGACTCCCAGGCTGTAACCCAGATCTGATCAGAAGCTCTGGGGCTGGGGACTAGGAATCTGTTTTAGCACAACTCCAGGGGATTCCTGGGTACAGCAAAGCACACCTGTACTTGGCAGTTCAGAGAAGGAAGCTGGAGCTGGAGTGGATTGCCTCATGAGCAGAAAGTTCTTCTATGCCTTTGGTCCTCAAGGGGAACCTAGCCTGTGGACGAGAGACAGAATGAACATTCCCCGGGGGCTTTAGGTAACCTAGACGCACAATTCCCGGAGCTCCTTGTACTTGGAGGAGAATTCTGCTGGGGGCCGACCAGCTGGCGGCTGAAGTTAGTTGCCACAACACTGGGTCTCAGAGTCCAAGGAGACATGTAGGTGAAATAGAAACACTCCCTAGTGAACTCTGAAGAATATTCTAGAATGTCTCAAGGGAGATAAGGAAAGGGAAGAGATGGTTTGACGAGGAGCACAGACTGGGTGAGCAGCAATGCTTGGGAGATTTGAATGTAAATCCCCAAAAAGTTGTTCCAGTGGTGTGATGAACAATTTCCTCTGGGGCGTATAACCAGGACCATCTCTCAGATCCAGCAAATAACTCTGGGATACCTCCAGGAAGGGCTACATTCCTGAGAAGTCTGGCTAAGATGAAAATTGTGGAAAGAGATTCATTCTCCTACAGTAGACAGAACACCTTTGGCTGCTGTCAGGATGGCTACCTCTGGTGGGCTGTGGCTCCCAATTTGAAAGATGGTTTAGCTGCCACTGACACACGGGGACTCCAGACGCCCGAATCCCCTTCATGCTGCACTGCCAGAGTCCCAGGTGGACTGAGCCGACTCCAACAGCATGTCAGACCTGTGCCGAGTGCTCTCACGTATCGCTTGTCTGACTACCACGCCCCCGCAACCCCTTTACCAAGCAGGGATCTTTGTCAAGGTCACATCCAAAGCTAGTAAGTGTCTGTGGTGGTTAATTTTGCAATGTTCAGCTTGGTTAGGCTATGAGGTCCAATTGTTTAAACACTGCACTGGGGGCTGAGGCTCGCTTCAGAGTGATGGTTAAGATACTGTTGGGATGATTGCTTCCCACCTCACAGTGCCTGGGTTCGATCCTTGGCCCCCAGTCCTTGCTGCAGCACTCTGCTAAAACCAACCCTGGGGGATGAGGACAGCTCTGGTTTCTGCCATTCACAGGGGAAACCTGGATTGAGTTCCGGGCTCCTGATCGTTGTGGCCAGTGGAGGAGTGAACAGAAGTAGTGTCTGTCTGTCTCTCTCAAATTAATTTTTAAAAAATTTTAAATGGCTGTCCTCTATGTTGGTATAAAGGTATATGGGAGGAGAGAGTGACATTTAAGTCCGTAGACTTTGAGGAAATTAGACAACCCTCCAGAACATGGGTGAGCCTCCCCCATGTTGAAGCCTCCCCCAGGTAAGGCTTTCTGAGACCAGACTCAAGTCTCGAAAGGAGGAAGGAGGAAGGGATTCTCTCTCTAGATTACCTTTCAACTCAAGACTGCGATAACCCAGTCCTGCTGGAATCTCTACCTCCTGACCTGGCCCCTGCAGATATTGGAATTCCAAGTCCCCACAGTCCTGAGTCAACTCCTTAAAATAATTCTGTCTGTCTGTCTGTCTGTCTCTCTCTCTCTCGCTCGCTCACTTACTTGCTCTCATACAATATTCTGTGTGCAGAGAATTGAGTGGTGCAGGACCTCAGAAGGGCTCTGGCTCTGCACTCTGTGTTCCGTGTGCTGGCAGGGCTTGTGTCGGGCTGAAAGGCTAACCCAGGACTGGGCCAAGCAGAACACTAGCAATGAGAGAGAAGTGCAAAGAAGCAGAGCTGAGACCCTGACGCGGGACACAGGCCTCCCAAGGGACCCCTCAGCCGCTGCGCCAAATGTCCCCTCTCCCCCACTGCTTTGTGATCATTTTTAAAGTCTTTATCTGAAAGAGAGGGCGGTGGTGAAGGGTATCTTCCACCAGCTAGTTTGCTCTCCAAATTCTCACAGTGGCCAGGGCTGGATCAGGCTGAAGCCAGGAATCAGGAACTCCACTGGGGTCTCCCACATGAGTGGCAGGGACCCAGGCAGTTGAGCCATTGTCTGCTGCCTTCGAGGATGTGTATTAACTGGAAGCTGGATTGGAAGCAGAGCAGCTGGGATTTGCGCTCAGCACTCTGATGTGGGATGGCAGCTGGACCACCGTGCTCCGGCGCAGCTGTGGGATCTTAAACTCAGTCTCACGACTGAACCCCTTTCAGCTTCCCTTTGCCTGCCCATAATACTAATTTGGGGAAAAGAAAAGATCAATGGGCCAGTTGGGGGACTGGGTGAATGATACACACCAAGGTCCTTTGCCTAACTGCTGAGAACATGTTAATTTCTATAGTGGTTTTTAAAAATATATTTTTGTTTATTATTGGAAAGGTAGATTTACAGAAAGAAGGAGAATCAGACAGGAAGATCTTCCATCCCATGATTCACTTCCCAGGTGACCACAATGGCTGGAGCTGTGCCAATCTGAAACCAGGAGCCAGGAGCTTCTTCCAGGCCTTCCATGCGTGGGTACAGGGTTCCAAGGCTTTGGGCCATCCTCCACTGTGTTCCCAGCCCACAGCAGAGAGCTGGAGCAATTGGGACATGAACCGGCACCCTTATGATACCCCAGCATTTGCAGAGGAAAGGGAAGGATTAGCCAATTGAACCAATGATGAACTTAGCATTATCATTGATCTCCTCACTTAGTATTCTTAAAAAAGAAAAGATTTATCTACTTATTTGAAAGGCAGTGTTACACACAGAGAGGGAGGGGTATATAGAGAGATCTCCCATGCACTGTTTCACTCCCCAAATGGCCACAAGAACCAGGGCCGGGCCAGGCATAGCAGGAAACCACGAACTGCTTTAGTTGCAGAGACCAGGGACCTGGACCATCTTCCACTACTTTCTCAAGCATATTAGCAGGGAGCTGGATCAGAGTGGAACAGCACTTGAACTGGTGCTCATATGGAATGCTGGCACCACAATGAGAGGCTTTACTCACTGTGGTGCCACAGCACCAACCCCTATTTACTGTTCTTGATGACTCAGTGGCATGGATCATTTTCCCCTTTCTCTAAACCTTCCTCCTTGTTTTAAAGAGAACACATTTCAGCGGATGAAAGGGGAAAGTAGAGGAAAAATGAAGACTTGAATGCAAAATGGAACAAGCCAAGAATCTGATTTAGAAATGATCTCTGAGCTTCCTTGTTCCTGAGGAGAAAAAAGAAACTGGATTGGTTAGGTAAGCCAGCACTGTCATCCACGATATCCAACTGACAGCTTAGGGGAAACACTCAGGGACAGGATTTTTTTTCCCCCTTCCCATGTTGCTGCCTCCTGGGCTTTGGTGACCCATTCTGCTGGTGGGAAGGTGGTTGGTGAGAAAGAGTTTCTGAACGAGTCAGTGGTCCTGATCCTTGGGAGGCGCACCTGTCGCGTCTCTGGGGACTCGATGGAGAAGATCTAGCTTCTGGCCCAGAGAAGGAAAGGTGTAACATGTGCTTCAGAAACCAAGAGCGTCACACATGGGAAACAAACAAGATGTGTCACGCTGTGGTTTGCAGCAACGCCTGTTTCCTGTCTTTTGCAATTTCAGGCTCAGTGGGCCTTGACATAGGCATGAAGTGTGCAGGTTCTGAGGGTTTTTTTTTTCTTTGCATTTTTGCTCCCACTTCTTGGATAGCTTATCCACAGCAGTCAGTGATGCCTGGCTGAAGACTGCTGTGTGCCAGGACCTGCCTGGGCACCCATGCCTCCGGCCTGTAAGGACAAGGCCTGGGCTAGGAGGAGGCGCAGCTTTCTCAGGGCTCTAGGAATTCAGAGGAGGCCACCTGCAAACATAGAGGGGACTTGAAGGATTAGGTGGGTGGAGGAAGAGGCCCTGGGGAGCTGGCGCCACGGTATAGGAGCTCATGCCTCTGCTGAAGTGCCAGCATCCCATGTGGGTGCTGCTTCAAGTCCCTGCTACCCCACTTCTTATCTAGCTCTCTGCTAATGTGCCTGGGAAAGCAGCAGAGGATGGCCCAAATATCACCCACATGGGAGATCTCAAAGAAGTTCGGGCCTCCTGGATTCCAATCATTTGGCCTTTTGAGGAACGAACCAACAGAGAGAAGTCTGTGTGTGTGTGTATGTGTGTGTGTGTGTGTGTGTGTGTGTGTGTGTATTTAATTCTCCCACTTCAAGTGCTGGGATCCCATATGGGCACCAGCTCATGTCCCAGCTGCTCCACTTCCTATACAGCTTCCTGCTTATGTTTTGGGAAAGCAGTGGAGGATGGCTCAAAGCCTTGGGACCCTGCAGCCTCATGGAAAAACTGAAAGAAGCTCCTGGCTTCAGATCAGCTTGGCTTCAGCTGTTGTGGCTACTAGAGGAGTGAACAAGCTGATGGAAAATCTTTCTTTTTCTCCTTTCTTCTGCAATTCTGCCTTCCCAATAAAAATAAAATAAATCTTTAAGATAAATCCATAAATAAATCTTAATTTGTTTCAGGAATATTCTTTATCCTCCCATTGGAAATAGCTAGTTATCTTGCTTTTTTCACCTTTTTTTAAAAGATTTATTTATTTTTATTACAAAGTCAGATATACAGAGAGGAGGAGAGACAGAGAGGAAGATCTTCCATCCGATGATTCACTCCCCAAGTGAACACAATGGCTGGTGCTGCACCAATCCGAAGCCAGAAACCAGGAACCTCTTGCAGGTCTCCCACGTGGGTGCAGGGTCCCAAGGCTTTGGGCCATCCTCGACTGCTTTCCCAGGCCACAAGGAGGGAGCTGGATGGAAAGTAGAGCTGCCGGGGTTAGAACCGGTGCCCATATGGGATCCCACCTGGTACGTTCAAGGCAAGGACTTTAGTCGCTAGGCCACACCGCTGGACCCAATAGCTAGTTATCTTTATTTTGGCTTCTTGTGCCCAAATATGCTGGTGTGTGAAACACTCAGTTGCTTTTCAAATCATGGGAACACACTTCTGTGCCATGAGGGGAGACCAGGCAGAAGGGTGGGGACATGTGCAGGGGCATGTGAGCCCAGGAACTGCCATCAGAGAGCACCCAGCACAGGGATCTCCTGTCTGTGTACAATCCAATCTCACATTCTCTCCATTCAGTAGAAGACAAAATGTGCCCCAGGACACGGAGCCAAAACATGGAAGGAGTCCAGCTTCAAAATTCAGGTACCTGGGCTGAAATGATGCTAGAGTGGGGTAAACTGTCACATGCAATGCCACAATCCCACATTAGGGAGTTGGTTAGAGTTCTGGCTGCTCCATTTTTGGCCCAGCTCCCTCTTCATGTGCCTGAATGACGGAAGAAAATGTCCCAAGTACGTAGGCCCCTGCCACCCATGTGGTTTACCCCGATAGAATTTCTGGCTCCTGGCTTTGGCCTGGCCCAGCCATGGTGTTTGCTGGCAGTTAGGGAGTGAACCAGTGAATGGAAAATCTCTCTTTGTCTCTCTCATCCTTGATCCTTTTTTTTTTTTTTCAGAAAAAAAAAGATAAAGAAATAAATATTTAAAATCCACTGACCACAGAGCTCATCTCTCAGCCGCACCACTTCCTTTGGGAAAAAACCAAAAATGCACCCAGAAGCCAACACAGATGAAGTCATCAGGAGAACTGGGGTCTTCCCCACGAATTTGGTGACTAGATTGTTTTAGGGCCTTCGCTGTGAACAACCTGGCCTGTCGTGCTGCCGCTCTGCCCAGGGAGAGGATGTAAGACTTTCACTGGCAGTCTCTCGCCGAGTGGCAGCTGGAGGCTCAGCTGAAGTGTAGCTTCTTGCTGAGTAAGATGGGCAAGAACCCCAAAGGGGAAGTTGTGTCTTTCTGTGGAAACTTCTGTGAGAACTGAGTTGAATGCAGAGGATGTCAGCCTTATAAGTGCAAGAAGCTGTGGAAACTGCGACTTGCTCATTTCAGTTCCCAGCCTTGCCTCTGCCCCATGCAGATGTCTGTCCAGGAATCTCAGCTGTCCCCTGGGGATAGATTGGGGCAGAAGGGGGAGCTGACGATCTTGAGAAATGGCTTCCAGTGCAAGCCCTGTGATGATGCAAGTGCAGTCTCAGAGAAACAGCCTTGACCTTCTCGGATCTCAGCCTCCTGTACTGCCCAGAAAGAAGCCTTGGTCGTCAGCCCTACAGGCCTGTACCCTCTGCTCGGGACTCCCAACATCATGGAGGACTCAGACCACACTGAGGAGTTAGCACAACCATCAAAACTTTTCTTGGGTAGACACACACGCACTCAAATGTTGACCAACGATTTCAGGGAAATCAGAGGACTTCCCTAGGCTCGTTCATGCTCGCCGTAAGCACTGCCGCCCCATCCGGAGGCCTCTGTGGCAGTGTGTCAACCAGTGTGGCCACCTGCAGCCCTGGAGTGCTTCCGCAGCAGATGGCCTACTTTGAGATTTGCAGGAAGTACATGGTCTACATGATTTTGAAGATGAAGTATAATAGAAAAACATAAAAACATCTTCATAGTTTTCATATTGACTGTATTAAAGGAAGCATGGGTATTTGGGGTTAAATAAAATACATGATTTCCTGGTTTTTTTTTGTTTGTTTTTTTTTTTACTTTTTAAAACTATGTGGAGGGTCCAACATGGTGGCCTAGTGGCTAAAGTCCTCGCCTTGAACACGCCAGGATCCCATATGGGTGTCGGTTCTAATCCCGGCAGCCCTGCTTCCCATTTAGCTTCCTGCTATGACTGGGGAAAACAGTCCAGGATGGCCCAAAGCCTTGGGACCCTGCACCCGTGTGGGTGACCTGGAAGTAGCTCTGAGCTCCTGGCTTCAGATCAATGCAGCTCTGGCCATTGCAGCCAATTGGGGAGTGAATCATTAGAAAATGATTCTTTGTTTGTCTCTCCTTCTCTCTGTATATCTCACTTTGCAATAAAAATAAAATAAATCTTTTTTTTAAAAAAGTATGTGAAGGTGGGAGTTTGGCTTAGTAGATAAGACCCTGGTTAAGATGCTCACATCCCATATTGCATTCTGGATTTGCTTCCCATTTCTACTTCCAATTCCAGTTTCCTGACGGTGCAGACCCTTGGAGGCAGAGGCGATGGCTCAGGTCACTGGGTTCTTTCACATGGGAGACTCAAGATGGGTTCCCAGTGCCAGGCTTTAGCAGCCCTCACTATGGCAGGTACACGGAGAGTCAGCAGATGGGAATTCTCACTCCAAGACTTACTTATTTGAAAGGCAGAATAACAGAGGGAGAAAGAGAGACCTGTCTCCGGTTGCCATTTTACTCTCCAAATGCCTGCAACAGCTGGGACGGGGCGAGCCTGAAATCAAGGACCTGGAGCTCAGAACCTCATCCAGGCCTCCCTCAGGGATGACAGGGACTCACGCACTTGAGCCATCATCTGCTGCCTTCCATGCATTGCTGGATCAGAAGCCCAGAGTAGCCAGTACTCCAATCAAACACTCCGTGAAAGCACAGGGCATCCCAAGCAGCAGTTTTAACACACTGCACCACAACACCCTTTGTCTGTCAGTCTTTCTGTGGCCAGAGCATGTGAAAGGCAGCAGGGACTGCTACATGCTGGCCAAACAGTGCTGCTCTGTGATGGCGCCTGCTGATGGGGACACACAGCTTCTTCCCGCAGTCAGATGGACTTTCCCACAAGTCTGTCCAAGAGTGCAGAACGAAGCTGTGTTTCGTGTTTTTTCCAGCTAGACTGAAGCCTCCTTGAGGGAAGGAGTTAAATTTAGTACTCTGGCTCCCCCAGCCAACAAAGTGCTTCTTTTGGGGCCACCTGGGAGACCAGACCCCCACATAACATTGGTAGTCTGCATTCCAAGGACAGTCTGCATTCCAAGTACCATGAGCTCATGGATTCACTTCAGCAGACATGTGCTCTCTCATGGTGCTGGGAGCTGAGAGAGTTGGAAACCAAGTTTTATGGCAGGGCCAAGCTCCCTCAGAAGTTCTAGGCCCCACCCTCTCTCTAGCACCTGCTGGTCACTGGCTATGCTGGGCATCTCTTGGCTCATGGATGTATTGCCCCCATCCCTGCCCCCACAACCATGCAGTTCCTTTTCTCTCATATTCGCTTCTTATAAGAATACAACTGGATTAAGGATGCATAGTAATTTCATATTACTTCTTTTTAGCTTGATTATAGTGCAGAGAACCTATTTCCAAATCAGGTTGCCTTCTGAGAGCCCAGTAAACTTGAACTTTGTCGGAGACATCATCCAATTCAGTACAAATGTTTTTCCTTAGATCCATTTGTCGGCAGTTACAAAGAGATAGAGAGATCTTTCATCTACTGATTCTATCCCTAAATGGCTTGACAGGAACCTGGAACCCCATCCTGGTATCCTATGTGGTTGGCAGAAGTCTCAGTACTTGAGTCATATTCCACTTTAACAGGGAGCTGAATCAAAAGCTGAGCAGCCAGGACTTGAATTGGCACTCTAGTTTGGGGTGTGGCATTGTAGGCATCAGTTTGATTTGCTGTGCCACAACACCAGCCCCCCACCCCAACTCACCATAGTTGTTGAGTAATTTTATGGGACAGATATTTCCAGACTCTGGTTAGTATGTAAATAATTTCTCAAGCAACCTCTAAGGCAAAGAAGTGGCAGAACAGAGTGTGTGGTGTGTGCCAGGCATAGATCTAGACTTCAGGGACCCAGTGATGAACAGGATGCAGTGTTTGCCCTGGTGGGTGCTCGTATATCAGTGATAGAGACAGACAACATGGAAGTGTGTGTTGGTGTCTGATGGGACATTAAGTAGAATCATAGAGGAACAGGGTAGATGATGTGACGGGCTGTTTTTGATAGATCACTCCAAGGTGACAGCGGGGAATAGAACTGAGTTGCACACGTATTGGACTATAAAGATAAGAACAACTGTGAAGCCCCACGGAAGAGCCCAGATGATGTCATCACCAGGATGGAGGCTTGACAAGGCCTGGGCTGGCTGTTGGGCATCCAGTCCCCAGCCCGACCTGCTGGATTGGGTGCCATGGCTGAAGTGGAGCAGTCCAGAATTTTGGCTTAAGGGTTCCACTTCCTCTGGTCTCACTTCCTCCACTGTTTGGCTCAGTTGGAACCTGGTCATCTCTGGCTCTCGCTGGTGGACCTCATGCCATTGCTGCTACCTTTTCCGGACAATAAGAGCCCAGCTGAGCCTTTCCTTGTTGCTGGCACTTGAAGCTCAGGGTCTTACAACCCATTCCCCCATTTCTCCCTGGTTTCTTTTCGGGAAGTGCCTAATTCTTTTTATCCTGCAGGGTTTGGGGTTAGTTTAGAATTTCCTCCGGAAAGAGGCAGGTAACCTCCAGATTCTGCCCCTGGTGACAGGGTGGTGGGGGTTCCCCACCCAGCCCTCTCCTTTTCCTCCTCATGACTTCACTCAGATTAGCTGCTTAGATGAGCTCTACTCCAACCACTTCATTTAAGGAGGTTGTGCCCACGAGTGGGAATTGTCGGGTAGTGGTGGTTAAGCCACTGCTTGAGATGCAGGCATCTTGTATCAGAGTGCTAATTCAAGTCCCTGCTTCTCCGCTGGTGAACATCTTGGAGAGCAATGGATGACGGCCCCAGTACTTGAGTTCCTGCCACTCACACGGGAGACTGGATGGGATTCCTGACTTCCAACTTGCCAAGCCCTGGCTATTGCCACCAAGTAGGTAATGAACCCACAGATGAAACAGATCTCTCTGCTCTTTCTCCTTTCCTTCTCCACATCTCCCCTCCTTTCATTCTATCTCTCAAATAAAATACCTGCAAAGAGTTTGCATTCCAGTTGGGGTGGGTTGAGCAGGGCTACCCCTTGAACAATTGCAGAAGGTGCCATTTTGCACTTCACAATGTAAGTGGTGTCCATGGGGTTGTACCTGATTAGATATGTGGAGAGAAGCAATGGGTGGACCACAGTGTGGGCTCACAAAAAAAAAAAAAGGGAGCACAAAGTGCAGATTGACAGTTTGAGAGGAATCCAAGCCAAGAAAGGGCTTGCCAGCTCAGGCGAGGGGGAGTACGGGTGGAGGAGGCCTCCATGCCCAGCAAAGACCTGGCCACAGGGCACCCAACAAGTGAGGCCCGCAGGAAGGGCAGTGATGCCCTGGCTCCAGTCCTCGGAGTAGAGCTGAGGCTTATACCAGTGCTCAGCCACCAGCGCCCGGGGCCCACACTCTCCCTCCAGTCCCTCTAGCTGTGGGCTCTGCACTGGGCTGCACAGCAGCCCCCAGGGGGCTTCTTAAAACATCATATGATGAGGCCTGACCCAAATGGGCAGGAATGGGCCCAGGTGTCCCTTTGCCAGGTACTAAAAGGTGAGCCAGGTGTGAAAACCACACTCTAGGTTTTTGGGACCATCAAACTCAATAATTTCTGCCCCTGTAGCTCCTCAGATAGAATTTGAGAGTCCATGAAGTCTGGAATAAATGCCACCGTAATCTTTACTGACCTCCAATTGAAATGCAGCCCTGGGCCCGACACGATAGTGTAATTGTTAAGGTCCTTGCCTTGAACGTCCAGGATCCCATATGGGTGCCGGTTCTAATCCCAGCAGCTTCACTTCCCATCTAACTCCCTGCTTGTGGCCTGGGAAGGCAGTCGAGGACAGCCCAAAGCCTTGGGACTCTGTGTCCGCCTGGGAAACCCGGAAGAAGCTCCCTGTTCCTGATTTAGGATTGGCTCAGCTCTGGCCATTGTAGTCACTTAGGAAATGAATCAGCAGATGAAAGATCTTTCTGTCTCTTCTCTGTATAAATCTGCATTTCCAATAAAAATAAGTCTTTTTTAAAAAAAGATCAAAGATGCACTTCTGTCACATTTTTAAAACTATTATGATTGCTGGTATTCAGTGTCGTTTTTCAGTTGGATTCCTATTTGTCTTCCATGTGTTTTAATTTTTGTTTGTTTATTTGGAAGGCAGAGAGACAGAGAGAACAAGAGATAGATCTACTATTTACTGATTTCTCCCCAAATGCCTGCACCAACCAGGGCTGGACGAGGATGAAGTTAGGAGCTGAGAACTCCATCCAAGTCTCCCACATGAGTGGAGAGAACACAGAACTATCACCTGCTGCCCCCTGCAGTGTACACTGGCCGGAGCTGGAATCGGAAGCTGAGCTGAGACTTCAGTGTGGGGCGTGGGCACCCCAAGTGGCTTCTTATAGCACCAAACCCCTATCCCTGCGTGTTTCGAATAGTGTTCTGAGAAGGGGCTCCATAGGCCTTCCCATATGACTGTGGGGTCCCTGATCAAAGGTGAGTACTTCAGAAACTAGGAAACCTTGGGGTTGGCATGTGGCTCAGCCTGTCAAGTCAGCACCCGCAGTGCTGACACCCCACATCAGAGCACTGATTTGAATTCTGGCTGCTCTGCTGCTGCTGCTGAACTTGCTCCTGTTAATGTCTCTGGAAAAGCGGCAGAAAATGGCCCAAGTGCCCATGTGGGAGACACCGAACACGTTCCTTGGTCCTTGCTCTGACCTGGCCCAGTCCTGGTCTTTACAGCCATTTAGGGAGTTCAGAGCCAGCAGATGGAAGATCTCTCTGTGCATAACTCTTATCTTTTAAATAAATAAAAAATAAAAACAATCTAAGAGAAAGAAAGAAAGCAAGCTTCTGAAGTGTCTTGTGGCCCCCAGAAGAGATCAAGTGACATGGTAACCCCCTTTGTTGCTCATGTGATCTTCCACCTACTAGTTCACTCCTCAAATGTCAGAATGGCTGGGGCTGGACCAGGCTGCAGCTGGCAGCCTGGGAATGGGAGCCAGGAGCTTCATCCCAGTCTCCCCCGTGTGTAGCAGTGGTGAAGTACTTGGGCCATCTTGCTGCCTTCCCCGCAGCACTAGCAAGGTGCTGGATCAGAAGTGAGACAGTTCCGTCAGGCCACAACGCTGGCCTCTCTGTTCCCTGTTTCTTGGCAGAAGTGCTTCAGGGCCTTTCCTGCTGTAGCCCTGGAAACGGATCTTCTGGGATTTTCCTTTCTGCCACTGGGGAGGTGGCAGCCAAGCAGAAAATAAGGTGAGCCAGGTGGTCCTTCCCTGAGCCACTGTCACCGGTGCCCGTCCGTCTTTGCTCCCTGCTGCTTTACCATTCTGCTAGCCTGTATGTTTAGGGTGTGGGCCAGAGGAAGGAGACTGGAGACCATTCACTCCTCCTGGGTCCTTCAAAGCCCGCCTTTCCAGTCAGCACAGCCAGCCCCAAGACCCAAGTCTGACTGACACCATCCTTGTCCTCAGGGAGCTCCCAGTCTGCTGAGCTGAAGTTTCAGTCAGAGTAGATACTTTGGAGCCCCTGTATTTTGGTCTTTAACGTTAAAATCCCATTCCTCGGCCTGAGGAGAAAGCGCTGGGTCAGAGAGCAGCAGAGTCCCAGCCGCGTGTTCACTGCAGCCCTCACCTACGCCTGCCCCCTCTGCAGACATCCACACTGTGCGCACGCGCCCCGGTGATCAGTCGGGGACGGGTGGCAGCATCACCATGACCTCTCGACCTTGTAGGCCAAAAGACGCCTTCTTAAAGCAGAGGGAAGACAGTGGGGGTGGCAGATGTCTGAGCCGCTGTGCATAGAAGATGCTGAGGTAACAGTTTGTCTGGAGTCCCTGTCAAACAACAGACAGGAAGTGGCCGCCCACAGCGCCCAAGGCTGGCCCGCAGAGCCTTCACACACGACCGTTTCCCCCTCAACCCCTGGCCAAAGCCGAGGACCCAGCTCCTGGGAGAATGTACCTGTGGTGTGGAGGTTCCCCCGCTGGGCTTTCTGTGTGGAAGAGGAAGGCACAAACAGAGCAGTGGAGCAACTTCCCCACCATGGATGAGACAGCCAGGAGCTGGGTCTCAGACCACTAAGTCGTATTTCCTCCTCTCCTCCTCTTCCCAGGAGAGAAGGAAGTGCATAGGGTTTGGAGGTGGCCCCACTTCCGGTTCTACCCCAACTGGCAGGATCTATTTGCTAGAAATGAAGACAGCTTATTATTATTTTTTAAAAAGATTTTTTTTTTGTTTTACTATTAGAAAAACAGATATACAGAGAGAAGGAGATACAGAGAGAAAGATCCTCTATCCTTTGATTTACTCCCCAAGTGGCTGCAACAGCCAGAGATGAACCGATCTACAGCCAGGAGCCAGGAGCTTCTTCTGGGTCTCCCACATGGGTGCAGGGTCCCAAGATCTTGCACCATCTGCTACTGTTTTCCAGGCCACAGACAGGGACCTGGGTGAGAAGTGGAGTAGCTGGGATATTACGTGGTATTGTTAGAGTGTGGGTAAAATGCTATTGTTGGGCAGTGTGAGGTTCCTTTGTGTAGAGAAAACTGCTACTTTGCTAGGCCAGGAGGCGCCTGGAGCTTGGGAGGATTCCGCTTTAGTGATAAATCTGTTCTTTACTGTCATGTAACTTTGTGAATCCAAGTGCACGGGGACAAGGGCACAATTCTTCTCCAGTCCCAGAAACAGGAGGAAGATAAAGGTGTGAGAATGGGATGAGGCATACAGATAATGGATATGGGAACAGAACAGGCTGCCTGTGCCTGAAGGCCATAAACATGAACATGCCTAAGGTTGTTACTTTTGATGTATTTCCCAGCCCCAAAGGGCCTATATAAGCTTCTGTCTTGGGCTGTTTGGGGTCCGACTGCTCTGCTTGGCTGGCCTGTGTGCCCCAAGTGCGGTCTGGCCCCAGCATGCTGGCGCAATAAACTCTGTTTGCTGTTTGCATTACCAGTGAGACTCTTTGTCGTTCTCTGGGGGTTGACTAGCTCATACCCTGATGTCCGGGGGCTTTAGCCCGGACTCTAACAGTATCTATATGGGATCCCAGTGGATGCAGGGTGAGGATTTAGCCACTATGCTACCACACTGAGATCTCCAGTCCTGTTCAGTCCTCAGCTCACCCCGATGCCTACCCTGCCACCTCCTCTTCCTGGGGAAGTTAGGGTCTGCTAGCTTTTTCTTTTCCTGAGCCTTCCTCCTATTGCACTGGACCCCAACTTTTTTTTTTAATTTCATAATCATATTTAACAATTTTGGGGACATGCTGATTAGTGAAAAGTTTATTCTCCTAACTGTCCTTCCTCCCATCCTTAAGAGACCACCCCTTTGGGGTCAGGGTTATAACCCAGGGTGTTAACACCTCTTCTGCAAAGCTAGCACCATATACAAGCACTGACTGGTTTGAGTTTTGGCTGCTCCACTTCTCATCCATGTCCTGCCAATGCACCTGGGAGAGCAGCAAAAGATGCCCCAAAATGCTTGGACCTCTGCACCCACATGGGATACACGAGTGGAGTTCCAGGCTCCTGAGTGCAGCCTGTCTCTGTCCTGGTTGTGGCAGCCATTTGGGGAGTAAGCCAGCAGATGGAAAATCTCTCTCGCCTCTTCTCTCTCTTCTTTCCTTGCTCCCTCCCCTCTCCTTCTCTTTCTCTCTGTCTTTCAAATAAAAAACAAATAAAGGAGGAAAACCTTCAGATTTTAATTTCTAAGTTGCCTTTGAAAGGCAAATGTGTTCTAATTGCTCGCACACTTTTTTTGAAAATTAATCATGGTGCACGCACTGGTGATGTGCAGTGCATTCACAGAGCACCGGAGAGGGAGGGGCTTTCTCATCGCTCTGTCATAACAGGTCGTGTGCTATGGCTGACCCAGGACACTTGTTTAGAGGAGAGGTCCCCTTAGAAGTTAGGATGGCTGTTTGCTGATGACAAGGCATGGCAGCCCTGGAATTGCCCAACATCGTCCTCAACACCTTTCACCTTCGTTTACTGGCTATGATGACATGGAGACTTTCTGTTCCTGTTCCTGTTTAGCGACAGTGGCAACAAAACAAGCGCTGGTGGGCTTAGGAGAAGGAAAATGCCCAAATAACAAATTCTGTTCCTTGACCCAGTGGATATGATAGTCATCAGAGGACATCTCCTGCAAGCCCGTCTTCCTCTTGGAACCTTGTGGACTTCCTGAGCTCTGCTGGGCCTGCTGCCTGGGCAGGGCTGTGGTGCCTGGCCAGTACTCCCATTGACAACACAGGCAACCTGAGCTCAGTCCCTGCCACGCACACGCAGGCAGCTTCCGTGGGCTACGGTGGCCCCCTCCTGTCACAGGTGATGAGGAGGGTCAGAGTCTCAGGAGCCTAAGTGACCATGGGCGGTAGAGTGGGAGCCTTGCCTCAGCCCCATCAGGCCCCAGCTCTCTCTCAGCTGCACCACACTCTGCTCCCTTACGACCTTGCATCCCACATCAGAGCGTTTGTTCAACTCCCGGCTGTTTCACTTCCTGTGCAGCTCGTTGCTAATGCAATTGGGAAAGTCCAAGTCCTTGGAACCCTGTCTCTCACATGGCAAACCTTCTGCTTCTACCTGGTCTACTCCTGGTATTTCAAAGATCTCTGTCAAGCTCTCTCTCTCTCCCAGCTTTTCGCAGAGGTTGCTGACAGAATGGGTGAAAGCTAATATGATCTCAGCCTCTGAGCATTCCTCGGATTATAGGGCTGGCTCTGGGTTTTGCCACTGCCTCCCAGCCTTCCGGAGGGCCTCCTTGTACCTTATCCAGATGACCTCTGTCCTTGGGAAGGCCGATTGTGGTGAGGGCTGGGATCAGCATTCTTTGCTTTTATCTCTCCCAAGAACAATGCCTCGTGCCTTCTCGTGTTCTCCGTCTGGAGTTTCTAGGGCCACACACACACTTTCTTGAGGACACTCTCTCTGAGAAGCTGGCATCACTAACGGCTGAGACATGCAAAGGTCCCAGGGAGCATCTGGCTGAGACCAGGAGAAGATGTGTCCACAAGAGCTGGTGGCAGACCCAGCTGGAAGCCATCAGACTGAGAGGTCTAATTTTGAAGTCTCACACAAACCCCGAAATTATGTGAATAATCTTATGGTTACATTTTTCTTAAGTTTTTAGGTTTATTCTAAAGGAATTCTGTGATGTCCCTATGCTTTAAGAACACTTTGAAGGGAGGTCAGCCTTGTGGCATTGTAAGTGTATCCCATGGGTGCTAACTTGAGCCCCAGCTGCTCTACTTCGCATTTAGCTCCCTGCTAGTAGTGGATGGCCCAAGCACTTAGGTCCTTGCACACACAGCGAGACCCAAATGGAGTTCCTGGCTCCCAGCTTCAGCTTGGTTCAGCCTTGGATTGTGAATCATTGGATGAAAGATTCTGTCTCTCTCCCTTTCTATGACTCTTTCAAAATAAACAAATTTAAAAAAAAAAAAAAAGGAATTCTTGGAGGGGACATAGGTTCTTCTGAGACAACTGCACAAATGCAGTTACCACTAGCCTAGAGAGGCCTGGGGACCTCTGCCCCTGTCCCTTCTCCCCCACCCCCTCCTAATGATCCACTGACGTGTTCTATCTGGATGGGACAGGTTTTGAGAAACAACCTAAGCACCCTTTGGTGGTTCAGTTTGTCAGCTGACCTGCTGTAGGCCTATTGTATGTAAAAGACTTTCCCGTCTTTTCCAGGTGTCAAGAAACCCAGCCTCTTCTCCAGACAGGAGCAGAGCCGGCTAGCACAGCTCAGAGAGGGACCAGCGCAGGTGCTGGAGAAAGGTGAGTGGTTACACATTTGAGCTTTCTAGCATTTCTGAGCGTGAGCTAGTGATTCTGCTTGGGGCGAGGGGTGTTGCTATGGGAGACAATGAACCACTGATATATTAAAGAAATAAGTCAGCAGGCTGATCTTTTGTGTTTTAGACCGCAATCACTTTTATGCTCAAGTATATAGATAAAGGGTATAGGGAAACAATCGGGATAGGCCCCCAGGCTGGGCTGGCTGAGAGGATAGGGGTGCATGGACCTGGCACTGTTGATTCTTTACTCTGGGAAGCTGGGTGATCTGTTCCCTTTCCCAGTCACCCCCCCCTGTCCTTAAGGGGGCTTGGCTGTGACTTTCATTAGCATTCTTCCTGCATGGCCCAATGGTGGCTGTCAGGAAAGGTGCCAGACTCCGGAGGCCTGGAAGGGGGTCTTGCATTGGTTACTTACAAGTTAAAAGGCAATGACTTTTGCAAACACTGACTCTCCCCTTGCCTGACTATAGCCTGGGACAAGATGTTCCATTTGAGGAGCACCAGTTTCCCGAATCCACACTGCCCTCTTCCCCGTTGCCCCTTAGGAACATGGAGTGGAGTTGGGGCATAAATGGAGTGAGGGACACTGCTTAATTTTCTGCCTTACCCCACCCGACCCCCGGGGAAAGGGATACCTTTGCTTGCTCCTAGAGTCACTTGTGTACATTCCCTTTACGATGCGGCCCCCTGTGGGGTCCCAGAAGGGTGAAACTCTTCACCACTTACTCAGAAAAGCCTCCATGCTGCGTGTCCAGGAGCCTCAGCTGTACATCCTGCACCGTTTGCTTCTCCTCTTTCCCATGTGTCCATCACTCTTCTGAGAATGCTTTACTGACTCCTTGTAAGCAAAGTAATTTGTGTGGCTTCCCCTTTGCTTACTGCACCAGGTCCTTGGTGTGACCTCTCTCTCTCTCTCTCTCTCTCTCTCTCTCTCTCTCTCTCTCACACACACACACACACACACACACATACACACACACACACACCAGCATTGAGAATGTACCTTAGGGGTCCAGGGTGAGCTGAAGCCAAGCAGGAAGTACTCTGCTCCTCCTGCCTAGATTCCCCACGTGCAGCTGCCTCCTCCAATGGGTTAAGTGAGAGAGGCTCAGGCAGACACAGACCTTCCTTCTCCTAGTCAGAGCTGGGGGAGGGACTGCTGTGGGCTGAGTCTGTACCACGTGCTCTCCTTTTCACAAAGAAATTTGGAAGTCTCCAGATTATCCCATTTGCAGCCTGGTTTGACAATTGGAAACCAGAGTAAGAGGGCTCTGGCCACTCAATGGACATCAGCGACAGAGCTGTGACACAGTTGCCAAGAGACCCAGTCCCAACTCCAGTCTTGCCTTGGGGCAGCAGGCAGCCCTGGCTTGGCATAGCCCTCCAAGGGGAGCTCAGCTTATGGCCCACATAGGCCCAAATTTTGACTTACTGACATCACGGTCACCAGGGAGCTCATAAAAAGACAAAGGGCACTAAGGCACAGTACAGGAGGGCTTATGCCTATCCTGGAATCTTGTCAGTTTTGTCTCCAGTGTTCCGCAAGTGATCCCAGTGTACAGTCAGATCTGGGCTGGCCTGCCCCAGGGTCACTGTTAGAATCCTAAGTGTTGGCTATATGCTGAGGCTCTGGCTGCATGTGCTTGACCTGTGGCCCGAGTTTTTGCGTTTTTGGGGGAGGTCCCAGGTGATGACAGTGATGCTGGTCTGGTTCCCACCAGACCCAGTGTGGAGCCACAGTGTTTGGCTGGACTGAAAAGTGGGCTCACCTGGGAGCCCCTGCAGCCCTCACTGCAAAAGCAGAATCTCAGGGCTGGGACTGACAGGAGGGATCCCCCCTGCACCCTGCATTACATTATGCAAATATTCAAAATACAGCAATATGGAAAGAATTCTGCAGCAAACAGATGTGCATCCAGTACGTACATTCCACTGTGGACATTTGATTGCCTTAGCTTTGTCATGCTCCATCTGTCCAGCCATTCCCCTGACATCAGAATTTCTGAAAGCTCCCAGTTCCTCAATATTTAACCAAGTCTGAGAACCAGGAGTCAGAGGTTTGTGACTCCTCTTCTGTAACTCTTTCTAACTATAATCTGGGGTTCTCTGCCAAAATCCTCCTCTTCCCTCAGAGATTTATTAAGGAACAAGGCATGCATTTATCCAGCACCTATTGAGTAGTAAGCATTGATTCACCCCCACTGAATACACTGGGGACTCCCTTCCCTTGAGCTATCCAAGCAGGAGATTTTATCTTCTGGAATGTTCCAGAAGAGATTCAGGCCAAGAAATCATGTCCCTAATTTGTTGCCCTCCATGGAGTGAGATGTGGATAGGAGAAAGCTATGGAGGGAGGCCCACCGGGCAATCACCCCCATGCTGGATGCAGGGGAGTTTGGTCAGCAGAGGTGGCCTCCTAGAGTTCATCCTGCACTAAAGGGGCTTCCCCCTGGACAGCCAGTGAGGTCCCAGGAGTGGCCATTTAGAAAGCAGCCTCAAGGCCATGTTTGCCCCAAGGTCCTTTGTGTTTTCAGCCAGAGTCCCATACACAGGGACTTTTTGTATGATTCACTGTGCATCTTCCCATTTTACTCAAGCATTAGCTGGACTTGCTTGAGTTCTCAGTGCTTGGTGAGATGGTAAGTGCCTTGAGGACTCTGGCTGGCTCACGGCCTCACAGCGGGCTCACACAGGCCCTGGGCAAAAGAGAGGTGCTACTGGGGTGCTTCTGAGTCACCAACTCTGCACTGCTTTCCAGAACGCCAACAAACAAAGCAGTAATGGGGAGATAGCTGCAATTCTGGCATATGAGCCAGGATGAATTAGCAGGTAGCCTTCTGAAGACACTATGTGGGTGAGGGCTGATGTTGCGACCGGAAAATAGTTGTTACAAACGGGAAGGCAAGGGAAATGGAAATGCTGTGTCAATACAGTGAGATCAAGGGCAGTGACTGTTGCGCCATTGCTGCAGTGTGAAGCCCAACCCCCGCGGCCGTGCTCCATGAGGGACGTGCCAGGGTGTGGTAACTCAGGCCCTCTGCGTGTACTATCTAGAGGAGCTCCATGAGGACTGGCTTCTTGCACTGCTCATGCGGTCCCACACCTAGTAGGGCTACAACCTAGCACCCAATAGGCACTAGATAAATCCATACTCAACCAGTGGCAGAGACGGGTGCTGTTTCACTTGTGTGTCTATACCCTTAAGCCTTTCCACATGTAGATAAAGTAACATGAGGAAAAGAAATCCTTGGCTAGACATGGGCCCCCGCCGTGGGATCAGAGTCCAATGGCAAGTTGGGACAAAGCCTGTTCCCACATCCCCCTGCCCAGAGAGGGGTGACCGCCACAATGCTGTCCCCTTGGGTCCTCCCACAGGTCAGCCTCCTCTTGATCCCTGTGTGGGTATTGGTGGGTCAGGGCAGAAGGACATTTGCCACTATCTCTCCCTTTTCGGGGTCCTGAAAATGCCATCTTCCCAGGGGCTTTATGTCAGGATGTGGCAGAGTTCAGCTAGACGGGGTGGGGGCAGCTGGTAGGAGCTGGGGGTTTGGCGAGGCATCATCTCCCTGATAAAGGCCTTGCCTGCAGACATGTCCACTCCCTGAGTCACCACTGAGTCTGAAATACCCTCCTGATGTCACAGCTTGGGAGCAGGGCATGGCAGATCCCACCCAGGTGCAGATGCGGAAAGGGAGCCTCACTCAGCCAAAACGAATCTCAGAATGATTCAGCCCTGGGGAAAATCCAGCCGGGGAGCTTTGGGTCTGGGAGCCCTTGCCTGGGAGGCCCCAAGCAGCCCTGGCTTCTGCACTGTGCCTGCCCAGACTCCTGCTCTGAGCTCCCAGGAATAATGGAGTTCAGCAGGGAAGTGTTGGCTGCTGCTTGCTTTTAAGGGCCCTGAGTCCTGCTGTTCCCATTCAGTCCTCCCCACAGCTTTGGGAGGGCAACACATCCCTGCGTTCCAGCATCAGATTCACCACCTCCCATGGCCAAGGTCATGCTGCTAAGCCCAACAGCACTATAACTATATGCCAAGCCCCTCCTGGGGCCTCCTGTCTAAACTCTTTCAATCTCTCTCTCTCTTTTTAATGATTTACTTATTTTTATTGGAAAGGCAGATTTACAGAGAAGAGAGACACAGAGAGAAAGATCTTCCATCCACTGGCTTATTTCCCAAGTGACTGCAATAGCCAGAGCTGAGCCAATCTGAAGCCAGGATCCAGGAGCTTCTTCCAGGTCTTCTATGAGCATACAGGGTTCCAAGACTTTGGGCCATCCTCAAATGCTTTGCCAAGCCACAAACAGGGAGCTGGATGGGAAGTGGAGCAGCCAGGACATGAACGGGTGCTCATTTGGCAGCCCATTGCTTGCAAAGTGAGGATTTAACCATTGAGCCATCATGCCAGGCCCTCACCTCAACCTCCTAAGTCCTTAGAAGATGTTGCCTTTTTCATGTGTTGACAGGTGCGCAAGCTGGAGCACTGGAAGGTATTCAGTGGGCAGACGGCTGAGCTGGGTGCTGACAACGGTGGCTTGGCCCTGCCCTGCTCTCCACCACTGTACTGTTATAAAGTCAGCACTGACAGCACTGTGTCTGGGTCACATGGGTGGACTGAGAGTCTGCCACATACACATACAGTTGCTCTGGGGGATCAGACAGGCTCTGTCCTTGGAAGGCTTATGTGCTCAGGTCATGGAGGTGGGCCAGAGCTGGGAGAATGCTGGAATGTCCAGCGGACCGAGAGTCCAGGCAGGGAGTAGCCATACCCGCCCTCTCTCAGCCTGGGAAGGGCAGTCCATGATGAGCCTGACCTCCCACACACGGCCCCTCCTCGGAGGTGCTGACTACCCTCCTTGGGGAACTGAATCTGCTGTCAGATGACACCAAGGCCTGCTTATCTCTGGACATGGACCTGTGTGTGATCTGTGTCAGACACCCATTGTGGGGGACTCTCCCTATCTCTGCTACACACACACACACACATCTCAGAACAGACCAAAGACCCAATCAGAGATGCTCCTCCCTGAGAGACATGGAGGCAGTGCTCATAGGCCTTTAGCGGGAATTTGTGCTGGGAGCTGTTATGTTTGTGGCTCTGCCTTTGGGCAGCTGTAGGCACAGATGTGTTCTGATGGTGCTTTCCCAGGCTTACTCTGGCTGCTGGAGGATGGCAAGAGTGACGGGCTATGGACTCTCCCCTGTGGTTTTCCTGGATGTTCCCTCTGGTGCCCAGCTTTTGCTGGTCAAATGCCATCAGCAACTTCCTCCTCAGAACAGCAATGGGGAGAAGGAAATGCACAACATAGAGGACAAGTGCTCAGAGCCACTTACAGAGGGGCGACCAGAGCTAGATGGACCTAGGCCCTGTCCTGCCACCGCTCCCCTTCACCAACCAGCCTGGGGTCTCCATTCTCACCTGTGAGTGGGGTCAGGAGGCCAACCTGGCAGAGCTGTGTGAGCATGGGTGAGCTCTCACACCCACACCCTGTGTGGCACGCATAGACCCTCCTCACCTTCTGCAACAAGGTGAAGAAACTGGGTTTAAGGTTTCTCAGGAATGGTTGATTGTTACTGTTGATTTTCTACTCAGCTTCCCCGCTGGTCACCTTCCCTCAACCATACCATCCTTCAGCCCCCAGGGCTCGGGTGTCTCCTTGCGGCTTCTACTGAAGCTTGGGGCTACCTTCGGGGTCCAGCTCTTCGCTTCTGGAAAATGATGTTTACCTTCTGACCAACCTGACCACACCCTCATGGTCACAGTGCCCACATGGAGGGCTGAGTGTGCACTGGCAGTGTTCACACGTATCGGGTGATGGCTCTCCGAAGGGGTGCACTTGCTCTATCCCCACAGTTTCCTGTGAAATTAGTGCAATTATCAGTCCCATTTGAAAGATGGCAAAACAGAGGCACGACGAGGCTAAAACACAGAAGTGGCAGGTTTGAGCTTAGCAGGTTGGCTCTCAGCCCAGGCTCCTGACCCCATCATCTGACCAGGTAGTGTTTAGAATCCACAAGAATTTGGGAAAATGTGATCTTTGTCCTACAAGCATCAACACTTCAATTTTTTTTTTCATCCGAAGAGGTTTTGTTCTGAGGTTGAAAATTCCACATTTCCCCTGGTTATACTCCGCTGGTGTTTGATTTCCTCCTAAATAAGGCATGCTTTCTGAATCTCACCAGGGCTCTCTTGTGCTCAAAAACAGGCCTGTTTTTCTCCGTCACCTGTGGAGATGGAGTGAGGACAGATCAGCTGCAAATCAGCTGCAAATCTCTCCAAGCCCGTCCTCCCCTGAGCCAAGCACAGCCTGGCCTCTTCCCCCGTGGAGCTGGCTTCCTGTCCCAGTCCCAAGGAGAGCCTCTTGCAGGCTGGCTCCTTCTCAGGCTGCACCCTGCGCATCCAGGCTCTTGCTTGGGGAGCACACAGTTGCATTCCCAGACAAAGCAAGGCAGACGGAGAGACTTGGGGTGCTCCGTCCCTGATGAGAATTTAGTCAGTCTATTTTGCTGTTTTTGTGTTTTAGCACATTTAGAAATTAATGGAAGTAAAAGCAAGTTGGAAGGAAAAAGTTATCCCTACCTAATTCCTCCTCCTTAAATTGTATATATATTTGAAAGGCAGACTAAGAGAGACAAAAATCATCCATCTGCAGGTTTACTTCCCTAATAGTCACAGAGCTAGAAACTGAATCAGGCCTAAGCCAGGAGCCAGGAACTCTTGAGTATCCATGTGGGTGGCAGGGACTCAAATCATTGCTCCTTCACCTGCCATCTCCCGGAGTGTGCATCAGCAGGAAACTGGAATTGGATACAGAGAGGCGACTCGAACCCAGAGGCATCCTGATATGGGGATGCAGGTGTCTCCAAGCAGCATCTTAATCCCGTGCTGAATGCCCACCCCTCCTTGGATTGACATAGATTATTGTTTACTCTGAATCGAGGGCCTACGTGCAGGGAGCAGAGCAGGAACACCACCTTTGATCCCTGCCCTGAGTCGCTTACAATCTAAGCCTGTAAATTTCAAGGGCATCTTTGAACCATTTCCATTTCCACCTGTTTTTTTCTGAGCATGTCCTGTGGCCAGGGTCTCTGTAGGCACCCACAGACACATCAGCGAGCAATGCATTTCTGTGCTGGGGAAACTGTGACTCAAGGCTGTGTACACAAGGGAAGGAAGGGAGCTGTGGCACAGGACACGGTGTTTGGGGGCAAGCTGCAGTATTATGTGGGGCGTCAGGGTTGACCTTGTACAAAGTGAGGCTGGAGCCAAGACTGCAAGTACAGATTTAGCCCAGCGAGTATCTGGGAATTGAAGATTGCAGGCAGGGAATAGCTAGAGCCCAAAAGAAACAAAATCCAACACAAACATCAGGAAGGGACCACCCAAAAGATAAAGAGCTTGAATGAGGCCACAGGAAGGGAAGCGGAGGGCTTGCATGCCACTGCTAAATGCATTGTGGCTGCCTGGTGGCAGGGGTGATGTACCCAGCCCTAGCACCAAGCTCTGCCCAAGCAAGGCTCTTTCACATTGAACACATGGCCTTGAGCAAGCCCAGTGCACCCTGGCTTCAGAGACCTGGCCTGTGAAGGCAGTTGGTCTGTGTCCAGGTACCTGCCAGCTGGCTGGCTCATGGCCCCTGCGTGCAATTTGTAATAATCCTGATAATCAAATACTAACACTAGCAATATCTTGGCAGTTTCAGCATCTTTACTAGGTGAAAAAATTAAGTACTGGTATTATCGAGTCTCTTAAAAATTAAAATCAGAGCCCAGTGGCTAAATTTTTGCCTTGCAAATACTAAGATCCCATATAAATCCCAGCTGTTCTGCTTCCCATCCAGCTTTTTGCTTGTGGCCTGGGAAAGCAGTAGAGGGTGGTCCAAAGCCTTGGGACCCTGCAGCCACATGGGAGGCCCAGAAGAAGCTCCTGGCTCCTGGCTTCAGATCGGCTCAGGTCCGGCTGTTGCAGCCACATGGGGATTGAACCAGCAGATGAAAGATCTTTCTCTCTCTGTCTCTCCTTCTCTCTGTAAATTTGCCTTTCCAATAAATAAATAAATAAAATAAATCTTAAATTAAAAAAAAAACACTAAAATCAAAACCATCTGATCTTGGTGGTTTGGGTAGAGGAAAAGAAAGGTGAGATCAGGGCATTTGGCAGGGTGACAAAGTGAGGTAGGAAAAGGCACAGGTTTCCCTCACACCCCTCTATGCGGGGCCTATATTCCAAGCAGGCCCCACAGTTGTTCCCTGAGAACAGTGCCTGAACGGATATGCAGGGTATCTGGGGTAAGCAGCTGGCCATCAGTTCGGAAGGTTTGGAAAATGTTATGCAACCGTCAAGAAATGGTGAAAAAACGATCTTTGGTAAATGAAGAAAACAGCAAAACCTGGCAGAAGGTCCAACTTTGGCCAGAAGCACAAACTTGCTGTCCATTGACTGGCTTAAAGGAATGACACGAGAGCATCATATTGGCTACACTTGACTTTGCCCAACTCCGGGTCAGCAGCCTTCATCTCTGGGAAGCATCTTCCCTGCCCATGACGGACAGGGTTTCTCTATTTTTATTGGAAAAGCGGATATGCAAAGGAGGAGAGACAGAGAGAAAGATCTTCCATCCGATGGTTCACTCCCCAAGCAGTCATAACGGCTAGAACTGAGCCAAGTCCAAAGCCAGGAGCCAGGAGCTCTTTCTGGGTCCCCAGGCGGGTGCAAGGTCCCAAGGCTTTGGGCCGTCCTCGACTGCTTTCTCAGGCCACAAAGCAGGGAGCTGGATGGGAAGCGGGCTGCCAGGATTAGAACCAGTGACATATGGTATCCCAGCGTGCAAGGCGAGGACTTTAACCACTACACTATCGCGCCAGGCCCAAGTACATATATTTTTAAAAGTAGAAAAACGAGTGGGTGCTTGGTGTGGCTAAGATGCCATTAGAGAGGGCCTGGGTTCAAATCCTGGCACTGGTTTTTCTTCTAGTTTCTGGCTAATGTACTTCCAGGCGGCAACAGGTGGTTGGGACCCTGTTATGCACAGGGAACACCCAGATTGAGTTCCTGGCCCTGGCTTTGGACCTGTCCCAGTCCTGGCTGCTGTGGACATTTGGAGAGTGAACCAGTAGATGTGAAATCTTTATGTCTCTGTCTTTTCAAGTGGAATGAATTTTAATTTAAGTAATGTATTCTATTTTAAATTTTATTCTAATTTTAACTTAAATAATTTATTCTAACCCAGTATATCATTTCAGGATATAATTAATCTAAAAATTATTAACATGTTTTACATTCTATCACACAGAAATCGGTATATGTTTTATAAACACAGCATATCTCAACTTGGACAATCAAGATTTTTAAAAAAACATTTTATTTATTTCATTGGAAAGGCAGATATAAAGAGAGAAAGATCTTCAGTCTGCTGGATTCACTCCCCAAGTAGCCACAACGTCCAGAGTTGAGCCGATCCAAAGCCAGAAGCTTCTTCCATCTCTCCCACATGGGTGCAGGGTCCCAAAGCTTTGGATCAGGTCACAAGCAGGGAGCTAGATAAGGAAATGGAGCAGTCAGGACACAAACTGGGACCCATATGGGATCCTGGTGCATATAAGGCAAGGACTTTAGCCACTAGGATACCACACCAGATCCATCAATCCACATTTCAAGGGCTTAATAGTCGCCTTGGCTACAAATGTCACAATGCAGTGCTAAGTGGCAGGGAGCTTGGGTTGGCTCGTCAGACTGGACCTGGCTCTCCCTGTCACATCACGATAACTGGGGAGGCCTCTGACATGAAGAGTCTCAGATCACACAGAGAAAAGAAGATCCCAACACCAACCCTGTCATTCCAGAGTGGTTGTGAGCCGAGATATATTGAGCAAGCTCAGACCTGCTCCTAATGGTCCTCTCCTTCCTCCCCACTGGTCTCCTCCTCCACCTTCCTTGGGGAGTCAGTCCTAAGCTGATTCTAGTCTTTCAGTGATTCCCATCTCTATTGAAAGTGTTGGAGCAACAAGTTCAAGGGTTGTATTATACTGGATAGTGAGGCTAGTTATCAACAAGAGACACACATTCTTTGACTTACAATGGAGAGTAACATAAGTAGAAGATGCATTGAATCCAACCAACCTTGATATCCTGACTTAGCAACTAGTGTACTATAAGACCTACTACAAGCATACTATCATGAGGGATTATTCGACCATATGTTGCCTGGGGAAAGAGCATAATCCAAATATGATCCACTGAATGTATGTCACCTTTCCACCATTGTAAAATCAAAAATTTGTAAGTGGAATTATTAGTATGGGGACTTTTGTACTTTATTCTTTAAAAAAAAAAGATTTATTTGAAAGAGTAACAGAGAGGGAGAGACAGAGAAGAAAGAGATCTACCATCCACTGGTTCACTTCCCAAATGACCGCAACAGCCAGAGCTGGGCCAGGCTGAAGCCAAGAGCCGGGAACCCCAGCTGGATCTCCCGTGTGGGTGTCAGAGACCCAAGCACTTGGACCATCTGCTGCCTTCCCACGAGGGTTGGCAGGGACTCTGACTGGCACTTTTTGACTATAGGTGAGCATCCTGAGCAGTGACTTAACCTCTTGAGTCACAATGCCTGCTTCATTTTGTATTGTACTTATTTAAGAGTACATTGATTCAATTTATTTTAAAGACAGACTACCAGACCCAAGTCAAGAACCAGGAAGTCTCCCATGGGAGTCAGGGACCCAGTCACTTGAGTCATCCCCTTCCAGGGAGGGAAGTCATCCCCTTCCAGGATGTGCACTGGCAGGAAGTTGGACTTAGAAATGAACCCAGAATTTGGGGCCAGTGCTGTGGTATAGCAAGCTAAGCCTCTGACTGCATTGCTGGCATTCACTGTGGACATATGGACAGTGAATGTCAGCATTGCTTAGCTGGTTAGTGTGGCAGATGAACTGGGAGCTAGGAATTCTATTTTTTTTTTATTTTTTAGTTTTTTTTAGTTTTAATGCGTTTTATTTTTAGAAAGCCTACATGACAACATTTTATCTTAAAAACAATGCCTCCACTCCAAGTAAATCAGTCAAAACAAATGAAGAACTCGAGATAACATCAGCCCTGTTTCTTGTAAATCTGATCTTGTGTGCAAGACCAGCAGCTGTCAGTTACGGTGACCTGAGCACCGGTAGATCAAAGTCATTGCTATAAAGCAAAGGAAGATTATGCTGATATTTCCCTCCATGCACCCACCACTTCCAGGTTACAAAGCCCAGCACTTCTGGTTGTGGTGTGCCTTGGTCTGCTTCTATGTAGCCTCATGATCAGGACAATGAGGCTGAAGGAAGTTTGTAAAGAGAGCTGTTGGTTATCAGGGTAGCGGGAAAAGAGCAAATGTTACGAACACTAAAAATGTTTTTGAAAAAAAGCATCATGACCCAGAAGGAGGAAATCAAGTATGCAAATGAGAGGAACCCCCAAAATATATCCTTCTCCAGTTCAAGCTCTGGTAACCCAGACAGATTTCAGAAAACTTCCTGACGCAATTGCAGAAACTATTGTTTGGGTGCCAGGGTTTAAAATTGGGGGTTAGGATGAAAAGAGACCAGAGACGAAGCTGGATGTTTCTGAAAGCTGGAACTAACATCCCATAGCATGGAGCCCACTGCCTTGGCGAGTTTGGGGGCTGGCCACTGAGCTCTGAAGAGACCCAAGGGTTGCAGGACCCATTTGCAGGTGGTCTCTGAGAGTTCACAGCAGAGGGCTCGATGTGTTCCTGTGTTCTCATACAATTGACTCGGGACCCCTGTCCTTGTTCTCTGCAGGAAATGGTAAAGGAATCAGCAGGAAGCCTAAAACAAGGGAAGGGAAACCCCGCCCTCCTGTCAAAGGAGAAGCAAGGGTGAGAGCGAGTGCAGGGAAGTGTCTGCACCCGCTGTGGGACAGGCGGGTTGGAAGGGGAGTGGCTGAGTCTTGAGAAGACCCAGGGAAAACTGCCTGTGAACCACTGCTGGATTGTTGGGGGACTGTCCTTCAGGACCTGAGGCCCCCCGAAACTGCTATGGGGAACAGAGGTCTGTGTGTTCCCACACAAAACCAACCTGCTCCTAAAAGGACGCCCCTCTCGCTCTGGCTCCTGACTTCTGGCTTCTCCAAGGCCAAAGATCCAGCTGAAAAGTTCTACCCGGGGCAAAGATGAAAGTAGAACTGGGCCACAGCTGTAGGAAGCACGCAGGGTGTCCCAGGGCCAGGCAACAGGTGAGTTCCATCTGGCTTTGTGTAACCCCCAATCCTTGTTAGATTCCTGAGGTAGAGGAGAGCCGGTCATCCCATGAGGGAAACTGAGTCCCCAAAGAGGAAGGTGTTTGAGACCTGAGCACCTGCTCCTGTGAATGAGGACTAACTCACTTCTCAAGCAGGGCTCGATGACTTGTGTTACTCTTGGATGAAAAAGAAAAGCAAGAACAGCTTCTACTGAGAGGTGCTCAGAGAGGGAGAGGCAGGACCTAGCCCCCTTCTCTCTCTCTCCCGGAGTGCCAGAGGGAGAATGGGGGAGTGGGCTCGTGCTGTGAGCCATCTGCACTTTAGATTGTCACCTGAAGAAAATAAAAACAACCTATCCTGAATGCTGATGCTACTGTTTTAATGGGGAAAAAAATACTCTAACAGACAAGTAGCAGACAACAAAACTGGAGAAAAAGTGGGTCTGGGGAGAGTCCAGGACAGTTTCATAATGGGTATTTTGTGGCCTTTCTTTCTGGGTTTTGATGTAGATCTCTTTCTATTTGTTCAGGAAATTGTGACGTGCATTCTGGGCAGGGTTTGAGGTTTTGGAACCTTTTCTAAAAGGGACAGCCAGCACCCCGCTCCATTTCCTAATTGTGTGGTTGGCGTGAGCTGCTCACCATGCAGAAGCTCCTCACCTGCAGGATACTTGTCCTGGCCCTCGCCCTGGTCCTCCTGTTGGACTCCTCAGCACAAGGTAAGAGGCAGGAATCGGGGTCCCTGGGAGTGTTCTTTGTTCACACAAATGACTACTGTTTTTTCAGTGCACAGAATGTATAGAAAATGAGTAGAAGACAGGCAAAGGAGGATGCTGGGGATGAAGGGAAGGCTGAACTCCTTAGTGTTTGATGCCAGTGCTGAGCAGGTGCAGTCTTAGAATGGACTCTCCCAGTGATCACAGCATGCGGTGCTATGTTGGCGTTAACTCTTCTAAACGTAACAACCCAGGAAATGGCCCATGTGTCTACTGCCCAGAGATGACCCCTGCGACATCTGGGAGCTCTCCCCTCCACTCTCCCCCACACCCAATACCCAGCCCTAGGGTCTACCTCAGTCCCAAGTCTTAGTACACAATCATGGTGTCATTTCAGCACTGGAAGAAACTACTCTTCAAAACCAACAGAAGTCTGACTTTGTGTTTTCTTTTAAAACTGGGTTATTCCTGAAAATTCAGTGATAGGTGTAAGTAACACAGAGACTATCAGAGCTGAAAGAAAGACCAAAAGTGTGTCTGTGCTATTACTCAGAGAAGCATCATGCTTGGCATTGTCTTTGGGGTTTCTCTGACCTGCGAGGCAGTTTGCTCAGTCTGAAGCATTCGGTGGCGAAGAGGACAAAGATGATGAGCTTATAGTAAGGACAAATGCGCTGTCTTCTTTGGTAAATACAGAATCAGGTCTCAGTAAGGTCATGGCCTGATAAACAGATGGCAGCCTGCATGGCAGAAAACGTGAGGCTCCCCCAAGTGCAAAGGGAAATGTTGAGTCACAGTGACACACTTGTTGCATATACTTCTTCGAAGTGACTCCAGCCATCATGTTCTTACTTCCGGGGGAAATGAAAGCTGAAAGATGATCTCAGAGATGTTCCATATACATTGGAAAGGTGTAAAATTATTTTCTCCTCGTGAAGCTAAAATTAGAAGAAAAACATTGCAGAAAAACAGCAAATGGTGTTGGTGTAACTTTTGCATGAATTAGTTTATATTTGAAGTATAAAAGGTCATTGATGGTAGGGAACAAAGCTGGCTTTACCTGGACCATTCATGGCATATCTCCAACGAGAAGCACTACTTCCCTAATAATCAGGTGTTCCAGCAAGCTCAAGAGCAGTCACGTGGGGTGGGCGTTGGGCTCGGTGTGTGGTTACATGCTACATCCTATGTTGGAGTGGTTGGGTTCAAGTTCCTACTCTTCTTGCCATCCAGCTGCCTGCTAATGCCAGCCCTGGTAGGCAGCAGGTAATGGCTCAAATACTTGGAGCCCTGCCACCCGTTGCGAGGCCTGGATTTAGTTGCAGGATGCTAGTTCTATCCTGGCCTGGTCCTGGCTGTTTCAGGCACTTGGAGAATAAACAGTGGATGAAGATATCAGTGTTTGTCTCTACTTCTCTGTACCAGATAAGATGAAAATAATAAGCAAGACTTATTTTTTTTTTTAAAGCAGCAGTGAGGTTTTTTGTTGGTAGCACAGACTTGAGTAACCAGTTGGTACTGGGTGTGCCCTCAGTGAGAGCTCTGTGACTTTCTGTGTTTGAAATTCCCTTAAAAAGTCACGTGAAAATTCAAAAGATGAAAACCAGAATGAAAACAAAACTTTCCTAATATAGTACCTAATATAGTATGTAGTCACTAAAATAAATAAATAAATAAATAAACCTGAAGTAAGACCATAATGACTAGCATTTATGTCATCATCTGGGAGATGTAACTGTTCGTTGGAAAAAGAAACCAAAAAAGATACAAAGAATGGACTGAAAAGCTAGGGTATTTCCAAAGAAGGGTCCTTGCGAGGGGCATCAGGGTTGGGCTCACATCTACACAGAAAGGGACATAAAGGCCTGTGGGTAAGGGACAGCAGTGAGCCCTGCCACCACCCCATCAGACTGCTGTGCAATGCCTTGTGGCACTGGATGACGCGTTCCTTTAAAAATCCTTGTGTATTTTTGTGATGACATATTTTAAAATTTATACCATTATCGAAGGCTTGATGGCTTTACCCAGTGAAGAGCTCAACAAATAAGAAGTGAAAAGACCATCATACAGCAGGAAAATAGGCAGGGATTGCCAATGAAAACATGTTCAAATTCACCCCTAAAAAGCTGATCTTAAGATAGATACAACATCGGGCCTGGCAGATGGCTCAATTGGTTGAATCCTCTCCTTGCAAGTGCAAGGAACCCATATGGATGCTGGTTCGTGTCCCGGCTGCTCCACTTCCCATCCAGCCTTCCTGCTCATGGCCTGGGAAATCAGTAGAGGATGGCCCACGGCCTGGGGACCATCCTTCCACATCGGCGACCTGGGAGAAGTTCATGGCTCCTGGTTTCTGGCTTCAGATCAGCTGTTGCAGCCATTTGAGGGGTAAACCAGAGGATGAAAGATCTTTCTCTCTGTCTCTCCTCTCTGTGGATCTGTCTTTCCAATAAAATAAAACTTTTTTTTAAAGTTACAAAATTGAATATTATGGTAATATGTTTCCTTATTTATACATATACAAGTTGTCTCAGGTCTAATATAAATTTCCTTATTTATTTATTTAAACACTTATTTATTCATTTATTGGAAAGTCAGATTTTCAGAGAGGAGAGACAGAGAGAAAGATTTTCCGTCGGCTGGTTCACTCCCCAAGTGGCCACAACAACCAGAGCTGAGCCCATCCAAAGCCAGGAGCCAGGAGCCAGGAGCCAGGAGCCAGGAGCCTCTTCCACGTCTCCCACATGGGTGCAGGGTCCCAAGGTTTTGGTCTGTCCTCAGTTGCTTTCCCAGGCCACAAGCAGGGAGCTGGATGGGAAGTGGAGCTGCCGGGATTAGAACCAGAGCCCATATGGGATCCTGGTGCATGCAAGGCACCAGACTACCGCGCCGGGCCCTAGTATGTTTCCTAACAATTTTTTTTTTTTTTTTGCAAATAGTTAATAACGTTGTTCTTTCTTCTTTGATAATGTTTAGAAGTAGATGTGTTTATTTCACCTGTTGGTTTGATCAAGTGTAAGAAGTTTGATTGGCTTTTGGACATTTTCTAAACCATCTCAGGATGCTATACTGGTTTGCTTGGACTGCAACACCAAGTGCCACGGTCTGGGTTAACCCACAGATATGTTCTCCAACAGTTCTAGGGACCAGAGCCCAATTTCAAGGTGTTGGCAGTATCGGTTTCCTTCCGAGTCTTCTCCCCTTAGCTTACCGGTGGTGCTTCTTCCCCCTGTCGTCCTCACGTGTGTTCTTGCACACATCCATATCCTAACACCCTCTCGTTAGGTCTGCACTTACCGGATTAGGGATACCCTGATATGTTTACACATCTACCATGACCTTGTTTCCAAATACTGTCACAGTGTGAGGCACTGTGGGTTAGGAATTCAACATATGGATTTGGAGGGGAGGGTGATGGTGGAGGGTTGTGAGTCAGCGCATCACACACTCGATCTTATTTTTGCTATGACTCCAACCCAGCTGAAGACAGGCTGCAAAACTGTATATGCAAAGCACAAAGAGCTAGAAATGTGGATGTGAAGGAGACACTAGTGTGCACATACAGCTCACCCAGCTCACAATGCACTCGCCGGGTTGTCGATGGGGCCTGCAAATCCTACGTTCTTACTCTCTTGTTCCAAGTTGCAAACACAGAGAAAATGGGAAACCTATGCACCGGAGTGGCCCGGGGGCCAGAACCAGTCTGTGTGTGAGTCCCCACCTTCCTGTCTCCTCAGTCACCCCGGTGGTAATGGCTCCACACGCGTGTGCTGCTCTTTGTGCAGCGCCTTCACCTCCAGTCTCTGGCAATGACCGCCACCTCCGGCAATGACCGCCACTCTCCCTGCGTGGGGGAGTTAGCGCCACTTTGCAGAGGAGCCAAGTGGAGCCGACATGCATCATCTCATTAGCTCTCTACGTCAGTCTCTTGCCACATCAACAGCAACAATAAAAAATTGTGCCTGTTGCCCAGGGCCCAATTAAAATTAATCAAATGGAAGAACTGTCCAGCCAACGTCAAGGTCCAAATTAACTCTGCCACAACTCAAGGGTTAGAAGTTTCTTTTTTGTTCAAGACCAAAAGCCTTCCAGGCTTTCTCTGTAAAGTTTACTACTGAGGGAAAGGAGAAATTGAAAGTAAACTTGGAACTTTTTATAGCCTGTCAAACTGTGCCAGGCTGGGGGAAGCGTATCCATTTTGTGGAACTGATAGGCCAGTAGGAAGTAGCCCAGGCTCAGATAATGAGACTGGTGCAGGGCGACCATTTGGAATGCGTCAAAATGTCTTTGTTCCCTCTCTGGGCAGTTTCTGCTTACGTTTTTTTTTTTTTTTTTTTTTCCTGACATGCTTGTGATAAGTTTCCAAGAAGAATAGGAAATTAGCAAACCATGACTATATTGAGGAAGAACTGGGAGCATAATATAAAAATATACAGAGACTCTTGTATTTTTACTGTGATAACATTTACTCATAGAAAGGACCGCTCACACAGTGACTATGTGTGTATAAGAGGGTACTTCAAAAAGTTTACAGAAAAAAAAAGTTAAAGATTTATTTTTATCTGAAAAACAGATTTACAGAGAGAAGTACAGACAGAGAGGAAAAGATCTTCCATCCGCTGATTCACTCTCCAAATGGCTACAATGGCTGCAGCTGAGCAGATCCAAAGCCAGGAGCTAGGAACCTCTTCTGGGTCTCCCATGTAGCGTCCCAAGGACTTGGGTGGTCCTCCACTGCCTTCCCAGGCCACAAGCAGGGAGGGGGATGGGAAGTGGAGCAGTCGGGACCTGAACCGGCACCCATATGGGATCCTGGCGTATGCGAAGATTCCAGCCACTAGGCTACTGTGTCAGGCCCGAGGAAAGGGATTACAAATAAAAATCCTTTTATGGACTGGACTTGTAGCTCAGCAAGGCAAGCTACCTCCCCCGCAACACTGTTGTCCTATGGTTGGAGTCCTGGCTGCTCCACTTCTGATCCAGCTCCCTGCTCACATACCGGGGAAGGAGGCAGAACACTGCTCAAATACTTGGGTCCCTGTGCCCCTGTGGGAGACTCAGAAGAAGCTCCTGGCTTCATCCTGGCCCAGCCCTGGCTATTGCAGGCCAGTGAGTGGAAGATCGCTAGCTCTCCCTTACTCTCTATAAATCAATGCTTCACTACAAAACCAACCCCCAGATCCTGGGGAGCCTTTCAAGAAGGGAACATTTCTCTTTTTTTAAGTGTTTCCTTTTTTTAAATGTATGTAAAAACGAGTGATAGAGAATCTCCCATCCACTGGTTTACTCCTCAAACAGCCACATTGGCTGGGATTAGGGTAAAACCAGGAGGCAGGAATTCCATGCGGGTCTCCCACATGAAGACAGGCATTCAAGCACTTGAGGCATCATCTGTGGCTCTCGGGATGCACAGCAGGGATCTGGATTGCAAGCAGAAGAATCAGCACCCAAACTGATACTCTGCCATGGGATGCAGATGGGCCAAATGGTGGCTCGACCTACACCACAGTATTGGCACCTCACCCATTTAAAGTGCACAATCCATTGGTTTTTTTGTTTTTAATTGGAAAGGCAGCTTTACAGAGAGGAGGAGGACAGAGCGGAAGATCTTCCATCTATTGATTCACTCCCCCCAAGTGGCCGAAACAGCTGGAGCTGAGCCAATCAGAAGCCAGGAGCCCAGAGCCTCCTCCAGGTCTCGGGTTCAGGATCCCAAGATTTTGGGCTGTCCTTGACTGCCTTCCCAGGCCACAAGCATGGAGCTGGATGGGAAGCAGGGCCACCAGGGTACAAACCAGTGCCCTTATGAGATCCCAGCACGTGCAAGGCAGGGACTTTAGCCACTAGGCTACCATGGCAGGCCCAGTTTTTAGTATATTTGCAGAGTTGTGCAACCATAACCGTAGTTGCTTGCAGAACATCTTTATTACTCCCAAAATAAGACACCCTTGATAAAATTTAGAACCCTTCTTTATAAAATTAGGGGACATTTTGTATTTTAGAACTATTTCTTACTAATTTACCATACTTGTGGTTGTTATGCCAGTGAAAAGATTAGGTCTTTCACCTGAATTTGCTCAGCTTGATAGCCACAGGTAGCAGGGACTATGCTCACTCACTCATTCCAAGACAGTAGTCACGAGCTGCCTGTGGCTACTGAGCACTTGAATACAGCGAGTACAAATGAAGTGTGCTATACGTGCAAATTATATGCAATTTAGAAGAGTTAGCATGAAAAAAGATGCAAAATATCTCACTAATAACTTTCATTATTGTATGTTAAAATAACCATCGCTTCAATCTATTAAGTTTCTTAATTGCACCTGTTTCTATTTACTTTTTAATGTATGGACACTTTGGGGGGAATCCCAGAGCCTATGAAATTGTGTCACATAATGTGATGTAATTAATTTTATATATATATATATATATATATACCAAAAAAATATGGCTACTAAAACTTGGAAAAACTTGGAGACTTGTTTGTCTCGTTCGCTCTGATATAATTGACATAGAGTGTGAAAACATCGCCCTCTGCTGGTGGAGGTGTTGAATTGTTTTTAACTCTTGCCTTCAAAACAAACAAAAAAACAAGTTTTTAAGCAGCATTAGATGTCAAACCAATGACGCTGTGGAAACAAATCGCGGCATGGGACCAATACAGGATTTCCTATATAACCTGGAAGGATCTGACTTGGAGCGTTAGCTAGAGAATCTAAATTCAAAAGCAGTGACGAGAGCCCTGGATGTTGCAGCATCCTTGTCTCTCTGTAAATAGAGGAGACTTGTTCTTGTGAAACCTGAGCTTCAAGGACACTGTGGCCCTAAGACCCAACTACCGTGTCCCTGTGAGATCTTGAGAACTTCTCAGCACACTCCTTAGCCCTTCTGAACCCGATTCAACTCATGTCCATCAAGAGAGGCCAGCTCCGGGGTGCAAAATGGGCTGGGATCCTGGGTCTTCTCTTGTACACCTGGGTGGCCTCCATCATATTCCTTGTGTAAGGTGGAGAGGAAGGTACAACGCTATTAGTATCATGCTTGCCGAGTGCCTGGCACTATGCCAAAGTCTGCACATGCTTTTTCTTGTCTGAGCTTTGTGACCAGTTTCTGATGCTGTTGGTATCTTCATTTCACAGTAAAAGTTCAGAGAAGTTGCAGGCAGACTATAAAGCTCGGAGTTAGTTTTAAACTTTCTGCTTATTTTAAAGGAGTGGGCGGGGGGGGGGGTGTCGAGGGGGGGGGAGAGTGTACGGGAAAGGCTGCAAGGCTGGCACTAGGGGGTGCTGTGCTGCGTATATATGAACGGGCACTCCTTGCCTTCTATGCACTCTGGCATCTATTTGCTTAAAAACTTCAAGGGATAGGCGGTGTGGTAGGAAGCTGTGGGCAGAAGAGAGAGTTCCTAACCGTGTGGGCTCCTTGCTTGGCCAGGTTATCCTATGCGGAGAGCCAGGTACCAATGGGTGCGCTGCAGTCCCGACAGTAATTCTGCCAACTGCATTGAAGAAAAGGGACCTGTGTTCAACCTGCTTCCTGGGGATTCCAACAGGATCCTTCCTCCCAGGACTGACCCTTTCTTGTAAGTAGATTTTTCTCTGATTTGAAAGGGATTTTGTTTCACACCTCTGTCGCCATCACCTCGGCAGAGATGAGAGGAATGTCCCACGTGTTCTCCTCCAAGCTCCTCTTTGGAGTTTGCGTTCCTGTGCAGTGCATGGACAATCTGTGCTGTGGCCGCCGGCCTGTAAGATGCGCAGGTGTGCTGAAGATATTCTGCACAATTACTTTTAGGCTGTGGATATTAGGCATTAAGGGAACATAAATGAATTTTGTATTGAGCCTTGAGTCCCCTCCCAAAATATTCCACTACATATGTAATGGTGCAAAAGAGTAGAAAAGAAAAAAACAAAAACAAAAAAAAACAAAAAACCACTGCTGGTCCCCAGGTTTCAAATAATGGATACTCACATTATATCAGAACTTTTGCAGCGATTTTACATTAGGCAAAAAGAAAAAAAATGACTGTGGTTCCTTTTCCTTTGTCTTTCATATTTCAGCAGAATCAAATCCCAGAACCTGAATGACGCCTTCCCTCTTTCTGACGACCTTTCTGGCTCTGGCTTTGACTCCGGCTCCGGCTTAGGAAGCGGCTCTGGAAGCAGCCTCCCCTCGGAAATGGAAAGGGAATACCAGCCGCTGCTGGAAGATGATGTTTTCTACTATGACATCAAGGCCCTCAAGCAGAATCTTCCCTCAGAGGATCAGGAAATGGGTCACGCTGGACCAGAAGATGAATTTATTATATGAAAGACAGGGTTCTCCACCTTGACACCAGGCAATGCAGTCCATACATTCTGTGTACTGTGGTTAAAGATTACATCAACAAGTTGTATAGAAATTTTAAGACATTTGCAAAAGAAACTTCAGTTGTATCACCTTTGTCCCTAATGAATTCTTAAAGGATTAGGCTTGTTCTCATCTACCCTATTTTTTCAGAAAATCGCCGTGTTTGTGGGGGATGAATGTCATATTCAACTTATATTATTATGAAATTGGCTAGATTCCCATGTCTATAAAACTGCTTTAAATAAAAAAAATTATATACTGTCTTCAAAAAGTTCTGTTTGAAAGGAAATTGATCAATAATATCTTATACCTAACTCTTTAGGAACTTGTGATTGTGAATTATAGATATGCCCTTTTTCTCATGCAAAAACAAACAAACAAAAGCCAAGATGAAACAGCGAGTTTCTAGAGTGGCTATTTGACCTGCTTTAGTGTGAAGTGTGTTACCATCCTGTCACTGCTTGCGGGTTGGCAGAGCTTAGCAGGTGTCACTTGCATATAATCCTGAGTACCATTAAAGCTAGGAACCCGAGACCCAAACTGGAGTATGGTTGTGCTCCCAGCACCACACGCTGCTTTGCTCCCTGGGCATGTGTGTATCTTCCAGTGTTATTCTGTTAAAGCAGAAGTAAAACCAAAGGGTTAAGCTGTCGGGGGCCTCTTGTTCTAAATACAAAAGATACTTTTACATATTTGTTTTTTTTTTTTTATCACATGTGTCTCTTGAAGTCTTAAAAAACATAGAAATGTATTATTATTTGTTTCTCCATGTTTCTTGAACTATGTAAATTTGGTTTGCCCTGTCAGGGGGAGCATGAGGTGGTCAGTACTACATGAATTGGAATTCGACCCAGATCTGATTCGCAGTGGTCATTTTCCCAGTCTGCGAGTGTGCAGTTAGATGGTCAGATGTGGTAGTGAGCACAACTGCCATGGTGGCTTTGTGATTTGGGTAACAGAAGCTATTGTAATGGGGAAAACCTGCTGGAAACTTCTGAAGTGACTCCGCTCTTGTCTAGCAATACATCAGAAACGCTTCCTCTTCCGGGGAATGTAAGAGGGTAGGAGTGCCCTTAAGAACCTAAAGAGTTGAGGGACGCATTTCATTCACCAGTCAGGCCTTGCAGCAACCAGGGGAGTATCACGCGCTCAGAGGAGAAGCTCTCCTGCAGCCCCTGTTCCAGTCGCAGCACTTCTGTCACTGTGGAGCAAGCGGCTCTGGGCTGGGCACTCGCTCATTAGACAAATGCCTTCTTTTCTATCCCTATCAAAAAAGAGGGAAATGGCTTACAGTCTTTTGGATAAAAACAACTTTATCCATTTACTATTTATTCTCAGGGCAATCTGTACTCTTCTACCATCTGTTCCTACATAGTTTGAAGAGCCTGGGCTGGTTGGTCAGCTCGGGGAACATCCAAGTAGTGCACTGTGCCAATGGGACCACGGATGGGTCACTGGTCACTCCCTGAGCCCCTCACATCTATGGTTATCCAATCACCAACTGACAGGGTAGGAATAGATTCAACCTTGGGTCACACATGGATTAGCCTGACACAGGGGAGTAAACTGAAACTGGATGGGAGGCAGTTGTATATAGGGCCAGTCGAAGTTGCCTGGGTCCAGAGCTAGGAGAGGAAGGCCTCCCAACGTGCAGGGTTCTGGCCATCTCTCCTGGCGAAGAGAAGCAGCCTCTAGTTGGAATACATACAGTTTCATGGGCAGTGGTTAGTGAGGATCCAAAATTGGAAAGATTGGGAAATTGGGAACTAGGAAATCCAGTTTCTGTGCCCCAAGAAGGCACAGAGGGTAATACTCTTTTCTTAAAGATTTGTTTGTTTCTTTGTTTTTATTGGAAAGGCAGATAAACAGAGAGAAGAGACAGAAAGATCTTCTGTCCACTGGTTCACTCCCCAAGTGGCCGCAATGGCCAGAGCTGAGCTGATCCAAAGCCATGAGCCAGGAGCTTCTTTCCTGGTCTCCCATGTGGGTACAGGGTCCCAAGGCCTTGGGCCATCCTCTACTGCTTTCCCAGGCCACAAGCAGGGAGTTGGATGGGAAGTGGAATGGCCGGGATACAAACCAGCGCCCACATGGGATACTGGCCCATGCAAGGTGAGGCCTTACCCATTAGGCTATTGCGCAGAGCCTGGGTGATATACCCTTTGTATCAAACTTTATTGCCTATCAGAAAGCATTCATTGTAGAAGAGGCACTGCACAACCAAGTAGACATAATGACTTAGGTAGGTGTGAGCTTCTGTCATGGGCTACCTTACTGATACAATGTGCCACAAAGGAGTGGCCTGGACAGAGGCTGGGCATGGGCTCCCACTGATCATTAAGCTACTGATGGCCCTGACTATCCACCATGACAGTAACAGAGCGCCTTGTTGAGTAGCATCCTGGGACAAGTTGACATGTAGACTACAATAGGTCCCAGAGATTTGTTCTAATAGGAATAGATATATGTTCAAGATATTGTTCTTAACCTGTGGCAACAATTCAAATATAATAATATGTATAAAATATTGGGAACAATGTCACTGAGACATCAATAAACACAGACCATTATCATGATTTGTATGATACATTAGCAATACTTGCCACAGGATTGGGGTGAAGATTAAAGGAGGTAATGTAAAGGACCTGGTTAGTGTGTGTCTGGCATATACGTTATAATCACGAAAATGTGTTAACAGTTGTTTCATATGATTAAAGAGTCCAATGATGTGCTACGTGCAGGGGATTCAGAAGGAAACAAAGACACACCAGCTGTCCATTGTCTTTGAACTCAGTCCACTAGGAACTGAATGAGGCAGAGTTGGATGTGCTAGTCTTTCCTGGCACAAAGTAAGGCCAAAGTAACATTTTCAGCCACATGGGGCAAGCGGTATACAACCCATGCAGAGACTTTCTCATTCTCTTTCACTCTGGGTTCTCTCTGCCAAGAACTCATCTGCATTGTTGCAGGGTTTTGTGGGGAAGTGGGAGAGAGGGCTGGGAACTCCTTCCAGTTTTCCCTTTGGCGATCTCTGATTTATAATCACATTTCTTATACAGTATTACGGAGTCAACAAAACCCACCGAGGACCAAGCTACCAGGAATCAACCATTAACACAATTCACATAAATTGTGATGCAAAAACAAGTAACTCGGATACATTTCACATTATACATGTTTTTTTTTTTTTTAAACCAAGAATCATCCTAGGAAAAAATGGCTAAGGTAACAAAGAGAAATGAATGATCGATTTTGCTGAAGCTTTTTGTCTTTATTCCCTAAGTATGTTGCCCATTTTATGACTTGAGTCCCTGTTTAAAATATGTATACAATGTATTGTACAGAATGTCGTCTTCCTAGTTTTGTACTAAACTGGGGAGTCTTGGCCTCGGCCTTCCTGACCTGAGGAACAGGATGTTTATTGTTGAGGCCTGACCTGAGTATTGCAAGACGTTTAGCAGCATTTCCTGTTTCTACCCACTGAATGCTCTGAGCTCCCTCTGCCTGCACTTTGACTTGATGGTCAAAAATGTCTCTAGCTAACTGACAAATGTCCAAGGGAGAGAGACATCCCCGCTTGAGGACCACTGCCCTGCACCGATGATCATTTCTTGAACTAAAATGTCCTGGCTACTGCACTTTTGGTCCTGCTCTCTGCCTATGGCCTGGGAAAGCAGTAGAGGAAGATCTTCCACACAATTGTTCACTCCCCAAGTGACTGCAATGGCTGGAGCTGAGGTGATCTGAAGCCAGGAGCCAGGAACTCTTCTGGGTTTCCCACATGGGTGCAGGGTGCCAAAGCTTTGGGCCCTCCTCAACTGCTTTCCCAGGCCACAGGCAGGGAGCTGGATGGGAAGTGGGACAGCTGGGATTAGAACCGGCATCCATATGGGATCCCGGCATGTGCAAGGTGAGGACTTTAACCACTACGCTATCGTGCTGGGCTTGGGAATTTTGTTTTTTCCTTACTCTAGCTTTCTTTAGAAATTCCCCTGAGAGCTAATTTTTTTTCTCCTCCTTCACTTTTGTCTTCTTTTCATTTTTTTCATTTTTATTTTTTTTATTACATTGCATTATGTGACACAGTTTTATAGGCACCAGGATTCCCCCCACCTCTCCAAGCCCTCCCCCCATGGTGGATTCCTCTACCTTGTTGCATTGCCACAGTTCAAGTTCAGTTGAGATTCTTTCATTGCAAGCATATACTTCTGTCTTTTTAAATAAACCACTTCTTTACACGCCCTTGCTCGTGTGTTCATGCCCCTGCTCTTCCTGGACTGGAGATTTGGAGAGGAAGGAGCGTTAAGAGCCAGCACTCCACTGTGGATCTACCTTGCATTTCTCTTACAGTCAGCTCGAGTGCTGAATTTTTTTCCTATGCTTATCTGTGATCAACTTTGAAGAAACAGGTTTGAGGTTTGCCAACTGTTGCCTTGGGTTATCTTATTTTTTTTTTTTTTACTGTTGGTTAATTAAGGAGTCTTTATATATGAATTTTAATCCCTTATAAAGTTTGCAAACACTTTATCCTATTCCGTATGCTGCCTTTTCATGGTTGTGCTCTTCGGCACACAGGCTTAAAGCCTTGGTATAATTCAATTGATCTATTTTTGGTTGTGTGATGACAGTTAGATGGGCTCACAGGTAATTAACCGCCCCGGTTAGCACGCAGTGAACACCACCGAGGGCCTGAGCAGCATTGCGAGAACTTTCCGGAAGCGTCTTCCCGTCACAGTGGCTCTTGACGGCCTGAGAAGCAACCAACGTTAGACCTTCAAGATTTCTTTCTAGTGGTCTTCTCAGAAACGAGAGAGCTAACCAGTCGTCCAATCCCACAAACTTGGGTTTAGTTCGAGAAGGTGCAAGAATGCCTCCTTTCTAGATGGAGGACCCATCTCTCTCGCTAGAAAGATGAAGCAGTAAAGGTGTCGGAAACCCCGCCATTAACAGCGCTGCCCAACCAAACCCTTTTTCCCTCCCTCCCAGCCGCTCAAAACTTCCACAAACAGGAACTCGGAGCGGCCACGAAGCCCGCCCGCCAACCGCTATCACGTGACAGGAGAATCCGGAGAACCTACGCGTATCCACGCCCTCCTACCTGACGTCACTGGCCGCGACTCCGCCCAGCCCGGGAAAGGCGGAGCGTGAGGCCCCGCCCCCAAGCGGCCTCTCCGTGGAGGGCGGGGCCAGAGGCCGGTAGAGGGCCGGGCGCTGGGGGAGGGGAGCGGAGGAAGGGAGTGGTCACGTGCGGCGGGCCGCCTGGGGTCACGTGACCGGGCGCTGGGGTGGAGGGATCCGGGGCCGGGAGTTCTGCGGGGGGACGAGGGTTGAAGCGGAGGGGACGCGGCGGCGGCGGCGGCGGCGGCGGTGGTGCTGACAATGGTGAGTGCGCGACGGTGGCGCGCGGTCGGCGCCCAACGGCGGGGCGGGCGCCGCAGGAGCAGTGGGCGGGCGAGCAGGGCGGGGAGCGCCCGGTTAGGCCTGTCCGGCCAGCCCCGGGTTGTGGGGCAGAGCGGGCGGCGCCGCCTCTTCCCGGCTCTCGGAGAGGCCCGAGCACCTGCAGGCGGCGGCGCGCTGTCCTGGCCATGTCGGAGCCTCTGCCCGCCTTCCTCGACCGGCTCTGGGGGCCCTGGCTGGGGACCCGGAGCCCGCCCGAGCGGGGGTTCGCCGCCGCCTCCCCCGCCAAGGTAGCCGGCCCCTCCACTACCTGCCCGGCTTCCCGGGAGGGCGCCGGTTCGGGACTCCGCGGGGGAAGTTGGTCACTCTTCGGTGTGTCACGAGCTCGACTAACTCCTGGACGTGGTGACTGACATGCTGCGATTCCACGTCCCGGGTTGAGGTTTAGTGTTGACACTTGTGGAGTGGGAGAAAAGGGAAAGGACGTTTCGGGGTGCGGGCTGTAACCCCGGAGGGAGCAGGTTAGAGCCCCGGGGCCAGGCCAGGGTCTGGTTTCCTTCCCTAAGCAGTTCTTTTGGCTTAACGCGCTGGATGGTGTGGGCATGACTGGCGGTAGCTGGCGAGGGAGGAAAACCCGAGTATTCTAAGCACAGCCCAAGCTTAGGCAGGTGGTTCTCAGCACGGTGTGTGTCCTGTGTATAGGTGGGCTTCTCTTGGCTCGCGTGGTCGTCTCCAGGCGCTGGCGAGTGGCATTTAGCGTGCATGCTCTGTACCTTCTCCCCACTTAACCAAAGCTCACCAGTTAAACTGCTTGATACTTGGGGCTAAGAAACCGAACCAGGTTTCTGAAGAAAGTTAGTTTGAATAAATCACTTTGAAAGTCAGACATCGCCTTTCTTTCTAGACACTTTCATTCTGTGAGCTTCTCCGCGCCGTCCCCCCCCCCCCAACAAATTATTAGTTACCTGTGCCCAGTGCCCTGAGCGATAGTGAAACGGCCCTGTCTTCCTTTGCAGTCGACAGTCTGGGAGAGGAGCACGTATTTGCTACTTGCCCAGCGTGGAAGCTGTCGTTGTGATAGCACTAAAAAGAAAGTACTGAATCAGGGAAACCTTTAGTGGAATTTGAAAACTTGAGGCCTCCCAAAATTTTTTTTTTTTGCTTTTATTTGTAATTATTTTACTGAGAATTCTGACTTTTCTTCAAGAGCAATTTATTCCCAAGTTATTCTTCAAGCACAAATGAAGCTGTAAAGCTATAAAACTTTGAAGTAGTCACAAATGTGCTCTAGGTATGAAATTTGCTGTTTCATTGTGGGGAGGGAGTAAAGGGAGAAGTAACTTGTGAACTTGAGTTGGATTCATTGGACTGAGTGAAATTTTTTTTTACATCCATTAGTGAAAAAGGAAGAACTTGTTTGAGTTTTTATATATGTATATAATTTTACCAGATGATAATTCTCAACATGGAGTTCACAGATGGTGTGAAAAAACTTAAGGGGACCTAAAGCCAGTGTTGATGAGGTCTTTGCCAAGATTAGGAAACTGTAAGAAGCATTTATTGTGTTTTAATAGCAGACGTGTACTGTGGTCTGGTCATTTAAAAGCTACCTAGGAGTTTTAGTCTGTGTAGTAATTGTCTAGTGTTGTTCCTGAAAGTCTCATTCTGAATGTTCACTTGAGGATACCTTTTCCAGAACAGTTGATGAGTGTCCTTACACATGAGCAATCTCAGGACTGCCTTTGGTTTTTTAGAAGTCTCTGTTAATCAGTTTCCTTATAGTTTCTGCTATCCTCATCATTCTCTTACTTTTCACAAACATTTTTATTGTTTTCAAATGTAGAGTTGGCAGTGGGCACACACACCCTTCTGCTGGGGCTTGTTCCCCAATGGCCTCAAAAACTGCGGCTTGGTCAGGTGGAAGTCTGGGGCTTCATCCCAGTCTGTCATGAGGGTACAGGGGCCCAAGTGTTTAGAACATCTTCAGCTGCTCTTCTAGACACATGAGCAGGGAGCTAGATTGGAAGTGGAGCAGCTGGGACTTGAACCAGTGGCCAAATGGAATGCTGGCCTTGTCAGGTGGCTCAACTTGCTATACTATGAGGTCAGCCCCTGTTTTACTTCTTTAACAAAGCAAAAGTATGTTATTTCATTGTGAATAGTTAAAAATAAAGAAGAATTGAACTTTATGGTTTTTAACTGGAAATGACAAGTTACACATTTTGAAAGCAAGGCTGAGAGAATCCTTTTCATTTTAGGAAAACAAATGTTAGCTTTTTTCCTCTTTTTAATTTAAAAAATGTTAAGACTTCTAGTTTTCTGTAGGCCTTTTTTTGTTATCTAAGACCAGTTTGTCTTTGATGTACTGGATGTTAGCCCCATGCCAAATTCTCATTGCCTACTTAACTTATTAAAGTGTTGTTTTTATTAATACATTATTCTTTAAAAGAAAAAAGATTTAAGTATTTTTATTTGAAAGGCAGATCTTACAGAGAATACAGACAGAGAAGTTTTTCCATCCACTGGTTCAGTCCCCAAATGACTGCATTGGCCAGAGTTGAGCTAAGCTGAGCTGAGCTGAATGGAGTCTGGGAGGCAGGAGCTTCTTCTGGGTCTCCCATGTGGGTACAGGGTCCCAAGAACCCAGGCCATCCTCTGCTGCTTTTCTAGGCCGTAGCAGAGAGCTGCATGGGAAGTGGAGCAGCATGAACTGGGACCATTTGGGATGCTGGCATCATAGGCAGTGACATTACATGTAAAGTGTTCTTCCCATATTTGTTTAAAAGACAGAATTACGGAGAGGGAGGGTGAGCCAGAAAGGAGCTCTTCCATTTGCTGATTGGTTTCATAAATGCCAGGTTAAAGCAGGGAGTGTGAAGCTCTGTCTGGGTCTCCAGTGTGGGTAGCAGTAGCCCAGGTACTGTGTCGTCATCTGCTGCCTCTGAGGTGCAGTAGAATGCAACTGGGTTACAAGTGCAGAGTAGTCAGGCTAACTAGACACTCTGATATTGGGTGTAGGCAACCCAGGCAGTGCTTAACAAGCTGTGCCACAGTATGTACTCCTGATTATTTGGTGTTTTAATGTATGTTTTCAAATTCCAAGTGCATTAAGATTATTTATGTGGAAAAAAGTTACTGTAATAGTTCCCCTTATCCGCAAGACAGGTTTTACCACTTCTTTTTTGAAAGGCAGCAGGAGAGAGTTCTTGTGTCTAGGTTCACAGCCCAAATGATGCAATAGCTGGGGCAGAGCCAGGCTGCAGGCAGTAGCCAGGGACTCAGGCCAGGAATCCCAGACTACAGGGAGGGAGCAAGTGTTTGAGCCATCACCTGCTGCCTCCCCGAGTCCACACTGGTGGGTATCTGGGATATGGAGTAGGACTGGACCAGGACCTGAATCCAGGCCCGACAACAAGGCCTGCTGGCATCTGAAGCCTACTTAACCGCCATGCCACAAAGACACACTCCCCTTTTTGCCAGTTTTCAAGACTCATTTTTAAGTAGTTACAGGAATGTGAGAATGACAACATTAATTTTAATTTTCCTGTCTCCATAATTCAGATGTGCTAATGAACTCTTTTTTTAACTGCCTTCTCTACCAGTTAGTCTTAACTTAGCTGTTTTTGCTTCCTGCTCTAAAGTAGATACTGCTTGGAGTGGTTGTCTTCCACCTTCAGTAATTGCTTTTCCAACAGCCGACCCTCCCTTGCTGACTTGTGATTTACACAGCTAATCATCAGCAAATATCGGCTGATTATATTAAGGTTTATGAACTGTTACACATCTGTTACTGTCCTGCAGCGAACAACTTGGTGCACAGAGCTGATAATAACACGCGTGGACTACTGACTGATGATCAATAGCCCAAGTTTATTAACAGCACCAGACCTTTAAAGGAAGGTTGTCATGTAGGCATCCAGGGAGGAGGGGCTTGAGCTATTTACATGTCAACAGCTGGGTCCCCAAAACACAGCTAGTTCCCCTAGCAGGTTCTTTATCTAAACCTGTGAATGAGGATTGATCCTGTTATCTCCTTATCAGTTGTTCCTAGTGCCTTCAACTGGCTATGTCTCCCACAATAGCAAAGATTTTGAATGTCCTTCTACACACATCCTCATATCTGTAACACTTAGGGAAAATATATTTCAGAATTTAGTCAGACCGAATTTAAAATTTCAGTGGGTGGGCCTGAGTTGATGTCCTAGTGGCTAAATCCTTCCTTTGAATGTGCCAGGATCCCATATGGGTGCTGGTTCGTGTCCTGGTTGCTCCACTTCCCACCCAGCTCCCTGCTTGTGGCCTGGGAAAGCAGTTGAGGATGGCCCAAAGCCTTGGGACCCTGCCTCCGTGTGGGAGACCTGGAAGAAGCTCCTGGCTCCTAGGTTCAGATCAGCTCAGCTCTGGCTGCTGGGGAGTGAGCCAGAGGGGTGGAGAGCTTTGTCTCCTTGTCTCTTCTCTGTATGTATATCTGCCTTTTTAATAAAAAAATATATTTTTTAAGTTCAATGAGTTAAGAGTAGTTTTACTTGGGATTGACACCGTAATGCAGTATGCTAAGCCTCTGCCTGCAGTGCTGGTATTCTGTATGAGTACTGGTTCAAGTCCTGGCTACTCCACTTTTGATTATCTCCCTGCTAATGTGCCTGGGAAATCAGGGGAGGATGGACCAAGTCCTTGGGACTCTGGACCCACATGGAAATCCCAGAAGAAGCTCCTGGCATTGGGCAGGCCCAGCTCCAGCCTTTGTAGCCATTTAGGGAGTGAGCCAGCAGATGGAAGATCTCTTTCTTTTGCTGTCTGTCAAACTATCTTTCAAATAAAAATAAATAAATCTTTAAAAAATTTTGCCTGGCTCTAGGACAAGGAATAGTACCAAATCCGATAAATTGAGGTTGATGTGACTAGAGATGGGTAGGAATGGATAGATGTAGGCAGTGTTAGAAATACATTATGTGTGTGTGCTTAAACAGTTACTGCTTTTAAAATATCACTTTTTTTTTTAAAAAAGGCTTATTTTATTGGAAAGATTTATAGAGGAGATAAAGAGAAAAATCTTTTTTTTTTTTTTGAAGATTTCTTTATTTTTATTGCAAAGTCAGAGGAAGATCTTCCGTCCGAGGATTCACTCCCCAAGTGAGCGCAATGGCCAGTGCTGAGCTGATTTGCATCCAGGAGCCCAGATCCTCTCCTGGTCTCCTATGTGGGTGCAGGGTCCGTCCTTGACTGCTTTCCTAGGCCACAAGCAGGGAGCTGGATGGGAAGTGGGGCTGCTGGGATAGGAACCGGTGCCCATATGTGATCCTGGCACATGCAAGGGGTGGATTTAGACACTATGTTATTGCATCGGGCCCTAAACAGATGTTAAGTAAACATTATGTACAGAGAAGTGCACAAATAAGTGGTTAATTTCATAATGTGCCTACCTGGACACCCACCACATAGATCAAAACAAAACAAATACAGAAATAAAACCCAAACAACATGGCTAGTATCCCTGAAGCTCTTTGTGCTGTGCGCATGGATGTATGTCTCATCTCTTTCAAAAATCAACATTTTCTATATGAAGTTAGTCTGTGCATCTCCTGAATTCGATTGCTGTTCAATATTCCATTAACATACACTAGCAGTTATGTGTCTGTTTTCTTTTTGAGTGATGATTAGACTGCTGTTTGGGGCTGACATGAACATTCTTAGTTTGTCACCTGATTCATACTTGTAAGAGTTTCTGTGCATAGTGTATACCTAGGGGTAGAGTTGTTGAATTATAGGTTCAATGTACATTTTCAGGTTTACCTGATAGTTACCAAGTATTTACTTAATTAGTTCCAGTTTATACACTCACAGGTCCACTGTTATGTTTATGACGGATCACTCTGAGTATTGGGTATAGTGGAGTGACACAGGATGGGAATGTCAGACAATGTGACAGGATGCTATTCTTGTGCAAATTTTTAAAAAGACTAGAGGAGTAGCTTTGGTAGCAGAAATAATCATAACCACATCCATTGTCAGGATTGCTAATGGATTCTGTATAACTGCCAAGTGTATTTTGGCATTGATAAGCAATCGGTTTTTGACCTTTCTATTTCTGTTCTATTGAGGATTTGCCGAACAAGGCTTACACATTTTTTTTTAATAAACAGAAAAATCATTTGTCTCCTTTAGAGCCAGTTTTACTCCAAAGACTTACATAATGTAACGATCCTGTTCAGATATAATATAGCAGTGAATTTTGTAAATAATACTTTATAAAAATTCATTTTAATTTTTGTGATATGAATTATGTAATAAGTTATACTTATTACTTATTACACTTATAAGTATTGCTTTGTAATACTCAGAAGTGTGACTAACTAAAGGTAATTTTTCACACCTAAATATTAAGAATTAGCTTCCTGGATTTCTTACACGTAGTAGTATTTGATTTTTTTTTTTATGATGGTTACCTATGAAAATTGAAACTATAGCATAGTTAAATTTGAAAATCTTTTTTGTGTCAGAAAATGTAACAGAAGGTTCACATTGTGGTGTAGTTGATTAAGCATCCAGTTACAGCACTGACATCCCATCTGGATGCCAATACCAGTCTCAGCTGTTCTGCTTCTAACCCAGCTCCTTGCTAATGTATTTGGGAATGCAGTGGAAGATGGTCCAAGTGCTTGTGTCACTGTACCTGGGAGACCAGGATGGAGATGCTGGCTCCTGAGTTCAGCCTGGGCTAGCCCTGGCTGTTGTGGCCATTTTGGAGAGGAAATCAGTCGATGAAAGAAACCTCTCTCCCTCCCTTCCTTCCCGCCTCCCTCCCTTTCCCTTTGCCTTTGAAATAAATAAATCTTTAGAGAAAAAAACAACATGAAACTTATCCTTAACAAATTTTTGTTAACTGTATATACATCATTACACTCAGTTCAACTTGGCTAAGTCATTTGTTTGTGAAATCACAGATTTGAAGTCTAATTTTAAATCATAGATAATTCAACCTGAATTATAAAATATGTGCTGACTAAATGTGATAATGAATACCATTCTCATTTTGTTTCAGAGTTTTCTTGGAGGTTTTTTTGGCCCCATTTGTGAGATCGATGTTGTCCTTAATGATGGGGAAACCAGGAAGATGGCAGAAATGAAAACTGAAGATGGCAAAGTAGAAAAACACTATCTCTTCTATGATGGAGAATCTGTCTCAGGAAAGGTAAAATTTTTGCTGGGAAAAATTACCCAATTGTGGGATATTAGAATTACAAAAATTTGAATGATTTTTTTTTTATTAGAGATGCTTTTTTCTTTTGAAGGTCAGCTAAAATCCTTGGTTCATTAGAACGTGCAGCAAAGTTTCTCACTCTGGGTTTCAGGGCAGTCTTCTTCAGGTAGAGCATTCTGTTTGTGACTGGCATTAGACAGTTCCTCTCCAATGGGAATGTGACCTACCAACAATTTGTTCTCCTTTAGCAGGAGCTGAGTTTTAGCAACAGAAGTAATTCTCTGGTATAGCCTTTTGAAGGACTCTGTTGTTTTGTTTTGTTTTTTAATCTTCTTTCTCTGTACTACTACCTTTGTGTCTACTTCTCATTTCTTGGTGTCTTGTAGGGGACCAGTGTACTGCACTTCGGGATGTAACTTTGCATGATCAGATATATTTTGGATACATTCTATTAAGTTTTACGTTGTTCCCCTTTATATATGTTTATACTTGTACCTTAGGGAATAGGATCAATACTCATTAATTTATGATATTGGGTAATGGCATTATCATAGACAAATGAAGCCACAAAACATTTGAAATAACTTTTTTTTTTAAGATTTTATTTTATTTTTATTACAAAGTCAGATATACAGAGAGGAGCAGAGATAGAGAGGAAGAGCTTCTGTCCGATGATTCACTCCCCAAGTGAGCGCAATGGCCGATGCTATGCCGATCCAAAGCCAGGAGCCAGGAACTTCTTCCGGGTCTCCCACGTGGGTGCAGAGTCCCAAGACATTGGGCCATCCTTGACTGCTTTCGCAGGCTACAAGCAGGGAGCTGGATGGGAAGTAGAGCTGCCGGGATTAGAACTGGCGCCCATATGGGATCCTGGTGTGTTTAAGGTGAGGACTTTAGCTGCTAGGCCACGCCACCGGGCCCTGAAATAACTTTAAAAAAAATTTATTTGTAAGAATTACAAAGAGGGAGAGAAAGAAATTTTCCATCTATTAGTTCACTCCCCAAATGGCTGCATCACCAGTGATGGGCTGGTCAGGAGCCAGATATTTCATCTGGGTCTCCAGTGTGAGTGCAGCGGCCCAAACACTTGCACAATGTTCTGCTGCTTTCCCAGGTGCACTGGCAGGGAGGTGGATTGGAAGTGGAACAAGCAGAATTTGGAGTAGCTCTCACATGGGATGCTAACACTGCAGGCTGTGGCTGTACACATTACTCCACAGCACTGACCCCTGAAATAACTTTTAAAATATAAATTTTGGGGGTTTCTCGTTTCTGCTAACAAGTAAGATGTACACTTGGTAAACAGGTTGGGTGTTTCTGTCTACTGTCTTGACACTAATTAATATTTACATAATTTAGTATATTAAACATACCCTTTCCCTGTTGTTAGATATTTAAGTACTTTCACTTTTATTTTTAATTTTATTGAGAAGCAGAGAAACTAGGAGACAGTCCCAGAGTTTCCATGTTCTGGCTCACTCCCCAGATGTGTGCAGTGGCTGGAGTGGAGCTAGACTGGAGCTGGGGTGAAGGAAGCTGCAGCTGCAGCCAGGAATGCAGTTCAGGAAGCTGGCCACTTGGACCATCATCGCTGCCTTCCAGAGTGTCCACTTGCAGGAAGCTAGAATCAAATGGACTTAGAGAATCAACTCCAGGCACTCTAGAGCATCTTAATGACTAGGTTAATTTAAGCTTGCTCTATTAGATCCTGTGTTTTGGGTGACTTTTTAAAAAAAGATATTTATTTGTATTTGAAAGGCATGGATGCTGGTACCGCATTTTAGAGGATTAATCTGTTGAGCTATGGTACTGGCCTCAGTATATCTTTTTTTTCCCAAAAATTTATTTATTTTTATTGGAAAGTCAGATATACAGAGAGGAGAAGAGACAAAGAAGAAGATCTCCCATTTTTTGATTAACTCCCCACATGGCCGCAATAGCTGGAGCTGTGAACCTAGAGCCAGGAACCTGGAGTCTCCTCTGGGTCTCCCACATGGGAGCAGGGTCCCAAGGATTTGGGCCATCTTTGACTGCTTTCTTAGGCTACAAGCAGGGAGCTGGATGGGAAGCAGGGCCACCAGGATTAGAACTGGTGCCCATTTGGGATCCCAATGCATTCAAGGCGAGGACTTTAGCTGCTAGGCTATTGTTCTAGGCCCTGGCCCCAGTATATATCTGTGTCTTTAGTAAAACAAACCTTTATGTATGTATTTCTCTCCAGATTTCTGTAGGATGAGATCATTACCTTTAGATTTCTGAAAGTGATTTGTTGGGCTGAAAAATATAAACATTTGAAGAATCCTAGTATATATTAACCTGGAAATTGCATCTTCATATAAGTGCATGTCTACCTATAATGCCTTATTTCACCTAAGACAACGTTCGATACAATAACTTTGTACTCTTGGCTCTTTTATTGGCAAAGTTGATCTTATTTTAATTTGCATTTTTGGATTATGTAATAGATTGAATTTAGGCAAAATTTAGGCTTATTAGTCATTTTTACTGCATTGTCTATTCTGGTCTTTACCCAGATTTACCCATTTGAGTCTTAGTTTCTTCTCAGAGGTGGGATTTTTGGTTTTCAACTTTTCTCTCATAGAATTCTTCTTCTTTTTTTTTTTTAAGATTTTTTTTTTAAAGTTTTATTTTATTTTTATTGGAAAGTCAGATATACAGAGAGGAGAGACAGAGAGGAAGATCTTCGGTCCGATGATTCACTCCCCAAGTGAGCGAAACGGCCAATGCTATGCTGATCCAAAGCCAGGAGCCTGGGAAAGCAGTTGAGGACAGCCCAAATCCTTGGGACCCTGCCCACGCGTGGGAGACCCGGAAGATGTTCCTGGCTCCTGGCTTTGGATCGGCATAGCATTGGCCGTTGCGCTCACTTGGGGAGTGAATCATCGGAAGGAAGATCTTCCTCTCTATCTCTCCTCCTCTCTGTAACTCTGACTTTCCAATAAATAAATCTTAAAAAAAAAAAAAGTTAAGTGGTCTTAATACAGAGGGAGTTGCAGCCATGGTTGGCTCACAACAAGGGTTGATTGCATTTGTAATGAAAGCACAGAATCATCTCTGTCATGATCCATGTGACTCAGTTACGTGCCGTCGCATCATCCACCAGGCAAGCCTGCAGCTAGTTGCCGTGGCTCTGCCATGTGCTGTCAGCAGTAGTGCTGTGTGTGAATGTTGTCGAAAGTCGAGGACTGAAGAGCTGCCAACTGAAGGAGTGACTCCATGATCCTGACCCTGAGTGCAGAGATCTTCCTTATTACCAAGTGCCATTGCTGAGGGGAGGGAACTCGCTTATGAAGTTCGTGGAGCTCAAGGGAAGACTGTCAGGAGACTCAGTGATACCAGGTGGCTGTATGACCTGGCTGGCATTCACTGTTGACGTGACCAAGTACTCTCAGAGCTAAACTTCACACTGCCAAGTTCTGCTCAGCTTGCTTCTTTCAAACCTAAAATCATTTGAAGTTAAATGAAGGCTGTGGAAAGTGCAATTCCAAAAGAGTGACAGACCTCTGACACTTGAATATTCTGGCGAATGTGTCAAACTAGTTGAGGTGTTTAATGAAATAGTCAGGGATGTGAAAAGTAAACAAATGCAATTGAGCATTCTTGCTACACTCTGTGGTGTGGAACCAGCTGATAGGCCAGATAGCCTATGGAAGGAAATCGTTGAGCTGCAAAGCCCTGGTGAATCTGAAAGGCAGATCCAATGACCACTGCTGCCTGAGCTCCGGAAATGTTGTATCAGCAGTGACGAATTTCCCACTTGGACAAGTGCACACTGAAGTAGGTGAGCAGTTCTCTTCACACTTAACACAAAGAGGCAACTGAGTTCCAGATCTGTGCAAACCTGGAAAAGAAATTATGGGTGATAGCATCTTCCATACCAGCTACAATCATGTATCTCACCAAAGAGAAGCAGTTCCAGTCATCATGGGAACGGTGAGGTCATTACATGTTTGACTAAATAAGGCAGGTGAATATTCAAGTTGATAATTTTGTGTGGCCTGCAAATGGTTTTACAAATACCCGAACAGCCGTTGGCACGACAAAGGTTCCCTGTTCATGCCCTGTTATATGGTTTGACTTTCCTTTATCTTTGATTTTTCCATCCAATGGTAACAATGGTGTCTTGAAGCCCCACACTCTTACTTTTTAAAAATATTTATTTATTTTTATTGAATTAGCAGATTTTTACAGTGAGAGAAGGAGAGACAGAAAGAGAAAGAGACTCTCCATTTGCTGGTTCACACTTGAAATAGTCACAATGGCTGGAGCTGGGCAGGTTTGAAGCTGGGAGCCAGGAGCTTCTTCCAAGTCTCCCACATGGGTGCAGAGGTCCAAGGATTTGGGCCATGTTTTGCTTTTTTTCCAAGTACCTTATCAGGGAGCTGGATTGTAAGTAGAGCAGCTGGGACTCAAACTAGTGCCCATGATGGGATGTTGGTGCTATAGATCAAGGCTTAACTTACCATGTCAGCAGCACCGGTCCACAAAATAAAGTGATATTTTAAAAAATATTATTTACTTTTTATTTGAAAGGCAGATTTACGGGGGGACAGGTTTTTCCATCTACTGTTCGCTCCCCAAATAGCTGCAACAGCTGAAGTTGAGCTGATCTGAAGCCAGGAGCTTCTTTCGGGTCTGCCAGGGTGTAGGAGCTCAAGAACTTGAGCCATCCTCCACTGCTTTCCCAGTTCAGAAACAGAGAGCTGGATCAAAAACGGAGCACCTGGTATTAGAACTGGTACCTGGGATTAAAAATGGTATTAGAACTGAACGATTTTGAAAGTCTTGCTCATTGTGTTTAATTAAATGTTGAAGTATAGTTGTTTTGTTAAAATTGGGAGTATTTTGGCTATTCTTTTATTTTTTAAGAAAAGATAGTCACTGTTCCAGTTACTTAAGTAGGATATTTTTTTAAAGGCAAAATATGAGAATGTTGGAGCCTGGCACAGTAGCCTAGTGGCTAAAGTCCTAGCCTTGCATGAGCCGGGATCCCATATGGGCACTGGTTCATGTCCTGGTGGTCCCACTTCCCATCCAGCTCCCTGCTTGTGGCCTGGGAAAAGCAGCTGAGGAGGGCCAAAGTCTTGGGACCCTGCGTCTGCATGGGAGACCTGGAAATGGCTCTGGCTTTGGATTGGCTCAGCTTTGGCCATTATAGTCACTTGGGGATTGAATCAGCAGATGGAAGATCTTCCTGTCTCTGTCTCTCCTCTTTGTATGTCTGACTTTCCAATAAAAATTTTAAAATCTTAAAAAAAATGATAATGTTAATATTGAAACTTTATTTGTAGTGGTAAACTTCTTTTAAGTTTAGATCTTGGCTTGCCATTTAGATTTATGATGAAATGCAGAAAGTGAAAAAAAAAATGCAGAAAGTAGCTTGCTTAAACATGAGGACATGGCCTCCCTTTTAATGTATGCAGTTTCCAGGTGACAGATTTCAGATTGAGTTGTTTTTTTTTCCTACATTGTTTTTCCATGAGAAAACAGTACTTCTCAAAGTTGTTAGGTGTTTCTCAAAAAACTTTCATTCTATAAATAGGTGTTAACAGTGAATAAAGGAATTACTAGGTCTTTTTAAGGCAAACAGTAATTCATAGTGCTATTTTACATACCAGTATGTATGGTTCTCTAAGTAGTGTTTTTTTTGTTTTGTTTTTTCTTTTCTTTTCTTTCTTTCTTTCTTTCTTTCTTTTTTCTTTCTTTCTTTTTTTTTTTTTTTGTCTTTCGGAAAGAACTAGATTGGTCTGTGATAAGTGAAATTGAAATCTGTAGACCTTTGTGATCCTAGCACAAAGCAGACTGTGTCTGTTCCCTGTTACAGAAAAAAACCAAAGGCATATGTGTAGCTTAAGATGGCAGGAGTTTATGTTTTAGTTCTTCAAGCCAGGATTGTTTTGCAGAGTCTACATTCAACAGAATGAGTGGAGGGCTGGCATTGTGGTCCAGTGGGCTGAGCTACCACATGTTAGGATACTAGTGTTTGTCCCAGCTGCTCTGCTTCCCATCCAGCTTCCTGGTGACAAAACAGCAGCAGTTGGCCCAGCCTGTGTGAGCGACTCAGGCGGAGTGACTGGCTTCAGACCTCTGTCCTAGCCTCAACTGTCAGGACCACTGGGGAGTGAACCAATGGATAGAATCTCTCTTTTTCTCCCTGTGTCTCTGTAACTCTCCCTTTCAAGTAAGTGAAGATCAATCAAGAAAACGAACATGGGTATGGAATTATGTTCTTCTGGCAGTAGTCAGAAACTGATCTTGGATAATCCTGACATTAGCAATAATGTTTACTACCTGGTGCCTCACTTGATGTACATGACCTATAAATGGTGTATAATTCATTGATGATTTATCTTAAACACAATGTAGAATTTTATTCCTTAAATAAATGCTGAAAATGGCATTATTTAAGACATCAGGAGAATATTATTTGGCATTATACTTGTGTACAATTTGACCATGCTTCCTTCACGTAACATATCACATACATCTTCTACATCATTAAAAATTGTTTGACAGTATGTTCCATCATGATTACCACAATTTATTTACTACTTTTTTGAGATATAAATTTAGAAGGCAAGTAACTAATTCATATTATTCACAACATATGAAAGCTATATGTAAAATAGTACATATTTTAATTTATATAGTTTTCATATAATAATTGTGTCTGTGTTTTTCTTGGTGTTTGATTTTCTATTATCTTTTGATAAGCAATATTTGGAAGGAAAGTTTTTGAGATTCACATTGCCAATATTTGTTGTAGTAAAGATGAAACCTGAAAGTATGCTGTAAAAAAAATAAAGCATCCCTTTCTCTCGCACTTTCCCAGATACAGGAAGAAAAAAAGGAGATTGGAAACAGTTGTCTCATCCACTTTCCCCCATTCTTCGGCCCTCATCCTAATCAGTCGTCCACATGGGCATGCATCCTTCCTAACTATGTAAACATCAGAAATAAAATCTACTATAAAAAACAAATTAAGAAATAAATCTGTGCTAGTTGATCATTAGATGTTTGGAATTTTATTTATTTATGTACTCTAAAATTATTTTTCCAAATGAAAAAACATAAATTTAAGGTTTCCATTGAACCGATACATGAATTTATGAATTTTGAAATTATGTATTTAAAGCATGTGAGATTAATAATACTCAAAACTTAAATCTTTAGACATTCTGTTTTTAGGATGAGCAGCATATTCAGGGAAATAACCATTCCTCTTAAAGTTAGGAATTACAGCAATACTATTGTGGTTATTAAAAACTAAAAGTGATTATTTAGGTCAGTTCTTGGAGGTAGTGATTATTTCCCATAGAAGTACTGTAGTTTATCAAAGAATTGGTTAATCATTTGATGAGAAAATACACACGGATAGTTTTTCCTTTCTTTCAGTTGTTCTGTAGTTTTTCCAGCTATGAAGTTCCTTTGCAGTAGAGCAGATGCTTTAAGTTTGTATATGTAAGTAACGTACTTACTAGTGATTGTGTATGAATGAAGGACACCTCTCTGGTGCTGTAAGGGCACCCTGATGTTAGTATGTGGTGATGTCTCATGTTTCATAAGTGAGTACCTGACGAATACACGTGTAGACAAAGATTTCTCTATTACATTCATCTGCAAGGACTCTGCTACTAGGCCCACAGAAAGGACTGTTAACATCTCATAATTTCATGTTTTGGCAGGTAAACCTAGCCTTTAAGCAACCGGGAAAGAGGCTAGAGCACCAAGGAATTAGAATTGAATTTGTAGGTCAAATTGGTGAGTTTTAAAATAGTATTTTTTTTCTTTGATAACTGAGTTGAAGGGTGAATGTGACAAATAATTGAGTCAAATCTTGGCTTTGTGAAAAGAAGGAAAGAATTGATGTTGCATAGTAGAAGAGAATTTTAGGGAAAAAAAAAGTAAATGTTTCTTTTATTTCTACTAAATGTTTGCCTCATTCTGCATTTATTTGTTATTGGGCTTTATTACTAACAATGAAAACAGTTATGTAAACCATCAGCTTTGAAAAATAATTCCAGTAAATTAGCTGACTCACTGAAATTTCCTCCTGCCTACATTTTTCATCAGCCTTACTCACCTTCATCTTTCATTTCCTAATTACCCATGCCGCTTGTTTTTCCGACTTAGTATATGCCTGTAGCCAGGGTCACCTGTCAGTAGAATGTTCCATCTGAAGAGGAAACGTGTAATTTCTTTGTAGATCACCTTGTGTACATTTCTCCCATACATTTTTTAACAGGAAGTTAAAACTTCACATGTCTTTACGTACTGTAGAGTCAACAAAGAGAAAGTGTCTCTAGAATACTGTTCACATAGCTAGGTTTCAGATTTAACTTTCCAAATTTTAAAGTACCAAAATTGGAATGGGTGGATATTTGTTTCCTATCTATTCAAGGTGAGATATAATAGTTGAAAAAATTAAAACAAAAAAAATAATTGAGAGGGTAATTTATAGCAACTAACTGATAGTTTTACTTTTTTACGTGTTTTAGTTTTATTAAGGTATTTGCCTGACTAAAACAACGAAACACTAATTCTTGCTTTGGAAAAAGTTGAAATAATTGCTTGTATTGTGTCAGTCTCATTTTGGGAAAGTTTTAACTACATCAAAACAGTGGAATAATTTCCAGTAGAAATTTTTTTCCTGGATTCTGATTCTTGAGTGTATGTATGCCTAAGATTAACATAATAAATGAGGGCGGTAACATTTGGCTCATAGCTCTTTTAGAGACAAATCCATCTGGCTCTTTCAGTAAGAACTATTTACTTTGGAGGTAGAAGTTTGGGTTTATTGAAATGTTAGTAAACATAATTTGTCTTTATGCTTTTTTGAATTTCTTAGAACTTTTCAATGACAAGAGTAATACGCACGAGTTTGTAAATCTAGTGAAAGAACTAGCCTTACCTGGAGAACTGACTCAGAGCAGAAGTTATGATTTTGAATTTATGCAAGTCGAAAAGCCATATGAATCCTACATCGGTGCCAATGTTCGCCTGAGGTATGAATGTTAGGAACTGTAAGCAGAAGCAAAACTAAGGAACAACAGCTACTGTTGGTGTTCTTATTGGAATTTCTGATTCTGAATTAGAAAATAGAAGATTTCAAAAAAACCTGTCCCATATCTTTTTGTCTCGCTAGTGTTCCACAGAGATGCCAAGAGTTTTCTGAGATTAGACGGAGAAAACTCCAAATGAGAAGTGTCAGTCACATACTTCTCTTTGTGAATTGTCCTTTAGCTACTTGTTTTGTGCTGACTTGCCCTTCGAATCCATTTAGTTTTGCAGTGAAACTCACTTGGTAAATGGTCAGTAGGTGAGCTGGAGTCCCTAAAAGGCTGTCTGGCTTGTTCAGATTTCCTAAGTAGTTAATGGCAAAAATGGAGTTGGAACCTAGTTTTCTAAATCCCCAATCCAGTTATTTTTCTCTTGGCCAGTGTTTGTGCAGGGAGCCCCAAGTTGCATCTGAGACCACAATTAATTAAGATACTAACCTGAAAGCATCAGGCATCACCTCTGGGATGCTGCTTTCTGTGTTGAACTTGACAACTCAAATCCCAGATGACAGCACCTTACCTAGTTAGAGATTGAAAAAAAAAGAAAGGAAAAAAAAGTCTGGAGAGATCTCAAGGTTCACAAACTAATGTGGGAGTACCTGTTGTTTTAAAATTGTACTTGCGCTTTTTTTTCATGTTGGGTGGCATTTAAGAAAATTGGGAAGCCCTCATAAGGTGTATGTAAAGTAATTTCATTCCAGTAAGGAGAAACCTTTTGTTGTAATGAATGTTTGCTTATTTAATGCATAAATTTATCATAGGCGATTCACCCCATCCTCTCCATTAATTTTGTAGGTATTTTCTTAAGGTGACAATAGTAAGAAGACTGACAGACTTGGTAAAAGAGTATGATCTTATCGTTCACCAGCTTGCCACCTATCCTGATGTTAACAACTCTATTAAGATGGAAGTGGGTATTGAAGATTGTCTACATATAGAATTTGAATATAATAAATCAAAGTAAGTATCTTCACAGAAATGTCCAAAGATATATTGCCAATAAGCTTTTCAGGTCTTTGTGAAAGGATCAAAGTAGGAATAGAATAACAGCAGTAATCTGGTAAGACCAACTGCTTCTGATTAGTAAGACATATTAGGAGCTTGGTCTGGTCATCCAAGGGCAGCTCTCTTCCTTACAGATCTCTGGCTGCTGCTTCTAGAGACTTTCACCATCTCAGAATGTACCCAGTCCTAATGAGTCCGTAAGAATTTATCGTACATGGAAAAAAGTGCTTTTGACTCATTTCACCACCAATCCATGTTACATTTTTATAGAATGGACTTATACTTCATTCATTTTTTTTTTTTTAATTATTTTTACCTACAGAGTGAGAGAGGGAGAGAGAACTGTATCTTCCATCCACTGGTTCACTCCCCAAATGGCTGCAATGGCCAGAGCTGGGCCAGTCTGAAGCTGGGAGCTAGGAGCTTCTTTCAAGCCTCCCATATGGTTGGCAGGGAACCAACTAACCATTGCTGCTACCTCCCAGATATACGTTGGCCGGATGCTGTTCTCAGGAGCTGAGGCTGGCTCGAACACGAGCACTGCAATGGGGAGGCAGGTGTCCCAAGGGGATCTTAACTGCTGTGCCAGAGGGTGCCCTTGAAATCGCTCTAAATTTATAGTTTTCACCTGTTATAAGTAAAATTTACTAAATACATGAATTGTTTTATTCCCCTCCTACACATTCTTCTAGTATATGATTTTTATTAGTTGTTAATATCATTGAAAATGTTATACCCTGCTTTTAGATTCTTACATTGTTGATAAAAATGATCAGGTAGTTTAGGACCTAAAAAACTTCGGTGAAGCCTCCCATCAGTCTGACACACTGTGTTAACCAACTCTTGGGATATTACTTTAAGGCCAGGAAGTCTTCTGAATATGCTAAGGATTCCCAGGTTTATGACCACATTGTTTTAAGGTACCAGGGAGCACTCTCATTGTTAGAAATTGAAACAGCAAACTCAGTTTGGATAGTCAGCCCCTGGTAATACTTTTTGATGGCTAGATGATTTTTTTAAAAAGATCTATTTTATTTTTATTGGAAAGTCAGATATACAGAGAGAAGGAAAGATGGAGGGGAAGATCTTCCATCCTGTGATTTCACTCCCCAAGTGACCACAGTGGCCGGTACTGTGCCGATCTGAAGTCAGGAGCCAGGAACCTCTTCTGGGTCTTCCATGCAGGTGCAGGGTCCCAAGGCTTTGGGCCGTGCTGTTTTCCCAGACTACAAGCATCCCTACTGGATGGGAAGTGGGGCCCCCAGGATTAGAACCAGCACCTGTATGGGATCCCAGCATGTGCAACAAGAGGACTTTAGCCGCTAAGCTACCATGCTGGACCCTAGATGATTTATTTTTGCTGCATGGTTCTGGCATATAAATTAATAATGACAGTGAACTTTCATGTGGAGATTTTAATGTTGAAAAATATGTTCATACAGTGGAAATATTGCAAGCATAAAAATCTTCATTTCTAATCAATTAGGTGCTTAGATTCTCTGAAAACTAATTCAACCTTTACATAGGAGCAGTGATTAATCAAATAAATTATTCCATCAGAGATGTACTCATGGTCAGGTAAAAACTTGAATCTTTTTATACTGGAGTAATGAAAATGGGTTTGAAAAAAGAGTAAATGCTATGCGTAGGATTTACTGTTCTTAGTTGATATTCTGAAGGTACTTATTGAGGCCTTTCAGGCACTAGTTCATCATTTTCTTTGTTCTTAAAACTTACATTTAGTTAATGAAATGTATTTTTTTCCCTAAAGGTATCATTTAAAGGATGTCATTGTTGGGAAAATCTACTTCTTATTAGTAAGAATAAAAATACAACATATGGAGTTACAACTAATTAAAAAAGAGATTACAGGAATTGGTAAGTTAGAATATTAAAATTCCTTTTATTGAAACTTTAGAAATTTTGAAATATTTAAACTTAAAATACATTTGACATCCACACTGAATACTACCTTTGCTAGTTAGCATTGCTGCAGTAAGTTACTTAGTGCTTTTTGAAAAAATTAACTTTTGAGGAGGTGACGACTTTACATCATTTAAAAAAATAGAAGACTGTGGTGCAAAGTGTCCCTTTTCTGTGCCCAGAGACCTCACGGGTAATGTGCTTATAAATTGTAAACTCCTTTTAGATATTTTAAGCATATACAAGAAAGTACCTATGTAACATACCCTTTCTTTTTATTAAATGTTGACATAAAATACGTACTTTGCTTTTTCACTTAATGAGTTTTCTTAGAGATCTTTCCATTATTGCATTTCATCTTTTATAGTATTTTATGCTATTAAAATACCAGAATTGAATCAATCCACTGCTGGTGGACATATATAAATCTTTTCTCAGTGTTTTGCTGTTACAAACGAACGTTTATTTAGTAACATCATGGTAAGTATGTGCTCATATGTAGAAGATGAAATCTTAGAAGTGGAGTGAAGTCAAGGGTATATTTATAATTTTGAAGCACACTGGATTATGGCTACTTGGCATTGCTACCTGCAACAATTACAGGACGATGCCAAAAAAAGGCACTAGTGTATTGTTACAAACACATCTTGAGGAAAACTTTTAGCTGATGTCATGGAAGGGAACAAAGATAATCTGTTGCAGTTTTTGGTAAAAAAGATTTATTTTTTTGAAAGAGTTGCCGAGAGAGGTTTCTTCCATCTACAGTTCACTCTCCAGATGGCTGCATTGACCAGAGCTGGGCCAGACTGAAGCCAGGAACTAGGAGCTTCTCCCAGGTCTGTCACGTGGTGCAGGCTCCCAAGTACGTAGGCCAAGTTCCAGTGCTTCTCAAGCACATTAGCAGAGACCTGGATCGGAAAAGCAGCAGCAAGCACCCATGCGGGTGCCCACAGGGGATGCTGGTGCTGCAGGCGGACCCCCTCATAGTTCGTAGTTTTTATAATGGATTCATTTTCTCAATCTCATTGAGCTGTAACTGGCATATAAAAATAGTTCATGGCTCCTGGCTTCGGCCTGCCATTAGAGAATGAAGCTGGGATGACATGGGAGATCTTTGTCTCTCATTTTCTCTCTGCAACTCTTTAAAAAAATCATTTTCAAAAAATAATGTAACTAGAAAATAGTAAGGAGGTATAAGGCTAGAAATAATATTCTGGAAGTATTTAAGTTGATAGCCTATCCTTTATTTCTCTAGGACCCAGTACCACAACAGAAACCGAAACAGTCGCCAAATACGAAATCATGGATGGTGCACCAGTAAAAGGTAACACTGTTCAGGTACTCCCTTTGTATGGTGCAAACAGAGTGATTGTGTGGCAGTTTGATTTGTGAATATTCGTGTGAAAGTACTGGTGAATTCTTCAAACTAATTTTGTAAAGGTGATTTTTAAGACTGTGTAGCTGCTAAGATGACCATGCAAGCACCTCTGGGTTAATTTTCCTTCCATTTAAATCTAGAGTTTAGGAGAGACAGTTCTGTGTATCTCTGCTCTAGTTCTGAGTTTGTACCTTTTTTATTATCTTCTGTTATTTGAACTCTGCAATTCATTTTTCTCATGCTGACTGGGCCATGTAGCTGAGCATTAATTCCTGTGGGATTTGGAGTCTTGATAGCCTCCAGAAAACAAGCAATTCTAGATAATCTCCAGTGTCTGAGATTGTGGAGCCAGGACTCATCATTTTGTTTATGTTTTGAGATTTTCATACTCGTGTCAGTCATTACTTAGAGTGGTCAGCATCTGTTGTGAACCGGTTGCAGGTGAGGCACTGTGAGGTGTCTTGATGCTAAAAGACACCCACTGCTCTTCCCAGTCAGGTGGGTGAATCTTTTATTTGCAGGGAAAACAGGTGCAGAGAGGATAAGCACCTTGCCAGCAGTGATACAGTTAATCATTTCCAAGTGGGAGCAGTGGATCCACATAGATGTATTGTTTTTTAAGACTTACTTATTTTTATTAGTAAGTCAGATATGCAGAGAAGAGCAGAGAGAGAGGAAGATCTTCCATCTGCTGGTTTATTCCCCAAGTGACTGCAGCAGCTAGAACTGAGCCATTCTGAAACCAGGAATCTGGAGCTTGTTCTGGGTCTTCCATGTGGGTGCAGGCTTTGTGCTGTCCTCTGCTGCTTTCCCAAGCCATAAGCAGGGAGCTAGATGAGAAGCAGAGTGGCCAGAACATGAACCGGGGTCATATGGGAGCTTGGCAAAGCAAGAACTTTAGCCACTAGGTTACCACGCTGGACCCTGTTATGTAGAGTTTTAAATCTTTCAGCAAATAGATGTGCATGAGAAAAGTATTGAATAACACATATTCAGGAAAGAATATGCAAACAATTACTTTTCACAGGGAAACAGAAACTGAGAATCTGTGCCACAGTCCTTTTGGAAAGGAATGTTGGACATGATAAACTTCATGAAAATAGAAAACAGTTCAATATGCAACACTTGCCTGCTGTCACTTTAATAACATTTTCACATATTTTAATCCTTACAGTCTTTATAGATTTCCTCTAAGATATATGTTACTGGTATTTCCCATGTTAGAAGAAAAATTTAGAACAGAATGGTTCACTGATTTGGCCAAGGTTCCACGGCCAGTTAGGGTAGCTGAGATCTGAATGCAGGTCTTCTAGCTCTAGAGCAGTGGCTCGCATGCAGCGGCATTTGCTCCCCAAGGGACAGGGAGCACTGTTTGGAGGTACTTCTGGCTGTCACACTTGGGGGAGGCTCCTGGCATCTAGTGAGTGAGGCTGGAGATGCAGCTGAGCACCCTGTAATGCATGGGCCCTTCCCACACTGTAAGGAATTAGCTGCCTATTTTGTCACAATGTGCAGCCTAGAAACCTGGCCTGTGCACCCCTGCATCTGAGCAGTATCTGCCCGATAAAGATTACATCTAGTGGTTACGTGACTGTAGGTCACCATCTTTTTTTTTTTTTCATTTTTTATTATATTTTTGACAATCTTTAGTTAGGGTAAAAGGTTCAAGGGCTATAAGAAAGTGGGTAAGACTATTATTTCCATATTGTTTCCTTCATGTATCTGAGGTAAAGGGGGATATTGAGGGAGAAACTCCACCCAGTTTCCCACCCACCCCAGGTCCTAGATGTGGGGCATGCTCTGAGATACTTGCTCAAGTGGTTTCGATAGTTCAACCAGTTATGAATTGCTGCCAATCTCGCCATGGTCACCATCTTTTAGAATTAAATAGAAATTGTTTTTCTTTCAGGTGAATCAATTCCAATAAGGCTATTTTTAGCAGGGTATGACCCAACTCCTACAATGAGAGATGTGAACAAGAAGTTTTCAGTAAGGTACTTCCTGAACCTTGTGCTTGTTGATGAGGAAGACAGAAGGTACTTCAAGCAGCAGGTATGTTGCCAACCATGATGCAGTTTCCTAAGCACACCTGGAAAGCACTCATTTATCTTAAGTTTTGTTGTGATCAACAAGTAGGAATTTCTAAGTGAGGTGTACAGAGTGGTGAGAATGGAGTCATGCTGTGACAGAGCCCTCGCTGGTCATTCTGCAAGACTCTAAGCTTTGTGTTTTAGTGAAACAATACCTTCTGTTGTGAGTGAGTCTCTGGAAAGATCTGTTTGTGTGCTAAGCTCCTATACAGCATGTGGTCCTTAGTTATTCCTGGGTGGTACCTTGAGTATCTTTTTTATCATCATATAGTAGCTCTCTGTTACCATTTTTTAAAAAAGATTTATTTATTTTAATTGGAAAGACAGATATACAGAGAGAAGGAGAGACAGAGAGGAAGATCTTTCATCCGATGGTTCATTCCCCAAGCGGCAGCAAAGGCCAATCTGAAGCCAGGAGCCAGGAGCTCTTCTGGGTCTCCCATGCGGGTACTGAGTCCCAAGGCTTTGGGCCGTCCTTGACTGCTTTCCCAGGCCACAAAGCAGGGAGCTGGATGGGAAGCAGGGCCGCTGGGATTAGATTAGAACTGGCGCCCATATGGGATCTTGGCACGTGCAAGGCGAGGACTTGAACCATTACGCTATCTCATTGAGCCCCAAAGCTGATTTTAGAAACTAAAGCAAGACTAGCAAGGTCTAGATTGAATTGGCAGCCTATGGTAAGAGCAGGAAAGGCAGAAGGGGCAGTGCAAGATTAGAATTGGGAGAAAGTGGGTCTGTGAAAAACAGGAAGGATTCTTAGAACTTTTTTTATGTTTAAAATTGAAGCATCCATCGGTCGATATATGGTGACAATTTAAGGCATAACCAAGAACATGAAGTTGTTGCTACCTTGCTTTTATTTTTTTCTAGGAAATTATTTTATGGAGAAAAGCACCTGAAAAACTGAGGAAACAGAGAACAAATTTTCACCAGCGGTTTGAGTCTCCAGACTCACAGGCATCTGCAGAGCAGCCAGAAATGTGAACTGAATGGGGAAAAGAAGGAAAAACTGTCAGCGCTGAGTTCAGCGGGATCAAGATGGTTGCAGCGTGTAGGGAGGAAAGGCCACAACTCCACATAGAATAGTCTTCCTTTATCTTACAGTGCTGCATTTATTTTACAGTGTAACTAAATATTCTTCATGTATATACATTTTAAAAAGTGCTTTCTTTGAAACACTGGAAATTTCTGAAGCTGCCTTGTTTTTAAACTGCACACTTTGATTTAATGATAAGCACTCAGATTTGCATCAGTATAAACATTAAAGACTGTCCCGTGAGCAGGCTAGTATTTGTAACTTGCTTTCTTTCTGCAGAATATTGATTAGAAATATTTCTCTTCTACATTTCCATGCTAGTGATTACCTCTTATTCTCTACATGCAAAAAAATTGAATATTTTGTGTTGAAATGAAGTTTTGAAACCCAGGTGACCCCTTCCATCCTGCAGAGGCTTGGCCGTGGCATCTCCGTGTCTCTGAGCCCTTTTGTTTGCCCAGATGTGTTGAGGAAAGGCATGCACCTGGAGCGTTCCCTGTAGCTGCTCTGGGCCTACGGCCACACTCCCCGAGTTGCATCCACCCGCGAGTTCCCCATGGCATGAGGGTTACATTTTCCCCCCTGCATTACGGGGCACATTGTGGTGCCAGGCTGAGGAATCCTGACTGCTGCCTTCCCGCAGGGCAGCCGCCTTGGCCCTTCTTCAGTCTGCCAACACTCTGACAGATGTGTCTCTTTTTAACTGTTTAATTTAAGGACTCTTTACCACACATATGCAGATACTTTTTTTCTGACTTCACAGATTTCTTGTCTTCAGTTTTCAGAGGGGAAGGTTTGGGATGGAGGGCTCAGGAGGACCTGTAAAACCTACTTACTCAGATCTTGACAACTTTATTAAACTGCAACTCTGGTAGTTCAGACTCAACAACTTCCCACGGTCTTAGTTTCTAACACTAAGTTCAAGTCATTCGTTCAGTGTCTTTAAACAAAGGAGGTTGCAGCCAGTGGTTCACATGCCTGGGTCTGGTCCCAAGTACACTAACTGTGTAGGAACCACACTGCAGCCTTCTCTGGGGAAGCTACTTTCACTTATGACTTATTGGTTTTTGTACCAATATTTTTTAATACACTTCAGTGCAAGTTGTCAGTTAACCTTACTTTATGAGTAAGATAAGTAACCCAAATTACAATCCTTAAACCTGTTTAACTACTATGGCACTTTGATAAATTGGTCAGTAACCAATGTTTCTCCTGGCACAGGCTCCAGGTGCCACATGCTGGAGGGTCTACATGTGGCATCCGTGGATGGTAATGTTTTCCTTCCTGTAAGTGCCTGTTCAGAGTTTCAGACTTTAAAAATGCCAAATATTTTCATGGTCATTTGCATGTAGTAATCTAGAAAATGTTCAAAGAAATTTTGACAACCAATTGTATTTATCCAACCTCAAATTGTGCAACCATGATGTATAATAAAAGAATTGAAACATAAACTGAACTTTGTTTGATTAAAATAACTATTCTCATATCTCTTATTGTTACATGTATTGTGGAAGATGGAATTGCTCAATGGGTTAGAAAGCTATAATTGTATTAAATTTTTACAAATATTAGTACTAATTCTTTTTTTAAATTTCAAATTTTATCATACAATTCTGTGTAGTCTGGGATTCCCTTCCTCCTAACTCCCCCCATCCCCACGACTGATTTTTCCCATATTGTCACAACAGTACATTCCTCCAAGTTTCTCACACGGGCGCAGGGTCCCAAGGCTTTGGGCCGTCCTCAGCTGCTTTCCCAGTCCACAGGCAGAGAGCTGGAAGGGAAGTGGAGCAGCCAGGACACAAACCAGCACCTATATAGGATCCCAGGACGTTCAAGGTGAGGACTTTTGCTACAAGGCTACTACGCTGGGCCCCATTTTTATGTTTCTAATCATACATAAGCAGATAGGAAAAGATGTACCTTGAATATAATACATTAAAAAAAAAAACTTACGGTCTTCTACAAGGATAATTCTTACCATGTCACTCCCTTATCAAATCTTTGTTATTTCCAGGATAAAGGACAGCTTCTAACAATGAAAAACACATCTTCAACTGGTTAGCCCACTCCTGAAACTCTGCCCACCTCCCGCCTGCATGCCAGGTGGCTCACTAAAGCTTCTAGAAAAACAGTCTTGACTGTTGGTACCTCGGCAGACACTGTAGAGGTCCCGTAATGTGTAAGGGGCACCTCATTCTGAAATGAAGACAGTGGCAGATGTGAGGAAGAGGCGGCTGGGAGATACACAGGGATAGGAAGTTCAGGATGAGCCGGGACGCCATGAAAGTGAATGGAATATGGGAATTCCATTTCATTCCAACTGAAATTGATTCAGTCTCTTAAAAAGATTATTTGTACTTGAAAAAGAGGACAGATTGATCTTTCATCTGCTGGTTCACTCCCCAAATGACTGTAACAGAGTTGAGCTGACCCAAATCTGAGAGCCAGAGGCTTCCTCCACGTCTCCCATGTGAGTGCAGGGGCCCAAGCGCTGGGGCCTTCTTCCACTGCCTCCCAGGCCATGGACAGAGAGGTGGATCAGAACTGGGCATCTCAACACTCGGTGTGCGTTGCATTTTCTATTTGACCCCTTATTAAACTGAACAATCGTTTATTTTCACCATGTCACAGTCTGCAATTATTCACTGATGCTAATCCAGTGTGGTTTGTTTTCTGTGTTGTTCGTTCTTACCCATCCTAGGCACTTTCTAAAGTAATTTCTCAAAATTTGCTGCTGTGCTGCTGCAAGTAAAGCTGCTGCCTGCACTGCTTGCATCCCACCCAAGTTCAGGTTTGAATCCCGACTGTTCCACTTCCTCTCCAGCTCCCTACTAAGGATGAACCCAATCCTTGGGGCCCCTGGCACCCGGTGACAGACAGGAAAGACACTCCTGGCTTCAGACTGACTCTGCTCTGACAGTTTTCATAATGAACCAGCAGATGGAAGATCCCAAAATTTTCTACCTGAATCTTTAAAGCACTTAATCACTTTTTATAAACAAGGCTCACCTTAGCTGATATGTAAATACTTTCTCTACTTTTGCCACCGTTAAGCCTCTGTCAGAAATCTTACAGCAATCAAATTACTCCTTTCTTTAATTAGCCCATTAGAGTAACACTGGCATTACTCAACGTGGATTTCTGTTATCACGAACAGTGGGTCAGAAGCAGTGTAAAGGGTCGCTTGAAAAAGTATGTTGTAAACGAAAGGCATGTAACAATACTCGACATACAAGTATCACACACACGACAGGAACCAGTTGCAAACCAGTTTAGAGTTTAGCTATGTTGCAACTTCGCCCGTGGGGACACAGTATCCAGCTAATGTGAGAGAAACCAAGCCTGGGCCGCTGCACTATTCTTGCCGAGTGCCGTTACTCAGCAAGGATGCACAGAAACCGCTCACAGAAAAGGTACGTCAAAGGTTCCACACGGCTCCCCCAACTCTGAGGAGCTGCGGCTTGTTCCTGCATTAGGAAGGAAACGGGAGCACCGCACTCCCCAATGCTTCCCGGCGATTCCCAGTGCTCCCCGATGCCCCCCAGCGTGCCCCAGTGAGCCCCAGTCTCTCCCAGGGCTCCCCAGCGTTCCCCAGCGTTCCCCAGCGCAGGGTCCGCCACGCCGCCAAGAAGCACAGCCCACGTGCTTCCAGGATGGGGTAGCTGCCGTCACGTGACACCGCATGTGCTCACGCACGCAGGCCCCCGTACGCCGCCCGCAAAGACGCCTGATGACTTTCCCTTCCGCAAGAAACGTGATCCCAACCACCGATGCAATTAAGATGAGCATTTCTATGTTTTCTTTTCCTGGACGGTTGCTCTCGTGCTGTAAGAGCAATCTCACCTCATTCCCTCCCCGTTCTTGATCAGGCATTTCCCTGGCCAGCTCTCCCGGCTCGCTCTGGGTCCTCCGGCTTGCCGGCGCCGGTGGTGAGCGTCACTGTCCGCCGTTGCGTCCCCGGGCTTGTCCCGGCTCCGACGGGGCCCGCGGCCTCGATGTCGTTTCCCCGCTGTGCTCTGTGGTGGGCTCGGCTCGCGGCGGGGCGCCCGGCTGGGCAGCGGGCCGCCGGCTGCTCGGCCCTTCGCGTCCCTGGGGCCCTGGCGCGCGTTCCCGCCTCGGCCGCCGCCTCCTCCAGTGCCTCCGGGGGCTCCAAAGCCCCGAACACGTCCTTGTTCGTGCCCCTGACGGTGAAGCCCCAGGGCCCCAGCGCCGACGGCGACGTCGGGGCCGAGCTCACGCGGCCCCTGGACAAGAGTGAGCGCGGGTGGAGCTCGCGGGGTGGGGACGTCCTGAGGGAGCCTGTCTCCGCACCTCTGGCCTCTGCCCTTTGCGTCCCTTCTCTGCGCGGGCTTGAGAACCTTTAGATGGACGACCAGCCTCGTCCTCCTCGTCCCCCACCCCTTTCTGGCCCCCTAGAAGGGGCGAGGGGAACCGCTGTCGGGACCCGAACCAAGCACTGTCAGGCTGCTGCTGTCGGGGAAAGGGACAAAGATTGCTGAGAGCAGCCCGACCCACAGGATGTTGCAGGGTAGACTCTGACGAAGGTGTCTTCGTCAAAGGGTGGTGGCGGGGCACCCGGGAGCAGGACAGAGCTTGGCATTGGGGGCTTGGGTGATACGTTTGTGCCTCCCTCCATTGCCCTTGGTTCTCGTCACTGACAGCGCTGTGTATCTTTGTGACGTGAGCAGTATGAGGGAGTGTTTCCTGAGTAATTAAAACTCTGGAAGGCCGAGGGGGATGCGTGGGCCTGCGTGGCTCAAGCCCTTTTCAGGGCTTGTCTGCTGCAGTTCACTCCAGGGGGTCGTGTCGGTGCCTCCTGAGGTGTGCCCGCGATTGGTCCAGAGGTTGCATTTCCAGCGTTGACAGTAAGTAAGCTGCAGTGTTCTTCTGCAGCCTCTTGGTTAAGCTGTCAGATTTCCAAGTAGAGAGGTGGGACAGCAGGGTGGCACCTCTCAGTCTGCTCACCTGCGTCCTACCTTGAAAGTCGGCTTGCCGCTGTCTCATGCTGTACACTCTCCAGGCTGTCTCCATCTTTCAGCTTTTGATGTAAAGTTCCTCAGTCCTCCCAGGTCTTCCCCTCCCATGCAGGCATCTCGCTTGGGTTTCTTGCACAGATCTTTCTTTCGCAGGCCCCAGTGACTTGTCTTCCCCTGCACCTGCTCTTGCAGCTTTGCAGGCAAGTCAGAACCTGCAAGGCCTCAGTCCTCTCTGCTCCCACCTGGACGAGTCTGTCACTTTGGTCTCAGACATCCACTCCTTCACTACCTTCCTCGCTTGTAACCTACGGTCGTCACAGACAGCTTCTGAGATCCGACTGCTGTTGAGGGGGATGGCTCCTAGGACACTGAGTCTCCATTTCCATGCCGTGTCTAGATAGATGGTCTTTTAAAAGGATCTGATCATGTCACTCTCCTGTTTGTTTTTTACGTATATATAAAGATAATGTATTTGAGAGGCAGAGTGACCAGGAAGGATAGGCAGAGAGAGAGAGATGTTTTCCGTTTGCTGGTCCACTTCTCAAATGCCTGGGAGAGTGGGGTCGGCCAGAGCATGGTTCTGATTGTCACGTGGAGAGCAGGAGCACGCCAGCATGTGTTGCCTCCAAAGTAGCTTAGCAGGAAGCTGAATCAGAAGCACAGAGAAGCTGGGACTCGAGCCAGGGTGCAGGTTTCCAAGTGGTAGCTCACCCCACTTTGCCACAGTACCAGCCCCTAAAAGTGTTTACTGTTTTTCCATTCTTGGATTCAAAGGGCCCCCGGGCCTGGAGGTGGCTGTGAGACCTCGGCCCTTGCTTCTACTCTAGCTGACTCTTCTTCCTTATTCTTTTTGAAGACTCTCAAAAGGAGAGAGATCTTCCAATCTACTGGTGCATTCCCTAAATGGCTGCAGTGTCTGGGCTGAATCCAGGAGCCAGCAGCTCCTGTCCCATGTGGGTGCAGGGATCCAAGCACTTGGGCCACCCTGTGCTGCTTTCCAAGGTGCATTAGCAGGAACTGGATTGGGATTCAAACTGCTGCTCATATAGGATGCCGGCATGGCAAGCAGTAGTATAGCACATTGTGCCACAACACCAGTCCCAAGGTAGCCATTCTCAACTGCCCTTATCTGCCACTGACTGGTTATGCCATCAACGTCAAAAACAAATGCAGTGTGTTCTTAATAAACTCGTCATCTTCAGGTGAAAGGCCATCCTGACCCTTTAGTCCTTTGTGTAAAGCCTGATGCGGTCTCAGCTGTTGGAATAATTTTTCTGGGTGTGGGTTAGCTGCACGCTGGTGGACGTACAAAGGGCCATGAGTGAGTGACGCAGAGTGTCTGCCTCAGATTAATGGACGCGGGTGCTGCCTGTGAGCCCATCATGGCCTTGCTTCGTTCCTGGCCGTGTAGCAGGAATAGTGTACTATCTGACTTCTGTCACTCTTGGACATGCCATTGCACTTTCCACAAAGAGGAATCCACAAACCTTCAGGTCTTGGCAGCTTCTCCAGACTCTGGCCTTCAATGTTGGCTTTTGGTGTCTTTCTTTCAGATGAAGTAAAGAAGATCTTAGACAAGTTTTATAAGAGAAAAGAAATTCAGAAACTGGCCGCTGACTATGGGCTGGATGGTAAGGCCAACAGCATGTTAGAGAGATGCCGTGTGACTCCTGGGAATCCTTTGTCAGTGTTGGGTGGTGCTGGGGCACTGGGCTGGATGCAGAGGGGCTGTGTGTCCCAGCTCCCTCCACGCTGTGCTGGGATTTCAGGTGTGGTGCAGCTCCTCGACAGCCAGCTGTACACCCTCCTGCCCCAGACATATTGGTGTGGTGTGTGTGGACTTCTGAAAATGACAGCTAAGGCCAAGACTAAGCGTCTTGTGTTTGGGTTTTGCGTTTCCACAGCTCGGCTCTTCCACCAAGCTTTCATAAGCTTCAGGAACTATATCATGCAGTCTCATTCCCTGGATGTGGACATTCACATTGTTTTGAATGACATCACCTTCAGCGCAGGTAAGTGTTTGAACCTACTTTCTATCCTTCTGGTGTATTTGTCCAGCAGAGTATATTTGTTTTAGAGCAGATCTTGGTAATACCTTCTGGAGTAAATCAGTGCTTTGAGAGGAGGCCTTCCAGGTCTCTGGGTTGCTCATATGTCAGCTCGCTCAGCTGGTTTTCCTGGCAGAGTCTTAGACTGGAGGGAAACTGAGGCCCAGCACTGACCTGCTCTGCTGTCCAGCCAAGTTGAAACTGACCTCCGGGAGCTGAGCTTGCTCACCTGTCAGTGATTCCATCTGTTTCTGCCACTGACTTCCTGCTCCTGTATGTTTGGGCAAAGGAAGAAAACAAGGAAGCCCATCCTTGTTTCTCTCTGTGAACGGGTTGGTTTGGGCTAGAATATTTGCATGTAGTTGACTCTGAGGCAGAGCCTGGGTACACGGCAGTGGCGGGGCATTGGGTCCCCTCAGCCGCTGTGTTGCGAGATCTTGCTGAGGTATCAATTCACTTCTGTGTGTTCTTGCTATAGTCTGTGGAATCTAAAATGCTTATGCCTCTCTTTTTGTAAACACACGCTTTCTTCTCTAATGTATGTTTCCAGGTTTGGGTTTTTTTGTTTGTTTGTTTTTAAGCATTATTTATTTTTATTGGAAAAGCAGGTTTACAGAGGACAGTGGCAGAAAGAGAGATCATCCATCCGTTGATTCACTCCCCAAATGGCTGCAGTAGCAGAGTTGAGCCAATCCGAAGAAGGGGGTCAGGAGCCTCACCTGGGTCTCCCGCAAGGGTGCGGGGGCTGAGCACTTGGGCCATGCTCCACTGTACTCCAGGCCATGAGCCGAGAGCTGGATTGGCAGTAGAGTAGCTGGGACTTGAACTGGCACTCATATGGAATGTCAGCCCTTGCAGCCACAGGATGAGCCAGTTGAGCCATTGCTCTGAGCCCCTATTTCTAGTTTATTTAAATGTATTTATTTATCTGTCTATATTTAATTTGAGAGAGAGTGCATGAATAAATGAGTTCCTGTCTGTGGTGGACAGGGCTGGGCTGGAAAGCTGGAGTCAGGAACCAGAGCTGGTGGAGTGCAAACGTTTTTACCACTGAGAACGATGCCCGCTCCTGGGCTCTTTATTTTTAACTGAGCTTCTCCCAGTGGTAATCTTGGCTTGCATTGGAGGAGGTGTTTGGCAGGCAGGCTTTTGTTTTCCTTGGGTAATACTTGGAGAGAAGTGGGACAGAGCCAGGCTCTCGAGAAAGGACAGGGTCTCCTGCTGCAGGAGTGTGTGGGAGGGTCCCGCCTCACTGACTTGGCTCACTGAGAGGGAGAGAGGTCAGCAGGTTCAGTGATGGGCAGCCTGCAGATCACATGTATTAATATGGAGTTTTGCCTTCCAGCTCATGTGGATGACTTATTCCCGTTTTTCTTGAGACATGCCAAACAAATCTTTCCTGTGCTGGAATGTAAGGATGACCTACGTAAAATCAGTGACCTAAGAATACCACCTAACTGGTTAGTTTCTTCACTTGCAAATTTGCAATCTTGAGTTTCTAATCTTGAGAGATTGGTAATCACTATATTTATATATTTTTTTATTGTATGCTGAATGACAAATTATAATGAGTATGGATTGTTATTCCCTAAAGCATCAGGCAGTGATTTATGTCAAGCTGTCTTCTGGGTCAGGCTTGCTTTGGGGTTTTCCTGTGTAAGAAATGAAAGCAGCCTTGCTGTGGGTGTTGTGAGGCCTTCCTGGAGTCTCGGCTTGTTGTGGAGTGTTGGATTTTCTTCCCGAGGCTGCAGCTGCAGTGTCTAGCGCTCAGAGACCTCTTTCTTCCAAGGCTCCTGTAAACCATACTCATCTGGGTCCTGTGGATTCTCACCCTGCACAGATCAGCCTGATACTGGGCGGCCGAGGACCACAGGGAGTCTGCATGCAGGCTGCGGGCACTCTCCCTTCCTCCTTCCTGCCTTCTTATACTCTGCCCTGCAGGTCAGGTTCAGCCGCTTCAGCAGCTCTAATCTTGACCTCTGCTGCTCTGCCGGCCTGTTTCTAACTGCACTACAGCTGGGCTGCAGCTGCGCAGTTTAACACCTGCTTCTTTCAGGGCTCTGGTCCTGCACTGCCTGCTTTCCCAGCCCCATGCGGTCACTGCAACCGTTTTACTCACTTCTGTATTTGTTTATGGCGCTGGGGCAAGCGCCATAGCAGCTATTCCATCAGGCTGGAAGCACAGGACTCGAAGGCCTGGGAATATTTGCTTTTAGAGTTAGACCACCAGGTCTGGGAAATGAGGTGAACTGTAACAGGTCTTCAGAAAGCTTGTGGAAAATATATTATTAAAAAACCTGCACGTGAGTTTGAAGATTTTTTGCCACAAAATGAAATTTTGATTATTTATTTCCATGAATTCTTTGAAGTATCCTTGTGTCTGTGGAATTGAGAGCAGCTTGAACTGTTTTTAATAACTTCTAGAGAGATTCATACAATGGGGAAATTATCTAAGACACTGATTTGTGTTTGGGTCTTTCTCTCCTCGCATAAGTAAATGCCATTCTTGGAAATAATTCAATAAGTGTTTGAAACTCACTACCTGGTTTTTCAAAGACTCTTTTAAAAAAATTTATTTTTAATTGAAGGGCAGAGTTACAGAGAAAAGCAGAGACATAAAGAGAGATCTTTCATCTGCTGGTTCACTCTCCAAGTGACTACTACAACAGCTGGAGCTGGGCCAGTCTGAAGCCAGAAGCTGCTTCTGGGTCACCCTCGTGGGTACAGTGGCCCAAGGACTTGAGCCATCCTCCTTTGCCTTCCCAAGCTATTAGCATGGAACTGGATGGGAAGCAAAGCAGCTGGGACTCAAACTGCCACCCACATGGGACGCTGGCACCTCAGGCAGAGACCTAACCACCACCTGTGCCTCTTAGAGAGTATCTTGTGAATGTGAAGAGCATGTTTCATTTGTGATTTTTTTAATTGATAGCTTTACCAGAGTGAATTTTTAGGTTGCTGAGATTAAGCTGTTTACCTTTTTATTTGTCTTCTAGGTACCCAGAAGCCAGAGCCATCCGTCGGAAGATAGTATTCCATTCGGGCCCCACCAACAGTGGGAAGACGTACCATGCCATCCAGAGATACCTGTCAGCAAAATCTGGAGTGTATTGTGGCCCTTTAAAATTATTGGCACACGAGATCTTTGAAAAGAGTAATGCTGCTGTCAGTGAGCTGCCAAATCTTTGCTTGATTTTCTTGCTAATTTTCTCAAAATAGAGTGAAGTTCATGACAGGGGGAAAGATGTAATAATTTACTTTTAACAAACTTGCTATATTCGTTGTGTCCAAGAAGTCATTAGTTGTAAGCTGTACCATTATTTTACCTGCAATTGAGAGAACAGGAGAAGCTGCCTCCTGGACTCTGACATGCCATCACTTCTACAGTGCCCCTCTATAGTACACGTGTTTACCAACGAGTGAAAGAAGTATGGCATTGTGGAACATCTCTTCTTCAAAGAAATGCAGAGAATAACACGTGTGTGACCTTGAATCCTAGCATTTTGTTGTATTTGCTTACTTTACTTTTTGAGTTGGAAAACAAAAAAAAAAGCCCTCCCTCAATTCCTGCTTTGTCTTCTCAGAGTTAGTCACTGTTTAGATTATCTACTTTGAGCTTAGATCTCTGATGCCAGCAGCTAGAGCTGACGATAAGGACTAGAGCCACTTTTTCAGAGCTGAGATGACTAAGGCCTGTGGCCTGTGGCTTCATTTTACTGAATTGCTGCAAGTTGGCTCCTGATTGTAGTATGCCTTTATAATACATTGGCCAGTTTTTTTGTTTTTTTTTTGTTTCTAAAAGTTTGAGTGGTTCGCATATGTAATGTGTTTCCTCAGAACAAAGGTTTTTTTTTTTTTTAATTTTATTATCACAGGATGTTCCTGGGAAACAGAATGCTTAATTTGATAGCATATTATTATGTAGTTCACAGTCCGTATTCAAATCTTGTCAGTTGTTCAGTGATACCCCGGTTCCTCCAGGTTTCCATTTGAGATCTCACTGTATTTAGTTGTCGTGTCTGTAGTTCCCATTCACCTGGGACACTTCCTCAGTCTTCCTTTGTCTCCCATAAACTTCGTGTTTTGGAAGACTGAGGGCCAGTTGTGTGGTGTACCCTGGCTCCATGTGGCTGCGGGGGGTGTTTTTCTTATGTTTGGATTCAGGCCATTGGATGGCCAGCTGGCTCAGTTTGCCTGAACTTTCTAGGATTTAGCAGCAGAAGTTGTCATGAGAAATCCCTTAGTCCTGGGAAACCTGGTCTTTACCAAGTAACTTGTTTATAGGTAGTTCAAGCTCATGTTAATAAGCTCAAATACTAGAGAAGTGTGCAGAGTTAAAAAAGTTAATATTACCCGGAGATATCCATGATTTGAAATATTCCTTCCGAGATCAGACGAGATCGGGCGCATTCAGGGTGGTATGGCCGTAGACTGAAATATTCCTAAGATTACCTGGGTGATATAAAAGTTTGGTTCATTTTGTTTTTCAAGAAAAAGAAAAAAATGCTGGGAATGTTTTGCTTTAGCTATTAAGTAAACACATGGCCAGTGGAGAGAATACTCTTTCAAACGCCCCAGACTAAGTTTTGCTATGATTTGCAAGATAGAAATAATTGTGAATTTTGTTTTGTTATTGCAGGGTGTGCCATGTGACTTGGTGACGGGCGAAGAGCGGGTGACGGTTGGGCAGGATGGGAAGCAGGCTGCCCATGTGTCTTGTACTGTTGAGATGTGCAGCGTCTCCACTCCTTGTATGTACCTGCTTTAGACAGCTGTGGCTTGGTATTTTTTGTTTATAAATGTGATAAAAATTATGAAATAAGATTTTATTAGGAGATATATTAAAATCTAAAAAGAATAACAAAGCATGTGCTCAGTGCTGCCAGCCAATAAATGTTAAATATCTGTCGTGTTTGTTTCTGAATATCCTTTTCATTTTTCTCATCAAGAGCTAAAATATCAGTAAGTATGATTGATCTTTACTTTGTACCACCCTCGTGACTCCCCTGTTGTGAAGTAAAGGCTTTCAAGTATTTGGTGTGATATCAGATATCTTTCTGTTGATTTGTATCACTGATATTTGTTACCTGTCAATTTAGTAGATGATTGATTTTTTGAAATCTGTGGTTATCATTATGCTGTTCTTCAGCTTATTTACTCCACACATATTTTTTTTAAAGATTTATTTATTTTATATTACAAAGCCAGATATACAGAGAGGAGGAGAGACAGAGAGGAAGATCTTCCATCCGATGTTTCACTCCCCAAGTGATCGCAATGGCCAGTGCTGCATCAATCCAAAGCCCGGAGCCAGGAACTTCCTTCAGGTCTCCCATGTGGGTGCAGGGTTCCAAGGCTTTGGGCCCTTCTCGACTGCTTTCCCAGGCCACAAGCAGGGAGCTGGATGGGAAGTGGAGCTACCAGGACAAGAACCAGTGCCCATATGGGATCCCGGCGTGTTCAGGGCGAGGACTTTAGTTGCTAGGCCACACCACTGGACCCTACTCCACACATTTTAAAATATATTGTTGAAATATCTATGTCTGTATATCTGGAATGTATTCAGTCCGAGTTATAATATTTAATGTTATGGCTAAAATTATCCCCTTTTCTGTTGAAGGATATTTAGGTTACTTAAAATTTTTCCCTTTTAATATCTAGTTTGGCAGTGACCTTCTATTTAAGTAGTATAGAAAACATTATGAATGAAAAGCAACTATTTGTGATAAGCAATCATATTTTTTTGAAAATATAAAAATATAAGTAAATGAAGACGAGAAAATGAGCATCTATCATCTCCCAACCTGTCCAAAACTAGCATTATTCTATCTGTTTATGCAAGCATTTATGTGTATAGTCTGTATGTGAAATAAATAGAAATTATGCGGTATTTGTCCATTTGAATAAATGGGTGGTTTTTAATAAATCAGTGTAGTATAAAGGTAATGCATTGTTTAAAGTCAAAAGTAGCGTACATGTTTGTAACTTGAGCATCCTTTCTGCTCCCTCTCTTGTGCTGTTTGTTTATATCCAGATGTGTCTGCAGCTTGTAATCTTATGATTTTCTAAAAGTTGTTTTGAATATAAGAAATATAAAATAAATGTTCTTTATTCCTTGGTATTCTAAGAAGGAAAATATATGTGACCCAAAGAGAACAAAATAACATGATCAAATGCATTTTGGCATTTAAAAATAAGGTGTGAAGCATTGATTTTGCCATAGTGATGGGCCAAAGCCTCCTTGGGAAGCACAGCAGGGGCTCAAGGATTGTACCTTTGCAGTGCATTTTCTGCTCCTGATGCAGAGGTGTTTTATTAGTAAGTGAGGAGTGTTTTCTGATTGTGCCTGGGAACATAGATTCTTGTTTTCTTCTTTGACTGTTTTCCGAAGATTGCAGAGATGAGGACGAATGGACCTGCTCTGTTTGGGAGGCAGTGCAGCAGAGCGGACCTTGGCACAGATGGCCCGGGCTTGAATCTCATTTCATTTGTAGAACTACCAGGTGGCCTTAGGCCAGTAATTTCTGTGGACCTCGGTTTATTATCTTAAAATGGAAATAATACTTAGCTCCATTGTGAGAATAACAAGATATAGTTTTAAAATGTTTAGAGTTAAAAAAAATTAGAATAAGCCTGCCATTAAATAGTGATAATAGTTGTGGTGGTAGTTAACAACTTGTACTTTGGTGTTGTGATCTGTTTATAAAATGATTCAAGTAGATTGTGTTGCTCATGATAACTCTCTTCATTTTAAGATGAAGTGGCAGTAATTGATGAAATTCAGATGATTAGAGACACAGCCAGGGGATGGGCCTGGACCAGAGCACTTCTAGGTGAGTCTTAATGCTATGAAACCTGGTTTTTGGGACGCCTGCACTGAAATATATCTGTTTGTGCCAAATACAATTGGTCCATTCCAGTCTCTTTTGGTACAAATCAACCAAAATAGCTAAGTGAGTTTTAATTTTTCAAAATATTAATAATGGGAAATCTTTTCCAGCTATATAATAAGTACAGTATAATTAAAGTTAAAATTTACAGATCTTTATTTATACCATCATAATTAGTATTTGGATATGCTTCATGCTTGTCTGCTTTCTGGTACAACTGGTGTTTTTTTTTCCTTTTTTTTAAGATTTATTTTATTTTTATTGGAATGTCAGATATACAGAGAGGAGATATAGACAGGAAGATCTTCCATCCATTGGTTCACTCCCTAAATGGCCACAGCGGCTGGAGCTGAGCCAATCCCAAGCTAGGAGCCCACAGCCTCTTCCTGGTCTCCCACGCGGGTGCAAGGTCCCAAGGCTTTGGGCCATTCACTGGGTTTCCCAGGCCACAAGCAGGGAGCTGGATGGGAATTGGGGCTGCTGGGATTAGAACCAGCATTTGTATGTGATCCTGGCGTGTTTGAGGCGAGTACTTTATCTGCTAGGCTACTGTGGTAGGCCTGACAACTGGTGCTTTTTAAACAGTAAATTTTGCATCTTGTATTTGTTCAGTTCTGATAGTGGTATTGAGGTTTATATCAAAATCATTGTTTGTGAACACAATTTGGTAGTTATAAAAGTAAATGGGTTTTTTGCTGTATAATCTAAATACTTTTTAAAAAATCCCAATTTTGCATTTGCAGGGCTTTGTGCTGAAGAAGTCCATCTGTGTGGAGAATCTGCTGCCATCGACCTGGTCACTGAGCTTATGTACACAACTGGGGAGGAGGTGGAGGTACTGGCTTAGGTGGCGGGCAAGTCTGACAGCCCAGGGTCAAGGAGCAGAGGGAATGACAGAATCAGAGCTTCAGGGCAGGGATAGCGTCATTCCCGTCATTTCCCTGTAGCTGGCTCACGCTCTGTAGTTCTCATGGAGCTGCTGTCACACCTGGAGTTTTTCAGCAGTACCAGAGAGCCCCTCTCCTTGTGGCTCTTTGGGGTTTGACCTAGCAGAGGTAGATGGTTTTCAGATATTGAGCTTTTGGGGCCTTTGACATATACCCAATTGTCAGGCAAGTGTAACTGGTTTCCCTTAAATTCTGTTATTATTTTTATGTATCAGTTTCCTATTAACATGATAAGATAAGGAAAACAATTTTTTAAAAGATTGGAGGTATTTGGGTTTTTTGTTTGTTTGCTTTTAGTTAATTAATTTGAAAGGCGGAGAGGTAAAGAGTGGTTTTCCACCTGCTGGTTCACTGCCTTGATGTCCATAACAGCCAGGAGTCCAGAACTCAGTTGGGGTTCCCTGTGTGTGGCAGGTCCGAGTGCTGGAGCATCACTGCTGCCCTCCGGCAGGTCATGAGTAGTATGTTGGAATCAGGAGTCAGATTCTGATACAGAATATGGATGCTCACATTAATATTTAACAGAATTAGAATGCTAAGAACATGGTGACATTCTCTTCCTCTCATCTTTTTCTTCCTCTCTCTTATTTTTTTAACTTGTGAGGTAAAATACTGTAAGATTTAACTCATGTTTCTCATGGCCATCCTCCAAGAAACACTTGTAATTGCCCCAGTGTTTTGGTCTTGTGCTCAGCTTACTGGTGAGATACTGGGATAAAGTGGAAGAACCTGGATTCCAGTCTGGACTTTGATGTTTTAGTTTTCCTTTGGCTGCATGTCACAGAAGGCTAGAACTGAAAAAGGCCTCAGGCCTAGTCTACCAGTGGGTTCCACTTTATTCTTTAATAAAGTGGAAATAACACTTTATAATCCCTTTTGAACACATTTCATTGCCATGAAAATAAAATACACATGAAAGTGCCTTTAAAATGTATGAAATGCTGTGGTATTTTATTAATTTAGACATGCCGGTGACTACTGATGGCAATGCTTAAAATATCCAGTGTTTCTCTTTGTTTTCCTTTGAAAGTGCTGGTACCAGGGCTGGTGTTGTGTTGCAGTGGGTTAAGCTATCATTGTTGATGCAAGTATCCCTATTGGAGTGCCAGTTTGAGTTCCATCTGCTCCAGTTCCAGTCCAGCTCCCTGCTGATGCGCATGGCAAGGCAATGGATGATGACCCATGTGTTTGTGTCCCTGCCACGTAAGTGGGAAATCCTGCTGGAGCTCTGGGCTCCTAACTTCAGCCTCATGTAGCTCTGGCTAATCGTAACCATGTGGGGAGTGAACCAGTGGATTGAGGATTTCTCTCTGTCGTTCTGCTTTTCAATTAAATAAAATAGATTTTTCTTTTAAAGATTTGCTTATTTTTATTGGAAAGTCAGATATGCACAGAGGAGGAGAAAGAGACAGATCTTCTTTCTGCTAGTTTATTCCCCAAGTGGCCACCACTGTTAGAGCTGAGCCAATCCAAAGCCAGGAGGCAGGAGCTGCTTCTGAGTCTCCCACATGAGTGTAGGAACCCAAGGCTTTGGGCCATTCTCTTCTGTGTTCCCAGGCCACAAGTAGGAAGTTGGATGGGAAGTGGAGCAGCTGAGACATGAACCAGCACAATATGGGATGCTGGTGGTTACAAGGAAAGGATTTAGTCACTAGGTTATTGTGCTGGGCTCAAAATAGATCTTTTTAAAAAAGAAAGAAAATATTGGTGTATTGGTACAGTTTCTAGCTACTTTTTTTTTTTTAAATTTTAGAGAAACACGATCAATTTTAGTAGAGTGATCAGAAGGTGGGTGGGAGCCAGAGAGAGATCTTTCATCCACTGATTTGTTCCATAATGAACAAAGACCTGGCTCGGCCAGACTGAAACAAGAAACCTGAACTCCATCCAGGTCTTCTGTATTGTTGGTGGGTTCGAAGTACTTGGGCTGTCATCCGCTGCTTTCCCATGCACATAAGTGAGGAGCTGGGTTGGAAGTGGAGTAGCTGGAACTCTAACCAACACACCAGTGAGGGCTGCTGGCATCATGAGCAGTAGCTTAACCCACTGCTCACTGCCAGCCTCTGTTCTTGACTATTTCTGATTGCTGTGTAAGCTTTTCATTTAGCTAATAGAAGTTGAGTTGGCTGCGTTATCTCACTGTTTATGTCTGTATTGTAGGTCCATAACTATGAGCGACTGACCCCCATTTCTGTGTTGGATCATGCACTGGGATCTTTGGATAACCTTCGGCCTGGAGACTGCATTGTCTGTTTTAGCAAGAATGATATTTATTCTGTCAGTCGGCAGATTGAAATTCGGGGCTTAGAATCAGCTGTTATATATGGCAGCCTCCCACCTGGTAAGTATTGGTTCTCATAGTCACATGACAAAGTAAAGCTAAGCTGCTTGAGTTTATACAAATATTTCTGTAGTTCATCTTGGCAGGAATACAAGTATTTTAATCACTTACTGTCTTGTTACTAGACTATGTTTTCAATGTTAAATTGATGATTTTCCCATAGAAATGTAATTATTTATGGACTTGGTAAGATCCTACTAGTTGCTGCCCAGAAATCTGCTCATTTTCTTCAGAAGGGCAGAGGACCATGTTGCCAGAGAGAGTGTGTGCTAAAGGAGGGGAAATAAAGTTTCAGTGGCTCTTTGTGGACATAAAGAAATAAAGTGGAAAAAGTATGGTCTTATCTGTAAGCCTGGAGGGAGTGGGAGGTAAAGGTTTCCAAACTATGCAGCATTATGTGCTGAAAGATCGGGAGCGGTGTTTTAACCTGAACTCTTCCTCTTTAGGGACCAAACTTGCTCAAGCAAAAAAGTTTAATGATCCCAATGATCCATGCAAAATCCTGGTTGCTACAGATGCAATTGGCATGGGACTTAACTTGTAAGTAATTTGTTTTTAGTAAGCAGGAGTATTCAATGAATTACAAGTCAAGTTTTGTCTTTTTTTTTTCCTGCTTGTCATTAATGACCAAACACTTTAAGAGAATGTGTGCTATAGTGCAGATTGAGATTTGTCTTGCTTAAACCTGTTGAGGAATGAGAAAGGAAGCTTTGTAGAGCGCCACACTTGTGAATGCTGCCCCTCACTCCTGCTCACCTTCCTACTACCACACTGTGTTTTCAGTTGCTCAGTTAGCAGGTGAGTGTCCGGCATGCACGCAAGGCTCGCTAGGTGAAAGCCTCATCCATTGCAGGTGATGAAGGCTGCTATGCCTTATGAATCACAGAACTGTTAAATGCTGTTAATAGCAGCCAACTTTTTTAGAAGGTAAAACTTTTTACAAACAGGGTATTTATTTATTTAGCAAGGGGAGACATACTTTGCCTTGGTGGTTCACTCCCAAAATGGCGTACCAGTGAGAGCTACCCCAAGCTGCAAGTAGGAGCCAGGAAAGCCATTCAGGCTTCCCTGCATGTGGGTAACAGGAACCCAAGTCATCTTTTGCCACTCAGGTGCGTTAGTAGGAAGCTGGATTGTAAGCATAAAGCAGCTGTGACTTATCAGGGATTCCATTATAGCACACAAATATCCCGAGTGACATCTTGACCTATTGTGCCACAGTGCCTGCCCCATCAACTAGTTTTTTAAAACTGTAAAAACACTGTTTTACATCGAGGAATCTGGAAAAAAGTCCTTTTCTATAGATTTGTTGAAGTATAATTTATATATTAAACCATCTATTGTTAATACATATTTTGGTGATTTTAAATATACAATATACAGCTTTTAAAAGTAATAAGGAAAAGAAACAGAACTACCATTCAACTTCTTTATTTTTAAAATAACAGGCAAGATTATAAGTAGAATCAGTGTTTTTGTGATAACTCAAGTAATAGAGGGGTCTGGGATCATGTTTATTTGTATTTCAGGAGCATAAGGAGAATTATTTTTTACTCCCTCCTAAAGCCCAGTATCAATGAAAAGGGCGAGAAAGAAATTGAGCCAATCACAACTTCTCAAGCCCTGCAGATTGCCGGCAGAGCTGGTCGATTCAGCTCTCGATTTAAAGAAGGCGAGGTTACGACAATGAATCGGGAAGACCTCAGTCTACTAAAGGAAATTTTGAACAGGCCTGTGGAGCCTATAAAGGTAAGATACAACATGCGAAGTACTATATCTTGGTGGGTAACCATCACCCAGACTCCTGCTCCAGACACCTAGAGTCAAAAATACGCAAAAGTGGGGCTGCTGGAGTGGTATAGTAGGCTAAGCCACAGCCTGTGGCACTGGCATCCTGTGTGGGTACTGATTTAAGTTCCAGCTGCTCCACTTCCCATCTAGCTCCCTACTAATGACCTAGAAAAACAATAGAGGATGACCTAAGTCCTTGGGATCCTGGACCCATGTGGGAGACCCAGAATTTCCTAGCTTCTGGCTTTGGATCAGCTCAGCTTTGGTTTTTGCTATTCGGAGAGTTAACTGGCGGGTGGAATATTCTCGGTCTCTCCTCTGTGTAATGTTGCCTTTCAAATAAAAGTTAAAAAAAAAAAAAGCAGGGGGAGGCAGATTAAAAAACTTGTGCATTGAGGACCACATTTTTAAAAGCCCTGCCTTATTGTTGTGGAGAGGTACAAAGACCGCTAAATCAGGGAGTGGGGTGCAAATGGAAGATTGCCCCTGAGAAAGTTTAGCTAACCCAATTTTTCTTTAGTCATTCCTATAGTTAGCACCTGGAGCTGTGTCAGTGAACATTATCAGAAGCTTGAATTTAGGAAAAAGTCAGAAGTGTATGAACATCCACAACTTAGCCACATTTTCCGTTTGTTATAATTGAACATGATGCTCAGTGGGGACCATAGTGTGGATCTTGATTTTTGACCATTTCCTTCCTCTCAGGTAGTGCAGTCCTCTGTTGACATACACATGGGGAAAACAGCCAGCACTCTGCAATGTGATGTGTATGGTTAGCAGGTTAGGTGGATTCAGTAGGTGTGGGTTCAGTGCATTTTCAACTTAGGATAAGTTTTTAAGACATAATCCCCACTGTGAGATCAAGAGCATCTGAATGTATTTATTTTATTTTATTTTTTTATATGATGGCATCATTTTTCCCAAGAGACTTTTGTGTTCCCTTTGTCACCCATGTGTTGGTTACTCAGCGGTGCATTTTTTCATGGTACTGTAATTTGTTGTTGTTGTTGTTGTTCTTAGTCATACCAGTTGTTGACCTTGTTTCAGGGCTTTCCACTTATAGAAATGTATAGTGATAGAGTCCTGGGGCCTATCAAATACAGATATGGGGGTATAATGGAACATGCATCCCTGCTTCCAGATGAAAGATGGATTCCCAGTGAAACTGTTGGACATGTGCAGACAATTGGATGCTGGACTGTCTGACATTGTCTGTACCAACAGTGTTGGGGTACACTTAAATAAGAGACTGATAGAGTTAAGATTTCTGGTGAAGGACTACACTATTGTAACAAAATGGGAATAATCTGATGGGGGTGGGAGTTTGTGGGGTAATTCCAGCCTATATGAAATTGTACCACATAATTCAAAATTCAAAATAAAAATATGTTAAAACTGAAAAAAAAATCTATGTATTTTAAACAAACTAACTTATTTTAAAGGCCATGACTGGGGCTTGTGGTGCAGAGAGAGAGATCTCTTCACTGGTTCTCTTTCCATAGTACCAAAGGCTGGGGCTGGGTCAAGCTTAAGCCAGGAACTTGGACCTACATCCAAGCACCTGGGCCTTCTGCTGGTTTCTTTCACGGGAGCATAGCACAGACCTGGATAGGAAGTGGAGCAGCCAGGACTTGAGCTGGCACATGTGTTGGATGATAGTTTGTGGTTTAAAGTTACCGGAAAATTCATTTGCATGGCTTGTCTCATTGGTTAGTGATACTTGGTGAAGCAGAATCAGTAGGATTAAATGCAAGGAGGAGGTTGTGGTTGCAGTCCCTTCTTTGGGGGGTGGCTGCACTCCCAGGGGCTCCCCGTGCTGGTGGCAGTGGTATAGCCTGCTCTGTGTCCTCTTCGCCTCAGTGCTCACACTCTTCCTCCCTCCTTCACACTCCATTTCTTACCTCCTTTCCTCTTCCTCTTATCCATTCACTTTCTTCTTGCATCATTTCTTAGATTTATCTGTAGGCATTTCTTAACACTATAGTTGAAGAGCTAACTGGTGTCCTGTTTAAGCATTTTCTTATAGATTTGTGTCACTTTTATCACCCTGGTTAAAGCAGCTGGTTCCTTGTTCATTTTTATCCAACACGTAGAATTGAGACATGGAAAATTGTTTAATCCTGAAAAGTATTTTAGTGCACCATCCAGTCATCCTAGGTTTCAAAATTGTCCCTATAATCTCAGCCAAACAGTACTCAATGAGCATTATCTGTCATTTTTAAAAGCTAAATTGGCTTATCTTTTCTAGTTATAACATGGTAAGTGGGATTTTTTTTCTCTAAGTTCTGGATACTTGATGAGAGTTTAGGCTATATGTGGGACTTGGTCTTGAAACAACTTAAGGAAACTAGTTCTTGGAAGTAAAACCAAGCTTATGAGTGGTTTCTCCTTTGCTTTCACTTGAAGGCAGCTGGTCTTCATCCAACCGCGGAGCAGATTGAGATGTTTGCCTACCATCTTCCTGACACGACGCTTTCTAATCTCATTGTAAGTGAATGTGCACAGTCCCATTTGCAGCAGTGTTGGTCTGTCTGGTGGTAACCACATAACCTCTGGAGTGTTGAGTGTGCAGCCCACTGTTCAGCAAATTTACCTTCTAAATGTATACTTTTTCTCAAAATCTTGGACTTCTGTCCTGAGAAATTTTATTTCTGAGTATCTCAGGTTGGGAAGGAAGCAGGGGATATGTGTTAGCTTCAGGAGGCAATGCATGGAACAGACCATTCTAGAAATTTCTTGTGCCATGTAGACTGTCTTATAGACTTTTAAGTACTTTATTCCTGCCCAGCTAGGAAGTTTAGTAATTTCAAGTATCTTTTTTTCTCCCAGGATATTTTTGTTGACTTTTCACAAGTTGATGGGCAATATTTTGTGTGCAATATGGATGATTTTAAGTTTTCTGCAGAGTTAATCCAGCATATTCCATTAAGCCTGCGCGTAAGGTATGTCTTCTGCACAGCCCCCATCAACAAGAAGCAGCCTTTTGTCTGTTCATCTCTGTTACAGGTAAGCCTTTATCTTTGTGATGGCTTCAGTAGTTTCAGGATGATGCATTTTCCTCTATAATTCCTTGTCATACAAAATGAAACAGTTGGGAATATACTATATATGAATATATAAATAAATATATATAGACTCTAAATATATAAATAAAACATTATGTTTTTTAGTTAATTTATTTTTAAGGTTTTGTTTTTTTTTTAATTGGAAAGGCAGATTTACAGAAAGGAAAGAGAAAAAGATCTTCCTTCTGCTGGTTCACTCCAAGTGGCTGCAGTGGCCAGAGCTGTGCCAATCTGAAGCCAAGTGCCAGTAGCTTCCTCCAGGTCTCCCCATGCAGGTGCAGGATCCCAAATTTTGGACCATCCTCTGCTGCTTTCCTAGGCCACAAGTAAGGAGCTCAGTGGGAAGTGGAGCAGCCAGGATATGAACCAGTAGCCATATGGGATCCTGGCACATGCGAGGTGAGGATTTAGCCACTGGGCCATTGCACCAGGCCCCCCCAAAAAATTACTCTTAATAAATTTTGGGAGGCACTTTACATCTGCACTTATGGTAACCTTTATGAAGTGGTTAAAACAAAAATAGTTAACGTTTTTCAAGGAAGGGGCTTGGGCTGATGATACACTTTTCCTTTTGTAAGTTAAGGTATAGATACTATAATTTGGAAGAGGGGGGAATTTAGGACCTACCAGTGACAACAGTATTCAGTTCTCTCAGCTGTCAGTCCCTAAGCTCAGGGTTGCTGTCTGGTACGATTATGGTGCCTGTCAGCCCCTTTTGTTTTAACCTGCTTGTGTGGAGATGGCAGATCTCTGACTTGGAATGAGTACAGATTCCGATGGGGGCAGAAAGGGCAGTGCAGCCTGAGCCTCACCCCCGGCTACTGTCCTCTCAGCTCTTTGGGGGTTTGCACACCCACTACCTGCATTCAGTATGTTCTCCCTAACCCAGCAAATGCAAGCCCACCTCCTCTTCCAGCCTCCTCCTGACTCACTGAGCTTTGTGTCAGTTTAGCCTTAGTCTACATGCAAATCTGCATTATCATCAAATTGGTTTCTTAATATATTTTTAAAATTATTGTTAGATAAATGATGCATAAATACTTGTTCTTTGAAAAACATATTAGAATTATAGGCAGCACAATGGCTCACCTAGCTGATCCTCTGCCTACATGTGTTGGTATGCCATATGGGCACTAGTTTGTGTCCTGGCTGCCCTATGTCCCATCAAGCTCCCTGCTTGTGGCCTGGGAAAGCAGTAAAGGACGACCCAAAGCCTTGGGATTCTGCACCCATGTGGGAGACCTGGAAGAAGCTACTGGCTCCAGCCATTGTGACCATTTGGAGAGTGAACCATTGGACAGAAGAGCTTTGTCTCTGTCTCTCCTTCTCTCTGTCAATCTTGAGTGTTAACTAGATTAACTTTGGTTATTCCCCCAGCCCTCATTCTTTAGTAGCTGCTGTTAGCAGTCTGTGTCTGTGTGGGCTCTTCTTAATATGGCTGCTTGCATGGTGAAATTGTGGTGGTACTATGTGAGCATATTTTTTCAAAAGTGTTTTGTAATGGATTCTTCCTCAATTGGCCATTTTTGTTAATCCCTCACAGTTTGTTTTAGAGACCTTACATGTCCAAGTATTTACGTAGAATATCTGTTTCTTAGAGCTAGCTTTCGTAAAGTTGAAGGTGATGCAGGAGTTTCAGGAGTATTTATTTATCTGAAAGTCAAAATTGCAGAGAGAGGGAGAGATCATCTATCCATTCACTGGTTCACATTCCAGATGGCTACAAGAGCCAGAGCCACACCAGGCTGAATCCAGAGGCCAAGAGCGTTGTCTGGGTTTTCCATGTAGGTGCAAATGCCAAACACTTGGGCCACCCTCCACTGTATTCCTAGGCACATCAACAGGGAACTGGATCAGATGTGTGGCAGCTAGAACTTCAGTTGATACTCATGGGCAGTGGCATTGCAAGCTATGGCTTAACCCACCATGCCACAACACCAGTCTAGGGACAGAACAGCTTTAAGGTATTATAAATTGATCCCATGGGGCCTGTTCCCATAGTATTGGCCAAATTTATACCATCCTTTAGACACCTATACTAATGAAGCCAACTCTTATTGAGGGCTACAGGATGTTTAGAACAGTTTGGGGGGTGGTTTCCTTTTTCCTTTTTTTTTAATTCTTTTTTTTTTTTTTAAAGATTTATTTATTTGCATTACAAAGTCAGATATACAGACAGAAGGAGAGACAGGAAAGTCTTCCATCCGATGATTCATTCCCCAAGTGACCGCAATGGCCACTGCTGTGCCGATCTGAAGCCAGGAGCCAGGAACCTCCTCCAGGTCTCCCACGTGGGTGCAGGGTCCCAAGGCTTTGGTCTGTCCTCAGCTGCTTTCCCAGGCCACAAGCAGGGAGCTGGATGGGAAGTGGAGCTGCCGGGATTAGAACCGGTGCCCATATGGGATCCTGGCGTGTTCAAGGTGAGGACTTTAGCCGCTAAGCCACCGTGCCAGGTCTGGTTTTCTTTTTTTTTGACCTGTCACATTGCTGAACTATAAACAAGTCCCACTAATGACACACTGATGTCCCCCTGTGGTTTTGCAGCTGCTCCTCAGAGCTGCTTTCAGACCTTCTGTTGGGTGCTGACCTTGCAATGAATGGGTATCTTCACCTGCCCTCTCTGGGCAGCTCCTCATGTAGCCCTTCTGTGTATTTGGCTTCTACTAATTGAGAGCAAAGATGCTACGTAAAACAGAACTTGAGAACTCGTGCTTGGCATTTCCTGCTTAGCAACCTAGCATGGCCACACTTCTATCCTCACTGGCTATTCTTGACATTGACTCAACAGCACACAGATTGAGTTGAATAAAATATTAGCATTCCTTACCCACAGTTGATCTGAAATTGTCCTTACTCTATATTAATCTTGCTTAGATTAAATTTTGAGAGGTAATTTTCTGTAAGAAGAAATTAAACTACCTGAAATTTGTTCGGTTTTTATTTATTTCTTCTAAGGTCGAGAGAGAAGGAGAAACTGTTTGTTGCATCGGAATTTAGCAGGGGTATAAACTCTGTTCCTTCTTTTCTTTGTGTATGTAATCCCACACAGCTGGTGGAAGACTGAGTCAACATCACCCAACCTAACCTCACAGTTTCTTCAGAAACAGGTGTTTGGTGCAGTGGTGCAGATGCTGCTTGGGGGACTTGCATCTCTCCTGGGAGGCAGCGGTGGTGGCTCATGCAGTTGGATTCCTGCCACCCACGTAGCAAACATGGATTGAGTTCTGGGATCAGGGCTTTGGCTGGGCTCAGCTCCAGCTGTTGTGGGCGTTTGGGAAGTGACCCAGTGAATGGGAGGGAGATTCTGTTCAGTCTTCCTCTGCCACTCTCTGTGTTTCTCACTCTTTGTTTTTATGCCTTTCAAATAAAATGCAAATAACAATTTTAAAGTTTCTTTAAAGAAAGGTTATTAACTGGTAGGGAAAAAGCAAGCTCCCTTCCAATGGTATGGGTCTGTTTTATGATGATATAGAAGTGTGAGTCTTAAAGCATCATGTATTCAAAATAGAGTTAGCACACTTCAGCTCTGAAAAGTTAGTCCTTGTACAGCTTCTGATGCATATATCATTGCAATGCTCTGAGAAAAGAAACTCATCATTTATGTATATTTTTTAAGGTTGTTTTTTAAAATTTAAACACAGAGTTAACACATAGAGAAAGAGAGACAGAGAAAGGGAGTTCTTCCATCTACTGGTTTAATGCCCTAGTGGTTGCAGTGGCTGAGCCAATCCAAAACCAGGAGCTAAGAGCTTCTTCTGAGTCTCCCACCTTGGTGCAGGAGCCCAGGCACTTGAACCATTCTCTGCTCCTGCTCCTTTTTCAGGTCGAAAGTAGAGAATGAGGTTGTAAGTGAAACAACCCGGACATGAACTGGCACCAGTATGGAATGCCAAGGCTGTAGGTGGAGGCCTAGCCTACTACACCATGGTACTGGCCCATCGGTTATATTTTTTAAGCAAGAATGTCTGTATAAAATTGTCTCCTCCCCCCCCCCCGCAGATTGCTTATTTGAAAGGTGGAGTTGCAGAGAGTTTTCCATCCACTGGTTCACTCTCCAAATGATTGCAATAGCTTAGGCTGGGCCAGGCCAAAGCCAGGAGCCCAGAGCTTGCTCTGGGTCTCCCACATGGATGCAGGGCCCAGGTACTTGGGTCGCTCTCTACTATTTGTCTATGCACATTAACAAGGAGCTAGATTGGATGTAGAGCAACCAGGACTCAAACCAAGTGCCCAGATGGGATGCCAGTGCTGCACCAGGAGGCTTGGCTTACTATGCAGTGACGCTGACTCCTTTGTTTTCTTTCTAATCGTATACTGAAGGAAAATCTAATTGTTTTACAAAACAAGCTTTTTTTCCCTTCTGCTTCTTCTCAGTTTGCCAGGCAGTATAGCAGGAATGAGCCCCTGACCTTTGCGTGGTTACGGCGATACATCAAATGGCCTCTACTTCCACCTAAGAATATTAAAGAACTCATGGATCTTGAAGCAATCCACGATGTCTTGGATCTTTACCTGTGGCTAAGGTACCAAATGGAAAGGTCTAAGGTTGTTTTTTTTTTTTTTTTTTTTTTGATTAGGCACCTTTTTGCAAGGGTTTTTGTGATGTGTTTATTCTCCATAAAGGCAGATGAGCCTGGTATATACATACTCTTGCAGAAATGACTTAGGGAGTTCTTGAGATGCTGGTTAGGGTGAGAGGCCTTAGTATTTAGATGGGTCTTGGGACCAAAGGTGTTAGTATCATCTGTAAGCTCACAGGAAGCACAGAGTCTTGGGCCAATACAGGCATATTCAAAATCTGCATCTTAGTGGACCCCTTTTCACTTGCGCAGTCACCTTTGAGGAGCATGTTCTAGAGCTGCACTTCTCAGAGGAGGGGCATGTCCCACTGAGAGACATCGGGGTCGTTCGACACACATACACACACATGCCAGCCCACCCTCTTAGTGACATATTCAAGTGTGTTGAGGTGGAAACGAAGTGAGTAGAGGCACTGGGTGGAGTTTGTAAAATAAAAAAAAAATTGTAATCGTCAAGAAGTGAGTTATGTCACTGAAATGGGTCTGGTGACTGAAGAGAGCTGGTGCCATGATGTATTCTATTTCTCCTCAGCTACCGATTCATGGACATGTTTCCTGATGCCAGCCTTATCCGCGACCTCCAGAAAGAACTCGATGGAATTATCCAAGAAGGGGTGCACAACATCACCAAGCTGATTAAAATTTCTGAGACACAAAAACTGTTGAATTTGGAGAGCTTGTCCCCAGGGAGCCAGTCACGTTTGTCAGGAACCTTGAAGGGCCAAGCTCGAAGGACGCGTGGCACAAGAGTTGTAGGGAATAAAGCTGCTGAGCCACCCAACCCTGATGTTGGAGGGCTGCCCTTGACCTCCAGGCTGGTGCAGCAAGGGCTTCTCACTGCAGACATGCTGAGGCAACTGGAGAAGGAATGGCTGATGCGACAAACTGAGGCTGGCAAAGAGAAAGCAGAGTCTGGGACTTATGTAAAAGGGACACGAAGAAAGAAGAAAGAAACTGATTCTGATTAGTTTTGTGTTTTTTTTTAAATTTACAAATAAAATGTACTTTAAATCTTTTTTCCTTCATATACATTTATTGCCAGCAGCAATGTTGAGTCTTTCTTATAGGGGAGTTTTCTGGTACAGAGTGATTAACTCTCAGAAGCGACGAAACCACTTTTTGTTTGAAAAACTAGGATGTCTTAGAGATTTTATTTAAATCTTTTCATAGTCGCCATTTGTCATACAGTACTAAGTGTACCCTAAACAAACTGTGCATAGGAATAAATGAGCTTGGTGAGCTATTTCCTTTGTCATTGCTGAGGATGTCATAGCTAGAATTCTTTGAAAGACATTGCTGCCTATCAGACCCACGTCCAGAGTGCTAGAGATTTGGTGTAGCAAGACACATCCCTGCCCTCAGGGAACCCGTATTCTAGTAGGGGACACAGAAGCAAGACGGCAAATACTGGCAGCTCCAGGAAGGCAGAGGTTGATGTCTGTCTAGTTCATTACCACATCCACAGCGCGTGGAATGTGGTAGCACAGTCATTGTGAAGAGAATGGATGTCATTTTGGAGAGAGATATTGGAACAAAGTAGAGTAAGGGAGAAGAATGATGTGTGGTTGCAGTGGGCTGTTAGGGGCAGGTGGCAGTTCTGACCCTGCCTTCTCTGGACTGTGGGCATCTGAAGAAAATGGACAGCGATGCATTCAGGAGCTTAAACATGATGATACATTGATTAGCACAGGATCTGGCACGTGGGTGTTGTGCGGTATGGAACTGGAAGGGGCTCTTCTGTGCTGTGAATTAAACTCTAAGGTCATTCTGTGAATTAGACAAATTGCTTCAATGCCTGAAGGTTTGAGGCTGATTTTGAAGTTGGCTTAAACCTTATATTTGGTTCAGATTGGGACATAGAACAGCAGGTGTACCAAGGTGGTCATTGCTGTTTTTTTCTTGTGTAGTTTGGAGTTAGGATGCTTCACTGAACTGAGATGACAGTCTTCATTTTAACTTCTGCCTTCGTGGAAATAGAGATTGAAGGAGTGATACTATTTCTTCTTTGCTGGTGGATAGGTAATAGTACCTGAAAGAGCATATTTCTTGGTATTTTATATGTGGGAAACTGCAACTTCTAGAATATCCTTTCCCTTGACGTTACCTTAGCAGACAGGTGGTCACTTTTGTCTAGATAGTCTCAAGAAATACACATGAACTGGACTGGATAGTATGTTTGGTCCTGTTGTATTCAAGCAATGAAATATGCTACTTTGGTTATTAATTATCTCATTTTCCCTAATTTGGGATCTGAAGTTGTGAGTCAGAGCTGAGCCACTTAGACAAGACACTGGGAAATGGGTCACTTCACAAAGCTTCAGATAAAGAGCTGGGGGTGGGGACTGCCATGAAGGGAGGGTTGCCTGGGCATTTGGCTCAAGAATGTTTGTGCACAATGATAAATAGTTTGCCCTTTGACCTTTCCCTTTACAGGGACAAAAGAGCACCATGTGGGAAGCAAACAAGTATAGTTGACAGTCGATGTGGCCCTGGCTGGTGCCCTTCCATCTGCTTAAAGTAGGACTAGGAGAACAGCCTGGTCTTTCCTGCAGCAATCTCAGCAGATTGCTTTGCTTTCTTTGCGAGCTTCTGTTAAGTTGCAGGTGCATGTGTTGTAGTGGTCATACCCTTATCTTTTCTGAAATAGCTCTGCTTTTTTCTTCCCTTGCAGTTTTATAGCTGAAAGCTCTTCTGTGCTGGCTACTCATTTGGCTGAACATCAACCTGGGGTGTGGACTGAAGTCTGGATGCTGGTCTGCTTCCTCACTACAGACCAGGGTAATTAAAAGTGTGGTTAATACGTAACTGGCTGGGAATAAAAACAGTGACTTGCAGCACTTTGTACATTACATCCATGGAAGAGTGTAAATCTTTAAAATGGAAGTGGGCCTTTGGAAATTACTTCCTGGGTCGGGGTCACAAATACGCAAAATTATTATCACAGATCATCGAAATTTCATAGGGCTCAGAACTGAGAGTCTGAAGATGATGCTGTTGTTTTATGCATGTGCTACTCCAAACCTGTTAGGATAGGTAAGCACGTGAGTCCTGCTAAGATTTCCCTCATTTTTCAAAGGTTTAAAATACACCTGCAATAAATATTTAAACTAGAAGTTAGGTTACCTCAATCCTCTGATGGGTATTGTGGCACAGCAGGTTAAGCAAACTGGTGTGAGGATCCCTTTCATTGTTACTGAAGTGCCTGGGATCAGGTCTCACCTCTGCAGTCCAGCTTCCTGATAATGTGCCTGGAAGGCAGCAGATAATGGTTCAGGTGCTTGGGTTCCTGTCACCTACATGGGAGACCTCATGGTTTGGGCCTGGCGTAACCCTGACTGTTGAACTAATGAGTGAAAGAACTCTGTCTCACTGCCTTTCAAAAACAAAAAAGATGCCTGCATCCCACGTGGGAATGCCTGGATTCAGTTCTTACCTGTGGCTTCTGCTTACGGCTTCCTGCCAGTGTAGACCCTGAGAGGCCTCATGGATGTCTCAAATCCACATGGAATTTGGGGCCCCTGGTTTTAGTGTTGCCCGGTCCTAATTGTTAGAGGCTTTTGCGGAGTAAGCCAGGAGATGAAAACTGTTTCTCTGCCCCTCAAAACATAACAAAACATACCCTCCCCCCAAAAAAAGTGAGAAAAACAATACACACATATGCACCCTAGAAGGATATCATGTATATACATGTTTCTGAGTTATCCGTGTTCTATCATTTAAGACAGTGGAGAGGGGCTGGAGTTGTGGCATAGTGGGTTAAGCCTGTGCTGCCAGTATCTCGTGGGTACAGGTTCCTGTCCCACCCCCACCCCCTTTCCAGTCTAATTCCCTGCTAATGCGTTTGGGGAAACAGCAGAAGATGACTCAAATCCCTGGTCTTTTGCAGCCTAAGTAGGGGATCTGGAAAGAGCTCCTGGTTCCTGGCTTTGACCTGTCCCAGCCTTAGTCATCGCAGCTATTTGGGGACTGAACCAGAGAGCCAGATTCTGTTTGCCACTCGTTTTTTTCTCTAGCTGCCTTAAAAAAAAAAAAGCAAAAGTAGAGAATTTGTACATAGATGATAAGCAGTAGTCTTTATGGACAAAACAAGGGTAAGGAAAAAAAGTTTTCGAAATAGGTGTAAGTTTCAAAGAATGAACTTAGACATTACTGTTACACCAGATGCCTTTATGTTTTGTTATTATTGACCAAAGTTGACAGAGTTTCTCAGGTTTTTGCTGATGTCCTTTATCTGTTCCAGGTTGCTGTCCAGGACACCACATTACATTGAGTTGTCCTGCTTCCTTAGGCTCCTCTGGCTGTGAGTTTCTCAGCTTTCCCTGCTTTTGGTGACCTTGAACACGAGTCATAATCTGTAGACTTCCTCACAATTGGGACTTGTGCAGTCTTTTTCCTGTTATTAGATATTTATTTATGTATTAAGATGTATTGATTTGGGCCCAGTGTAGTAGCCTAGTGGCTAAAGTCTTTGCCTTGCATACTCTGGGATCCCATATGAGTGATGGTTCATATCCTGGCAGCTCTACTTCCCATCCTGCTCCCTGCTTGTGGCTTGGGAAAGCAGAAGAGGATGGTCCAAAACCTTGGGACACTGCACCCATCTGGAAGAAACTCCAGGCTCCTGGCTTTGAATTGGCTCAGCTCCAGCTGATGCGGCCACTTGTGAAGTGAACCAGCAGATGGAAGATCTTTCCTCTCTGTTGCTCCTCTCTGTACATCTGACTTTCCAATAAAAATAAACAAATGTATTTTCTAAAAGATTTTTTTTTTTTATTACAAAGTCAGAATTACAGGGAGAGAGAAGGAGACAGAGAGAACTATCGTCCATCTTCTGGTTCACTCTAATTGAGCCATTGTAGCTCAACATCTTAAGCCACCACTTGGAATGTCCTCATCCCATGAGTGTCAGTTCAAGACCTGCCTGCTCTACTTCCAGTCTATCTTGCTACTAATATACTTGGGAAGGCAGTGGACAGAGGCTCACATAGTTATTGAGTCCCTTCAAACTACATGAAAGACTCAAATGGTCTTTTTTTTTTTAAAAAAAGATTTATTTATTTTTATTGCAAAGTCAGATGCACAGAGAAGAGAGATAGAGAGGAAGATCTTCCATCTGCTGGTTCACTCCCCAAGTGGCTGCAGTGGTCGGAGCTGAAGCCAGGAGTCAGGAGCTTCTTCCTGGTTTTCCACATGGATACAGGGTCCCAATGCTTTGGGCCATCCTTAACTGCTTTCCCAGGCCACAAGTAGGGAGCTGGATGGGAAGTGGGGCAGCCAGAACACAAACTGGCGCCCATAAGGGATCCCAGGCAAACAAGGCAAGGACTTTAGCCACTAGGCTACAGCACCAAGCCCAGAAATAAATCTTTTAAGGAAAAATATCACACCACAACACCCTCCCCTTTGGGGAGGAAAAACACAGAGATAAAATGCAATTCTGTCACATCATACGAAGAGTGGGTACTGTTAGTGTAACTTACCGCTGTCAACATTGATGACCTGCCCAAAGTGGTTTAACCAGTTTCTCCTGTGTGGACTCTTTGGAAGGAAGCCACAGCATGAGCTGTGTTCCACCTCTGTGAGCCTGGAGAATCCCTGTGGGTGACTGGGGATGTGTATGGGAGAGTTTTATTTCTCCACCTTATTTAGTTATTTGTGCATGTCAGTGTGTGTAATGGAAAAATGTAACTTATGCTTTGGCTTGTATTCCAATAGTCTCTTACTGAAATTATTCAGGCTTCAGTTACTAGAAGCCTTTCCTTTGGTTCCTATGTCCCTGTTGTTTTGATATTTTGATTTTCTTTTTTCAAAGATTTGTTTATCATCTATTTATTTGAAAGAGTTTCAGAGAGAGGAAGAGAACAAGATCTGCCATTTGTTTTGGGGGTGGGGGTTGCAAAGTTTGATTTATTTGTTTTTGTTTGTTGGTTTGTTTGGAAAGGCAGTTTTACAGAGAGAAGGAGATACAGAGATAACTTCTGTCTGCTGGTTCACTCTGCAAGTGGCTGTTG